TGTTGTGGTTTGTACTGTTGGAATAATCAATACTGTTTCTGAATTTCTTTAAAGATGTCTGATAATTTCTAAGTATGTATATTTCTTGTAAAAGTATTCTGTGGATCCCATATTTAGTCCTTAAACTCTGATTTTTGTTTGTGTTGGCACCACTCTCTTAGGTGTAAAGTATTTCATGATGATTCTTATTTTACTATGTTAATTGTTTATAACTTTAAGATATGGTAATTTCTTTATTACCATAATATGAAAGGTGAAGACTTTAATGTTTATTATGCACCAAAAAGACAAAAAAATATGTTTGTAGCTAAAAATCGTTTTGCTAAGTTTCTGTTATTTTTAACTTATAAACAATCAAATAACTTTTAAACTGTTAAGTAATCGCTGACGAAATAATTTTTTTCAATTTTAAAAGTTGACAATTTTACATGAAATACAAAACTTATTCTTTATTATTTATTTATTTATTTATCAACGGTCTTATTTATTAATCGCCCAATTAAAATACAATATAAACATTATTGATAAATTACAGAAGATTCTTAGCGTAACCCACTTAAATTAAATTTAACAAATTTATAATCATACAAAAAATAAAAGTAGGAACAGTAAATAACAAACAATTAACAAAAGAATGTACAAAACACAAGGACATCAAACTTTCACACGCAGTTTTAAGCATGAGCTTTTAAATTCTTTTGAATACTATAACAATCCAACCTTTGGGAATATTGATTAGCAAACCTTGGTGTTCTTGATGTGAGGAATTGTGTCCAATAGTTTGTGCGATGGGTTCTAACATAAAAGAGGTTGATTTAGCCTTGTTTTGTGTACTGGGGAACATGGAGATTAACTTTTTCATAGTTTCAGGATCAAAAATAATAGAGTGCAGTATACTATAAAATATAGTGAGATCTTTGTTCAAGCGTCAGATTTGGAGAGAAGTTATGCTGAGGGACCTTTCCATATTTGAATAGTTAATTTCTTCAATCCTCTGGTTTAGTTTAAATGCAACAAATCTTAAGAATTTGTGTTGAACTCTATGCCATTAAATGACACATTTTAATGTTGCTGTCACACCAATAGCTCAACCAATCAATTTGGTTCAAAATTATCTCATCTACATTTCTTGTTTGAAACATTTTTTCTGTGGCGTACAGATTCTTGGTAAAATCGATGAGTCACTTCCTCCTACGAGGAATGTTCTTTAGGTGGAACACCGGGGTAGGAGTGGCAAATTTTTTTCATCTTTTTGGGGTCTCAAAATTGACTTCTTCTTCTTATAGTTCCTTCTCCTATCGGAGGTTGGCTATCATCACAGCTATCCTTACTTTATTGGCGGCTGCTCTGAAAAGATCTACCGAGCTTCAACTATACCACTCCCTTAGGTTTCTTAGCCAAGAAATTCTTCAACTTACTATTTATTAACTGGGAATAGCCACAATTAAAAGATAAAAATCACGTTTTATTGACGTTTCAATTTCCAATTCGGAAATCGTTCTCAAAATACAAACAGTAAACTAAACAAATTTTGTTTTTTGTTACATAGTGAAAAATTCTTCTAATAATTTAATTTTATCTGACTCATTTATATTGACAATTCATGACATACATTATGCATTTTTAAAAAGTAGACGACTTTAAAATGATATTGAAAATTATTGTTGAGTTGCGCTCCTGGGACGACTTACTTATAGATAGTTCATTCGATTACATGAAATCAACTTTAACTGAGACATATCCGTCAGAAAAAATCATAGCAATAATTCTCTTTAATATGATTTAGGACAAACACACACATGACATGATGACGGTAAAATTCTCATGTTAGTGATTCCTAGTAAATTAGGAGGGAAAAACCAGGAAAAAACCTCATAATACTATCCGACATTGTGAATATTTGTTCGTGAATTTAGTTTACCTTCAACAAACATCAAAAATTCTGATTTTATATGTTACGTTATTTAAAAAACATAAATGATGTATCCTCTATATGTTACTGATAAATAAGGAATTTTCAACAATCGATCGAATAGAACAGAACAACTTAAAACGAGATCCTACAGCATACACAAGGAATAATATGAGGAAAATAACAATACCGTACATAAAAGGATTATCAGAAAAACTTAAAATGATAGGAAATAAATTCAACATTTCAACAACATTCAAAACAACAAACACGTTGAGATCTATTTTGTCCAAAACCAAACCTAACAATGAACAAGAAAGGACAAAGAATTGCATTTATAAAATACCTTGTGAATGCGATCAGTTTTATTTAGGTGAATCATCAAGGCCATTAAATGTTAGAATAAGTGAACATCAATCTTATATTAAAAATAGAGAATTTGATAGATCTCAAATATGTAAACACGCATGGGATAATGAACATAGGGTTCAATGGAATAATTCAAATATAGTCCTAAAAGAAACGGATGGTAAAAAAAGAAAAATCAAAGAAGCGGCTCTAATTATGCTAAATGAGGCCAATTGTGTCGCAAATTCCTCGGCAGAATGTAGTAGGATCTGGTTACCAATATTGAAAGAGGAAGTTATTAATAAGAAAATACCAGTATTAGTAAGTCAGTAACATATAGAGGATACATCATTTATGTTTTTTAAATAACGTAACATATAAAATCAGAATTTTGATGTTTGTTGAAGGTAAACTAAATTCACGAACAAATACTTACAATGTCGGGATAGTATTATGAGGTTTTTTTTCCTGGTTTTTCCCTCATAATTTACTATGGAATCACTAACAGGAGAATTTTACTGTCATCATGTCATGTGTTTGTCTTTTTAAAGACGAATTACATGCTATGATTTTTTTCTGACGGATATTCTCAAGTTAAAGTTGATTTCATGTAATCGAATGAACTATCTTATAAGTAAAGTCGTCCCAGGAGCGCAACTCAACAATATTGGCAATATCATTTTAAAGTCGTCTACTTTAAAATGCATAATGTATGTCTGAATTGTCAATATAAATGAGTCAGATAAAATTAAATTATTAGAAGAATTTTTTCACTATGTAACAAAAAACAAAATTTGTTTAATTTACTGTTTGTATTTTGAGAACGATTTCCGAATGGAAATTGAAACGTCAATAAACGTATTTTTATCTTTAATTGTGGCTTATTCCCAGTTATAATAGTAATATAATTTTACAATGCCACAAGAAATAGCTCAGAACAATATTAAGAAATTCTCGTCTTCCTATGGATCTTTTACCCTTGATTTTACTTTTCATTTTGAGCCTGAATCTCATATTCGCGCCAGTGGTAATATGGCTTAATATTCCAGCTTTTTGGTTGATGTGCTTTATGACCTCGCAATCTTTTTGTAACCTTCTTACACTCTCTGCATCTGTACCTCGTTTGGGTCCAGGTATTTTCAAAATCCTTCTATAGCCACCACAGTCTCAAGTGATTCCTACTTTTCGTTATATGATCCCCTTTTAGTGTCGACGAGATGACTACTAGAAACAAAATCGAGATGAAAATACCTCCGACTCAATATCATGGATGGAAAAAGTCTGTTGGTGCTTAGGGAAAGAAGCGAGTAACAGGAGTAGAATGGCAGAGGATAGATTATGTATGAACTAGGCACGAGATAAGTCACCAAATGGACGAAGAAGTCTTGGTCAGGACCAAGATAACGATGGGAGACGGACAATTTAAACAATTTAGGAGGCTAATTGGAAGAAGAAACATTCTTTAAAAGCCTACATGCACGAGGGAATAAGAAGAAGAGGCATCGTCTAATTGCCTGTTCTAATTCCACTTAGTTATTATTCGGTCCCGTTTGTTCTGTGATCTTCGATGTATCATTCTAATCATCATCGAATAGTTTCATTTAGGTATCTTGCCAAATTTTAAGTTGTAGTCTTTGAGTTCGGCCAATGAGAGTTTTACCATTATCATGCTTTGGAGTATCCCATAGTGTGCTCGCTGTTTGGTATTTGTTGACGTTTCGTATATTTTTTGTGCTTATTAAAGTCTGTCGTAATTTCTGTCATACTCTTCCTATTTCTGTTTTGAAGCTGTGTTAACCACTGTTCCGTGGCCTTTTTTATTTCTACTTTAATTCTACTTTAGTATAGTTCTTGAATATTTTGGCTCATTTCTCCCCTTTGCTGTTCTCCTCTCTTCCGTTCATTCTAGAATTTCTGGAAGTCCACCCACTTCTGTTTTTTATTTTGTCGTTTCAGGCTTTAAAATTTTCTTCTACGGCCTTTAGTGATGGCTCTTCTGAATATTGTTTTTTTTTACTCCCACTTTTCATTGACATCTTCTGATGGTTAGATTTCTTTTCTCCTATCTCTGTTAGATTTGACGTTGACTGTGTGGATCACTTTTTTGATGTATTTCCCTTTCCAAGAAGTGGGACATTCTCAGCTACATTTAAACTTGCGTACGATAGGATCTTTAGGGGGCAGGGGGGGGGGGGTTCAGTGGTAATTTCGACTATGACGACGGGAGTATGTAACGTGTACAATAATAATTAATGGAAAATATACGATAAGTCGATTGGTGCTCAGCAGTTAGACCTGGTGTACAGCCATAAATTTGCTAGCACACAGGACGGCTTGCAGCAGACAAAAAAACGTTACTGAAGAAATGGAATATAACAGTGGCAGCATTAAAATATAACGTTAACTCCAATCTAATAAAAATCCTAAAGAAGTATTTCTAAAATTTAGAGTTTTACAAGGGGTTTGTTCAAAATCAAGTCCTCCAAATGTAAAATCTTATGCTCAGAGAATTTGTGCAAATATGTTGCAATATTACCTATATTAGTGAGAGCATTTATTCAAATAAGTGCCACTTTAAACAAAAAAACTGTGTATCATAACATAGATTGACTGATAAAAACCTCAGTTCACTCTTAAGAATAACTAATTAATAATATTGATTATCTAATACAACAGTATTGTATCATATTGCAAGTACATATTTTATATAAACTATTAATTTTCTTTTTATATTTTCCAGGCAATGCATGTGCTGTTACCGGGATCCTAAAAATCTCGAGCGTTTCAGCTATGTTACCCAAGGCCTTATCTACATGGCAGCTAGTCAGTTAAAACTTTTAGCCGATAAATCATCGGAAAGCAGTAAACAAGTTGAATCAGAACCCGAAAACAAAGATGCGAAAACTGCCAAGTCGCCCGAAGACGAAAAAGAAAACCCGGAAGTTATAGAGCGTGACAAGCTGCTTATCTGGCCAAAGATATTTTATTTAAATTTCCTTTATCATAGCTTACTAGAGCTGCACAAAGCAAGCCAAGATCGATGAATTGACTCAGCAGGAAATGCAAAATTTGAATTTGTTTTGTGATCTCCACGATTCTGAGATTCCTAATTTTATAGATGAAGAACGTCAGTGTTCTTATAACGATTGAGAGTCCTCTTAGCAATACTTCTTCTGTTTTACCTACTCCTCTCCGAGTTGTTACCGTAGAAATCGACTGCAAGCAGCAAGATATCATATAGGTAAGTATTTAAAAATACAAATAAGGTTCAGTAACTTTTTATATTAAAAATGAATATTACATAGAAAAAATACGACAAAAAGAATAATTTATAAATTTATCGTATTGTCCCTCAATTTAAATCGGTATCGTTTAATCTATAAACTACTCTATTAATAATGTTTTCATCTGTTATGTATTTTTCTTTCTAGTTTTTTGACATGCTCTATACATTTTTCTCAATTATCTTCTTGTATATGATTACATTCGGCTCTTATTTAATCGACAACAGTCCTAATGCCTAAGTCCAAAAAGACTAGTACTCTTCAAATAAATCGAACCTCCTCTTTTCAAATGGCTATTCCATGAATTGCTGCGATTTTTTCAACTGTTGTAAATAGAACATCCAATCTGCTTCTCAGAGTCGCTGTCCGGTATGCGAACGTTGGCTACTAACAAATGGCAATTCTGAGCGTTTGTTTCGGGCGGGCTTTCAAATAGTTACGAACCATGAGACGGTCCGAAACCACTTCCCAATTTTGTGGCGGACGAGTTTCTTCTCCAAGCTGCGGACCCTCAGCTTACGTCATGGTTCCCTAACAATCAATTGTATCAGACGGCCTATCTGCTGTCTCAATATATGCCTAATTTTCAAGCTTACTTGTTTAATTGTATTCACGATTCTTTCTCCTATTTCGATTCTTTGAGAGTACCTCTAATGTTGGGGAACATGCTTCGTCCTGGAGATACGAAGGAATGCGTCGGTACACCCACATAAAGTACCGAGTAAACTTTTGATAGTAATTTAAATGAACTAATGTATCGAAGACGAAGTGAATATGTCTTACAGCATTAAGGAAGTAAATCTGTTGTGCTGATAGTCTACCCAGTCTCTTAATCTGGTCATTCCATTCTTGCAATTATCTTGCAACGGATAGTATTTAGGGCGTGATATTTGTCTTTAAAATGCTTTCATTGCCTTCTGTACAATATTGATCGGGCATCACTACCATAATAGAATAAATAAACAATTTAGATTAAATCCGTCCCATCTGTAGTTCATAATGTGCAATTGAAAGGCAGGCTCCTACTTGTATGGAACACCAGCATAACAAGAGCGAAACAATGGGCTTTTCGCTCGATCCAAATTTCATGAAGAGATCCGCCATGTTCAAAATAGTTCTTTATCTGTCAACCTATAAAAGCTGTAGTTTGTACGTATTGGAAAGTTTGTTGTCGTGCGTGTTTTAATAGTTAAGAAAAAGAAGTTGATTTGCGCGAAAATACAACTTGATTATAACCCAGTCGCAAATGTCACACATGGAACTAAAAATTTCGGTATAGCATGTTGTCATGTTTATTACAATGTAGAAATCATTTATTGCTGTAAATATAAAAATATAAAGCTTTAGAAAATTACATTTTGTTTATATATTTTATGCATTATGCAATTTTTTGAGATTTATATAAAACAACAATGATCAATTTGTTCGTTTGAGATTAATCTTGCAGTTAATATATTAAAAATTTTTTTAAGCAATTACCCTCTGTAAGTTAGTGGATATATTTTATGGCAATCATGTCAATCAGCAGTTCCAATATTACAACAGATTCGCAATAAATCTCGAAAGAACAATATCTACTCGTTACTGGTATCTATAAATTAAAATTTAGAATTCAAGAAAATACGTATATAATATTTAAACTGAACTTGCAAAAGCTTAATCTCTTCTTTATATTCGAACAACACAATATTACGCATATAAAACCATTCAACACTCGCAAGCTCGAAATATATTTGACAATTTGCGAGCATGATTCAGCTTTCATCATCATCATCACCCATACTCGTCCACTGCCTGAACATAGGCCTCCCGTAGGTTCTGCCCCAACAAATTTCTTGTCCTGAGGACCGCCTGCAATCCAATTTTCTATGTGGTCCGTTTCAGGGTCATTCCGTCCATCGTTGTTGTGTGGTCGTCCCTCTATTAGTTCCTAATAGGCTTCCTTGTCTGGGCTCTCCACTCAAGAATGCGTGTTTGTGCCATTCTGCCCGTCCTTGCGTTTCTCTAGACGTCGTGGCCTGCCCCTGCCCACCAGTTCCGTTTTATAGAGTTGCAGAGTCTTGATTTGATTGTCGGTCGGTTACTCCCGATCTACGGCGCAAGTCTGTGTTGGTATTCGGGTCTTTCTCTCAGGGTTATACCCAACATGGACCGTTCCATTTGCCCTCATGTGTTGTTCGAATTTTGTCTTGCGAGAGGACGATCTAATAAGTGGTGAGCGTACACCGCACCGATTATGAACCGCAGCACAGCATGATCGAAGACTTTTTCTCTTCAGCAATGAAGAGCTGATTGAAAACATCCATATAGCTATTCCCATAAGAGCTCCCATGTCAACCTATTCTACGGTATTTGTTTGCATTGGTCCAGAAAACTCTACGTTAACGAATTTCGTGTTACCCATATATTTGTATGGCGATGTTTGTTCTAGTACTTGAGTTCCAGCTATTTCGTGGATGTCTTGTACTAGGTAAACTCAACCCAAAAAGAATAACACTGTTTATAACATATTTTTGTGTTATACATGATGGTAATATGTTAATACCTTAACAATTATAGTATAAATAATAGTAAAAAAGGAATAATACTGATAACATGATTATACTTGATATACCTATACCATATTTTAAAACCAGATAAATCGAGATACAAAAGAGAAATAGAAATCGACTGATAATTTCATCTCTAATTTTTGAAGTTAGCCTTCTCATAATGCATATCGCTTTATATCGGTTTTTCTTAACTTACCAAAAATACTTTTATAGTACTTTAATATTGTTTGTAAAAAAACAACAAGTCGATATTTGTTTTAACTGAAGAACAACCTTTGTTGCTTAATCACTTATGGTTTTATATAATATTATACACTAAAGAAAGTACAATCATACAAAACAAATCTAGCTATACAAACATTAGTTTTAATAATGTACTTTTCTCGAGTGAAACAATCTTACTTTACTGTTTTGAACTAAATTCCTCATTACTTTCTTAAGCGTACTAAGATAGCAACAGTCCATTCTCCCGCCGGATAGTTCCCTGATTGTACCGACATTGTTTTCTATGCTTTTTTATCTTGTAAGTTAATAAGCTTTGAGATGAACTACAAAGCCATGTATCCGATGTAGTACCTTTGTAAGTATCGACGTCTGAGATATATGTATTAAGCTCTCGAATCAATTTGAGAACACGCCGACTATTAAAAGTATTGCTGTAAGTATAAGATGAAAAAAAAAGATCATTTTTTAAATTTATTATATTTGGATCATAAAGTTACAATAGGTTAGATATAGATATGATATATTAAAAAAGTAATATATATATAATTATTATATATAGTATATATAGTATATTATAGATTATTATGAAGGGAGATATTTGATTTTTATTCTCATTTATAATTTAATAAGGGGCAAGTTAGAAACTGAGAATATGTACATTAAATAAAACGTAGCTTAGATATTGCTTTTATCTCTTGTTATGGTAGCCTATCCGTTACGGATGTTGGACACTAACATGCTATTCTGACTTTGTTGACTGTGCAGCCCTGAAAGTCCGGTATAGTGAGGTTAACTACTCCATTTTGCCGTTTAGCGAGAGCCTTGGATTGAGTTCTTCTTCCGCTGACCTCTTTTCCCATGCGCGTTAACCGCGTTGATAGTATGGGTCTCAATAGTCTATCGTGTGTACTTTGCGCAGTGTATTGGCTCAGTTTTCAGGTGTGCGACTGTTTTAGGGTTACGACTAGTGCGCGCTTCTTTTACCCAAATCTATGCTGGGTACATCTTCGTTGGTAACTCAGTCTATCCATGGAAAACCTCAACATGAGCGACTATAGTAACCCACATCTCAAATGCTTCGAATCTCTTACATGAATCGTTCATAAGGTCCATTGACTCCACGCCTAATAAAGAGGGTACGTGAGAATTACGTAGCGAATTGTATAGTAAACGAAATTTTATGTCCATTTATAATATCGTGGCTGTTAACAGATTTTTCAGTAGTGTGACGACAGTCTGAAACTTGCATCACGATCCTATCTTAATTCGGTCGATTGGTCCCACTGTTCAGTTTTAAATTATGCACCCAGATAATCAAAAGTTGGTGATTGTTATTATAGGGTTGTTAGTTACTAGTAATTCGACCAGATGTTATCCTGATTTTTGCTTATAACTATTTAATTGTGGTTGTTTTACTAATGTTAAAATCAGCACAAACCGCTACTATACTCTCACCCTGGAGAAAATGTCGCAGACCTTCAAGACCTGTTCTGCAAAAGAGACAGTATCATCACGGATCCTTATGTTGTTCAATCATTCTCCGTTTTTAAGATATTTCCTCATCTATGTCCGTTAGCGCTATGAGTTCATGAGATGTGCCTCTGAGATATTGTATCTGAACATAAAGGGGACAATATTCACCCTGTCGCACACCCTTCTTTCTTTATGTCGTCTATTAACTGAGCCTCCGCAAGCTCTAAACACGTTATGCATGATTTGTTTCGTAATAGATATTGTTTATTATATCACGGCGATATAATAAGATATATATATACACTTATCAGTATATATGTATATATATTATTATTATAAACTAGATAGATATATATAAATTACTCAGACGCAGGACCTGGTGGGTGGTCTTCTATCGGTTCAGCGAAGTGTGGAGAACTAAATAGACGAATGTTGAGTAGGCTCCTTTATCTATTTTGAAAAGACGTTTCTGTTTTCGCTAGTTTACTGAAAAGGCCTCCTCAGTCATCATCTGAAATAGTTACAATATGCGAGAACCACACAATCATTGCGAAACGTGATGCGTTAATTGTTACCTTTTAAAAAAGACACTGTATCAGTGCAGTCACAACGTTATTTACAAATAATGTGAATGTAACTCTCAAGTAATAAACGGGGTCATAATAACGCTGATATTGTAGGACAACAATCAAGTCGAACTAACGAACTGTATACGGAAGCTCTACTTAATAAATTAGCACATGCATATGGACCATAGTGTCGAAATCTAAAGGTAATCGCAAGTTTAGTTAATATTAAATTAGTGCCAAACAGAGAACCAAGATATCTATTAGGACAACTCAACTATTTAATGCGATTTATTAAGCTTTGACATTTTAACTCTTAGGGTAGCATTCTGAAGTGGATTTATTAATAAAAAATTTATTTAAAATGTAGTGTAAAGTGAAGTCCTACAGCTTCAGAGCCCTACAGCTGTCGCCGAGTCAGGAAAAATGGACGTTAGATGAACCTAGACTAGAACTAACCGCATAAACGTTACAGCCAACCTTGAGGCGAGTCAAAATACTTTGACTGACAGATTCAGCAAGGTGGCGAGGTACCACAGCCCAAAATTACTTGGGCAGTCCAATTTAAAAGTTTTAAGTCACGTGCATTGGATGGTCTACACCGTTGCAAAAGGACAAACCATGTGAGAAAGACAATTGGTATTGTAGTGACATAGTAAACCTACCACTCATTCCTAATGCAGTCTAGACACTTACTAACAGGAGATTTTCATTCAACACTTATATAAGTGAATAACGTTAATCATTCATGGCTAGAATAATCAGCCACAGGTGGATAACGAGTAAAAATTAATTTCCAAACAGCACCAAGGTTCATACACTTGGAACATGTACGTTTTGCAAGACGATTCTTTGATATCAATTACATATTTGTATTATGTGTATTTTAATGATAAGAATAATGTGCACACTAAATCTAAGTAATCAGTGTTTGAATATGCCGAATGTAAGGTTAGCATATGTTATAATGAGTTAGTGTATAAGGGAACTATTGTAATTATTTGATATTAATTATTAGAGATTATATTTTGATATATTATCTATTGTATTAGATTTAAATACTTGCCTGGATGAAGGTGGCATGCAATTCCGAAGTATTGAGTACTTGTTGATGTCAAGTCTATTACCATTAGTGGAGTTTGTCATAATAATCCGTCTATCTTGGTTTTCGTCTCAATTACTATCATCAACTTCTGACAACAAAAGTTAGTGAGTAGCGTATACATAATTGAGGTCGTTTCTAATTGGAGATAGTGGAGTCCCAATTATCAGTTCTTATTGCGAACAAACAACTGATTACCTACTACAAAGTGTCCTGGTTACGAACAACTTTTATAGATTTTGCTCAAATTTCTATAGCTAGCGCCTGTAGATGTTTAAACCATTCTTGAAATTATGAAATCATATTTACATTATACTTTTTCTTACTAATATGCACTACTGTTGACATATGAAGCATTGAAATATATCATGACGAGTGAATTATATTTTTATCCCAACAGATTTTATGTGGAACGCCATCAAAGATCCATTGGATTCACACGTAGCTTTTGATATTGACGGCCTAGATCTTGCCTTCAAGTATTTTACTTCAACTACTTTAACTATGCGATTGGCTGGTATTACGCAAATTAACAACCAAATCGGACTACTGGCCGAAATATGCGTTGGAGATTCGTTACCTGAAGCTGAAGCTGCACCGTATGAGCGAAATGGCAGATTCGTAGAGTTGTTATACAATAACAATATTATTATTCGACAGTATTTTTTGAGTCCATACTTCTTCATGTCTGGAGGTTAAGTAATATTTTATAATTAGGTGCCATTTTCTTTCATATTCTGTGGCATATAGAGGAAGGGTCCAATAAAATCATCGACATAATTCAGATTATTTTTAGCACCCATTGCTAGACAAGTAGCCACAGATGCGTCTAAGTAATGAATCTGTCAATTTTTCACCATATCATATCATTTTAATTCGAGTACTACATTATTTATGATCTTTCTATTATTTGTATTAAGAAGTATAAAGAATCTTAGAATATACTGCATCATCTTAATTCAGCTTTGTGTTTATTTCATTCGGATAATTTGAGTTTATATATTTACTTTTTAGGTCATAAAACAAAGCCATATAATTTTAAACTTTTTGGCGCATGGGAGTGTACGATGCACTGCGATCATATTGGACGTATATTGTGGGCATGCTGCTGCCAAGCTAAAACCATATGTTCAAAACCTGTCCACGGGACTGTTACCGTGTCCGTGTATAACATTTAGCAGCCGCCCCTACTTTACATCTCTATAGTTTATTAACGAAGCTCGAACCTAAAGATCACACGGAACAAGTAAGTACAACATTAACAAAAATCATAAAATTATGTGTAAAGCAAATAATTTCTTAGTTTAGTTCGCTTTTATATTTATTTTTACTATAATAAAATACTTTATTGGTTATATTACTCCAAATACCTGGGTGGATTATCGACGTCGTAATAATCTTGTTCAACAACCCCAAACACCCTCGAGTAATGACTTTTGACTGATTTCAAAGGAAGATAACATAAAACTCCAGAACACGAGGTTCACCCTGGCCCCAGGTCGCTCGAGGATCATTGCTGTCGTAATATTCGTGTTCAGCCACGTGTTCAAAAACCTTCCAAATAATGACTTTTAACCGATTTCGAATGAAAATAATATAAAAGAAGGCAATGTCCACCCTGAGCACCAGGTACCTCGAGGAGCATCGTCGTTATAATATTTGTATTCCACTGGCCCATAACACATACTGTTTAATGACAAATCGAATGCAGCGAAAAAAGATATCAGAAAAACTAAAAACGGAAGAATTGTACAGGCTATAGATCAAAATAGAAAGTTAAAGGTCATGACACGAATAAAATATCCAACAAAGGTATAAAACCAATCTCCCATTTAAGGGATATAAAGAGGGTAATATCACAAAACCCAGGGAAACAATACTAGAAACACTTAGAATAAATCTAAACGACATTATATGCACAACAAACAAACGTTAAATAAATCCGATCCACAAACAAATGTACAAAACCAATGATCTGAAGATATACCAAATATAATTCAAAACAAGAAAACAAAACAAAATATACACTCAAAAAATGAAAAACAACAAGACTTAAAGACGATGGAATGATAACGGAAACCAAAAAACTCGGAGGTACTATGCTTCTGAAAAAAATTAGGGTCTCTTCAATTTAAACCTAAATATCTCTAGGCCAATGTGTCTAAGCAACCATATATGCCAATTGATACAAAGAACTAGAATTATAACCAATAAACTAGAAATTTTAAATTATCAGCGAAGAAAACAAGCTGATTTCCGCTCTAATTACAAAATAACTGACTATTTACAGTGGCTATACAATTCTTAATTGAAAAAGCTATAGAGTTTAGTAACCGCTAATTCTGTAGTTGTAGACTTTCATAAAGCATTTGACATGATTGAACTTCCGCACTTGGGGGCTCTCAGAAAAAATTGGCTACAGGAACACTAATATTATAAAAAATATAAATGACAATGCTATAAACTGTAAATATATGCTCTAATGTATAACTCAATGTATGCCACTCGTAGACGACGTGGTCCTTATTTGTGATATAAATCTGAAACTAACAGTGAGTATCTTTAATGGAGTCAAGGATGCAATACCTAAGGTAGGCCTTAAGGTCGCGGCATCTTATCATGCACGTATAGTTTCCGGCACGTAGCGTTTCCAGTCCAGCAATCGGACTGCGCGTTCACCTTTTCATACATAGTTTCAGTTTGGTGCGGTGAAGATGTGTTCTCGCTTTTCCAAATATTTTCTTTTTTATTTGCATCATAATAGCATTTTATCATTATATTTATATAAAATTTATTCCGTGCAAAAGACCTAATTGTTTATCACTTCCGTGTTTAATTGTCACAAAGCAATAAAAACACACGCATAAATGACAAAATAGCCTCGAAAATTATTTTTTAAATATTCTGTATTTAGAATCAAAAAATAATACCTAAATACAACGAGGGGGGAAAACGACGGATCTCCTATAATTCACATTATCTGTGATTATACTGAACGTATAAGTATGGTGTGTGATACGATACGTTCCTGACAGTGTGAATTGTTCATATTTAAAACCATTTAAATTATATTTTTCGGTAACTAAACGCTACGGGCTGGAGACGCAACGTGCTGATAATATGCCTCGAACTTTAATATTAACTATCAAAAAAACAGAAATGGTTACAAAGTTAATTCCGAGCCAGTTTATGAAAGTAGAGGATGTTGAAAGACCGGACGCCGGAGAAAAAGAAGAAACCCCATACAACCCCCATGAAACGAAGCATTTAAAATCGAAAAATTACTTGGTGCTATTTTGTAACTGGAATATTTGGGAGAGAGTCAATAGAAAATTTTTCATCATTTCAGTGTTGTGAAAAAACTACGCGTTGTTGATGAAAAGGTTCAACAGGTGACTTTCTTGAAAATATTTGTTATTTTAAATGAGAGTTATTGCTAAATTAACCCGGAATTAATACATTTCGCAATGTCAGTTTTTTTGTAGTCACTATATTATGTGCAAAAGATAGATCGGTCTAGTAGTTTTTAAACAATTCTATTTGTTTATCCCCTTTGAGAAACAAATGTCATTTTCAAATGGCTGTACAGGTGCTTAGTCAACACTTAAAAGGGTTTTTTGGTCTCATTCTTTTCGTAAGGTCTCAAATGTTCATGTTCTAAAAAGGTATATTACTTATATTAAATATATTAAATAATTGATGCAGAATGAAGTACCATTTTCCGCCTTTTATAAACATACAACAACGATAAACATTTAAATTATCGCCATTTTAAACTATGTATCTGAAAGGTTATGACAAAACACGTCTTAATATAAAAGAAGTTTATTCGGCGCATAGAACTGGAGATAATTTTTGAAGCGAAACTTCTATACTGCCGTTGCAGCATTTTTTCCTACAGTAAAATTCTGAGGCGAGCATCACGGAACTAGCGCCACAAGATGGCGTCATCACGAGTAGCGTCATAGAATAGCAGTTCTTGACATCGATTCACTACTCTCGTCAATTCGTTTCTAGTAATCATATATTTACCTAAGCAGGTTTAATTTAAAACTGCTTAAAAAATAACTAACAAAATATAGACATTAAATGAGAAGTAAAAAATTAAAAGAATATCTGTCCCTAAAAGAGTCGATTCGTAATGATTGTCAAAATGTAATAAAAGTCGATTAATAACAACATTGAATCATCTGTTTAAATTTATATAATAATTTTCATTTTAAAATAATTTCATAAATACAATTATTATTATTTTCTTCTGAATTTGACAGGTTTATCATAAGTAAACAATATATGCTTTGTTAATTACGTCAATAGGTGGCCTTAGGAGTAAACATAATAATTTATTGAATTTGTTTTAAAATATAAAAATAAATAAACAATAAATTATTTTATTTAATTTTAAATGTATTATTTAAATTTCAAAAAATACAGAAAACATAGTATGAAGCTCGGCGCTGATCTACAGTCCCGTCTACTGTTCCACTTTTTTTTAGTTTACAGCACAATCTTTTGCGAGGGTCTCTCATTTGTAGATATAGTAACTACATGAAAACTCATATTGTGAAATGTGTTTTTAATATTAATATTGTTTATTTTATTAGTTATAAATAATTGAAACAAATGTTTACTTTTTGGTTTAATTTGTAATAACTTTTTTATTTATAAACATTTTTTAATTTAAAAAATCTCATTTTGAAGAGCAAGTATTTTCAAATCGTATGTTGAACGTTTTCATCTACAATTAGTTTTTTAGTTTTGTAGATTTTTCACAATATTAAAATGAATGAAAAATCGCTTTTTTGCTAGTGTTAATAAAAACCATGACGCAGTAAACATTTCGATACTCACAAGATGGCACGACTTTTTTTATTGACTTCCAGTTGAAAAATAGCGCTCAGTAGTTTTTCGATTTTCAAGTGCTTTTTCGGTTCTTTTCCTGGGATAGAAAACTAACAGTGAGGTGGTATAATCACCATACGGATCGTTCTTTGAAACTGAGTCATAAACTACAGCATCAACTATAACAACTGGAGAAAAAAAACAATGTATACACTAAGATGGTGGAGGGAACAAGTTATAATGGAAGAAAAACAAAAAAAAATGTACCAGACAATCACTTGACAGGGAAATGTGGAAAATTTACACAGTCTAGGTCTATATGTATTAAGAGCAGTCAACATCTATCTTTCTTATTGTCGCAATTATATCTGCAGTTTTCTATTTATTTCATATTGTTTTGGTATTGTTTTATTTACAATTGATGCCTTTATGTCTTTGTGTGCTACGTAAATATTTCCTGTAATATAGTTTTTTTAATCTTTTAGACCTTGTATTTGGCCTCAGCTTTAATAAAAGCTGTGTGGTCTCGAGGAAGCGGCGCTCCAGATATTGGTCTCATAAATGTAGCTGCATCGAATGCTGGAATAGCTCTACACAAGTGTACTACTTCTTCTGAAAATAGTGTAAGCCTGGATCCTAGCAACTCAGAGGAAGAACACGTAAGTATTGCCAAATTGTTTATTCGTCTAGATTCTAGATAATTTAATTGACATGATTTTTTGTTGTAAATGATGTAAAAGTAAAAATAAAAGCATTTCTTCTGCTAACTTTACTTGCTGCTATTCAGAACAGTCGGGTTGTAGATGTATTGAACCACTTCCTTAGGTTTTAAAGCCAAAATATTCTTCTCTCTGGTCCTCTCTTTCCAAATGCCTTGCCTTGAAGAACGAGTTGCAATAAGCCTGTGCTCATTTCTCATAACATGGCCAAGATATTTAAATTTGCGCTCTTTGATTGTGTTAGTGATCTCGCAATCCTTGCTCATTCTACGTAGGATCTTAATATTAGTCACACGATCCACCCATGAAATTCGTAAGATGCGCCTCGTAACACCACCTCTGGAAGGCCTCGAGCTTTTCTAAAGAAACTTCAGAGAGCGTCCATGCCTCTACTCCGTATAATAATGTAGAAACTATATAGCATCTGATGATAGAGATTTTGGTACTAAGTGGTAAATCGTGACTTCTGAAAAGAGACTTCATCTTAACGAACGTTGATCTTGTTTTCCCTATGCGTTGTTTTATTTCAGTAGACTGCACTTATGGATAAGTACTTGTATAGCGAATGGAACTTCTCGGGTGCCTAAGGTATCGCGCAATTTAAATTGTGTCCATGACAATTGTTCTTCACATTTTTTATATATTTTGTTGTCATCATCATCATCAGTAGCTCGACAAACCTTTCTGGGTCCTGGCTTCTTCTAGGATTTTCCGCCATTTTGTTCTGTTCTTTGCTTTGTTTTTTCAGTTGGTAATCTTAAGTGTTTTCAGATCTTGTTCCACTTGTTCCATGTATCTAAGTTTGGGTTTTCCCTTTGACTTTCTCCCTACTAGTGTTTATGGTCTTATGGTCTGTCCGATCTTTATGGATGTTACGATCTCGGGTTCATTGTATGCTGTGTATAGTTCAAAGTTATATCTTCTGAGCCATATGTCATTTTCCTTTACCCCCTTATATATGTGTCAGAGGATTTTTCGTTCAAATGTACCTAATAGGTTCTCATCGCTTTTCGACAGTGTCCACGTCTTATCCATATACAAGGACCGGTTTTATCAGGGTCTTGTATATTTTACATTTGGTTTTTCTTGTGATGTTATATCTTAGATGTTTAATTAGTCCATTATATGTTTTATTAGCGATATGTATTCTTCTCTTAACTTCTCCACTGATATTGTTATCTGCGGTAACTAGTGAACTAGATATGTGAAACTTTTCACGCTTTCGATGTTATAGTCTCGTATTGTCAGATTCTGTAGGTTTCCTTGGCTTGTCGATTTACTGGCCTTCATGTATTTGGTTTTTATGTCATTAATGTTTAGGCCACTGTTTTGTGCTGAAAGAGTCTAGAAAGAGTTCTATCGCATTAAATGCTTCTATCATATCTCTTTCGCTTCTAGCTATGGTATCATGTATTTTGTTATTATGTTTTAAGTTTGGGTAGTAACCCAACGCCAAACCCCCTTTTCGGAGGGCCATTTCATCTCTCGTCCGTTACCGACCCTACTTTCCACCCGGATTGGATACCGGACCTTCAGTTGGGTTGCTCGGTTTCCATGGAACATATTGAGCAAAAACACAAAAGAGGGAATCTAATCATTATGAAAAGGAGACCAAAATTCCAATTCCGACACTTATTAACAGTAGCTATTAAATATTTTTCAGCATGTATCTTAGACGAGAAAGTTTTAATGAAATATTAACGGTAATAGTCTAAAATGTGACACAATTGTTAAAAACTTCAATATAAATAAGATTTCATATGACAGTTGGGACAAACAATAACATAACCCAACTAAATTTGATTTCTTAAACAAGAAAAGGGACTCTCTTTCCTTTTTTAATGTGGTCTCTCAAAATGGCACTTCCCGTCTAAGAATATTTTTGCCCCCACTATCTTTACATTCCCTCTTCTGTCTTCTTGCTAGATGATGGTATACCAGCGTGAAGGTGAGAGTCGGATTTGAGAAGAAGATGCCTATTTGGAGCAAACTGGAATCAACTCCATGTTTTCGCATTTTACACATTTATCCAAAAGGTGTTGGTTATCTTTGTAATTAGTTCTTTATGTATCGACCCAATGTATCGTTATGTATCGTTAAAAAACTCTAGATTAAATATTTCAATTTTGCAGTTAGATTTTGATGAAATTACTTTAAAAACTAAAATTTGATATACCCAATTACCTATAATGCAATATGTATCCAATTTTATTTAATTTTATTTTCATTTCAATTATTTTAATTTTTAGGGCGAGAGCTCGGCACAGTCGGAAAGTAGAAAAAGTGAAAGTGAGGATATAGACGCAGTAGAAATCGAGGAGGATGAAAATGGGCACATTGTCGTGGATAATAGTGGACCTCCGCCGTGCAAATTGGCTCGAAAACAAGTTATCGAAAGAGCACATTGTAATGGAAGCAGTACGGATTCAGAATTAGATGGTAATGTAGTATTTTTTAATGTATTATGCCAGTGTACGTGTTTCAACGAAAACGCGATATTAAGAAACCTCTTGTCACATATATTTATACCGTTTTCCGTAAACGTTTGACATATCTGTCATTTAAAGTGTAAATAATATTGTTTTGATAAACGAAAAAAATCCTCGAAACTATTGCGTGATGATAATAAAGAATATTACGAAATATTTTTGATGATTTCTCAAATAATAATGTACAGACTTGTTTTCTTGTGTGATTGATGGTTACATTTCAAAATATTTATTAATACACACTAGTGGCCAAAATTTTGGAAACTTTACAAAAATTACTGTTTTTTCAGCAACACTCATCTCATAATCGTGATTTATATAGTTTATCAATACAATGATGAAAGACTTAATCGAACCAAAACACATAGATAACGACACATGGATTGAATACCTAAAGAAGCTTTAAAATGATGAATAGCAAATAATGTTAGAACCAGAAACACCAGAAATCATTACAAACGAGGAAGTCGAGATAACCGTACAAGAAGTAAAACAAACTTTAGAAAAACTGAAGAACAGAAAAGCTGCAGGTAAAGATGGAATTCCAAATGAATTATTGAACTATGGTGGAGAAGCATTAACAGAACAGCTAACAGCACTAATTAACAAAATCATCAAACATAATAAAATACCTGAAGAGTGGAAGAAAAGCGATCTTATCCTACTATACAAAAAAGGAGATAAAAAACAACCTGAAAACTACAGAGGTATCAACTTATTAAACACCACTTTGAAGCTTACAACCAAAATATTGCAAGGCCAAATAAATCAGAGAATTACCTTAGCGGATGAACAGCAGGGTTTTCGCACAGGAAGATCATGCACATATGCAGTATTCATCATAAAACAGATTACCGAGAAAGCACTAGAGTATAACAGACCAGCATTCATATGTCTAATAGACCTGAAGAAAGCGTTCGATAAAGTAAAGCTTAAAGATGTAATTCACCTTCTTTACGATAGAGAAATTCCACTAAATGTTATAAAAACAATAGAGAACATTTACCAGAACAACAATATGGAAGTCAGAATAGATGACCAGCTTACAGATCCAATAGATATGGGCAATGGAATAAGACAAGGACACTCGCTTAGTCCAACGCTATTCAATCTAATCATGGATGAAATCATCAATACTATTAATAAAGGAAGAGGATACACAATGGGGAACAAAGAAATCAGAATACTCTGCTATGCAGATGATGCGGCCCTAATTGCATCCAATGAAGACGATCTACAAAGACTAACCCATAGATTCAACACAAGGGCAAAGGACTTTAATATGGTGATCTCTACACAGAAAACTAAAACAATTGTAATCAGTAAAGAACCAATTAGATGTAAACTGGAAATCGACGGTATCAGCATTGAGCAAGTAATGGAGACAAATTACCTAGGAATTACACTGTCTAGCTACGGAGATGTGGAGAAGGAAGTGAAAAATCAAGTACAAAAGGCTAATAAAATAGCAGGTTGTCTTAATAACACGATATGGCACAATCCCCACATTAATACCGACGTGAAATCAAGAATCTACAAAGCAACAATAAGACCAATAATGACATACACTTCAGAGACAAGACCAGATACCTCCAAAACTCAGCAACTACTAGAAACAGCAGAGATGCGTTTACTGAGGAGAATTACAGGAAAACACACTGAGGGATCGAATGAGGAGTGAAGAGATCAGAAGAAAATGCAATATACCAGAAATAAATGAGTGGACACCGAACAGAAAAAAGGAATGGAACGAACACATAAACAGAATGGAAGAGACCCGATTAGTCAGAATAGCGAGAAACAAATCACCAAAAGGTAGAAGAAGTATCGGGCGACCACGCAAAAGATGGAGTGATAACCTCCAATAGAGGCATTAATCGACATTGAACAAGCATTTTGCTTATAAAAAAGAAGAAGAAGAGAAGAAGAAGAAGAATCAATACAATTAGATTTGTATATAATTCTGATTAATATTTTATAAGTTTCTCATTTTATATACGTTTACATAATTATTTAATAAAATAAGGCAGGAAATAGCAGAAAATACTGTATCACGTCAGTTCCGTTAGTCAGTCAACGACGAGTGGCGTGATTCTGTCGTCCAATCGGAAGCGTTCAGTACATTACAAGGAAATTCTACATAATAAAAACTCAGTTCTTAACAGATGGGCACAACATATCAGCGAACATCTAAACATAAACGATATTGAAGGAGGTTACAACATAGAAAATCGACAAAAACTACAACGTCAACTACACAGTGAAGACCCAACAAGAGAAGAAGTGTCAAATGCCATCCTAAAACTCAAAGACAACAAAGTCCCAGGAATCAATGAAACATGTTCGGAAATGTATAAAAAAAGGTGGTGATCAACTTTTTGCAGCACTCTATAAACTAATAGTACTTATATGGAATAATGAGTTGGTAGCAGAAGAGTGGTTAAAGGGAATAATATGTCTGTTGCATACAAAGGATGATCAACTGGAGTGTAAGAACTATAGAGGCATTACTCTTTTAGCATCTGCGTACAAAATCTTAGGAAATGTATTGTTTGCAAGACTTAAACATTTATATACTTATAAAAACATTTATATACTCATAAAACATACAGAATATAATTTGTTTATGGTAATCGACTGAAACTGCAAGTTCCATAGGTGGGCCAACTGATATGGGAAGAGGCTCGTATATCCCTAATCAACTATAAAACTCTAATGTGAAGTGTCTATTTACACTTAACTTAATATAAGCCAGTGGGTGAACTTAAGTTGTTCAACCCTAGAGGCCGTGTATCTGACGCAAAAAAGCAAAGACCCTCGAAAAAGTTCGAGATTTCTTATGTAGTCGAAAAAAAAAAACGATAAACAGTGGTAGGTCGAGACATAATGCGGGCAGCTAATGAAAAGAGCCTGCCTGTGAAATCCTAGAAAGATAAAATCTGTCTATACTTTATGATCAAAGAAAAGAATCAGAGGGCTTAACGCAAAATACGAGTTTTCGCTACAAAACTGTATTTAAAAACTAATTACTTAACGTCGACAGCCATCGCAACACCAAACTAAAATGAATCAAATCTTAGAGTTTGTATATTTTATACCCTGGATCCAGACAGCTTGAACTAACAGTTAATATAAACATTTTTAGTACTTCGAGAAGGGAAACTGCATTTGTGTTAATAATATAAAATCGGTTACACGGCTGAAGTACTCGTAGATTTTAACTAGACTAAACACACGAAATTAATTATAGGGTAACTTGAAACATGACGTGTACTTAGACGTAATAACAATCTACGAGATAGTATATGTACAGTACCGTCAAAATTTTAAGGATCGTTATTACTAGAAAAATGAAAACACTACAAAAGAACAGACAGAAAACCAAAAGTTGGTCAATACGATGATAATATCTGTTTTTAGAAGATCATCGCAGATCCACAAAAGACATTATAATCCCATTAAATTAACCCCTGGAAAGAAGCCGTTCTTTTACAAAATCAGAGACAAAAACATTGATTGGGCTTTTGTACACAGAGAGTGGACAGAAGAACAGTGGAATAATTTAATCTAGAGTGATGAAACCAGAATCTTGATAGTTGGAAGTCATGGAGCGAAGTTTGTTCACCGCTGAACGGGAAAAGATCTTTTGGTCTTTCTCCTTGAAACGGAGTTTGACAGGGCAATATTAATGTAAAAAATATCAGGACTGCTGCCGCATAACCGAGATTTGCTTGAACAGGATAATTGCCAATGCATTTAACAACAGGATGTAATGCTCTGTCATAAGACAAGACTTCCACGGAATAGTTGAGAAACCATTCGTTACATTATGTGCGTTATTGTACTGCCTTGGCTGGTAAATAGTCCCGATCTAAATCCATTAGAAAATCTTTGGTCTAGGTTGAAATTGTTACTGAAACCCAAGTAACAAGAGAGAACTGATAGTAATTCCAAGTGGGTTTACTAATTACAAATACTAATTTTCTTCATAATAACGATTGTGCTGTATGTATCTACTATTGTGCTGTGGTTGCGCTGTGATGTACCTACTAAAAGCTAACGGCTGTTGTTTGATTTATTCTGAAATTTTTTAAAGTTTTGTCGTCTATACATAATAGTCGTTAAATATTACGTAGAAGCATAAAATGCTGCAATAAAATTATAGATAATCTTATCAATAACATACTCGTGTGAAGAAAGAAGACTATTAACAAAACTAAAATTATTGTAGAGTTTTCAGAATTTTGGGCACTAGTGTACTAGTTAAACAAACTATAAAGCACATTATTATCAATTCAAGTCCGAATCTGACGTTGACATTTGTTTGTAGGATTGTCATATCCAGCAAATACAAAATGGGCGCCCGGACAAGGCAAAATTAAAGCAGAAACTCGTGCAACGGTACGTAAGAAAATAGCAGCCAAGATCAACATTTTGCCGAAAGTCGACGAGAATATCCCTTCCAGTAGTTCTCAAGATGAGGCCGATACTGAAGACTCCCCTTCGAAATTAAGGAAACGGAGAAAATTATTAAGGAAAAGCAGGTCCAAAAGACAAAAGGGTAAGAGTTTGTTTGCTTTTTAGCCTATTTATTAATATACAGGACTATACAAATTCATCAGTTTGTTTGATTAGCAAAGTACATGATAAAATAGCTCAAATAAATGTAAGATTTTCGATAAAGGTTTCAATCCAACGCGTACAACATGTAAGTGAATTCAAACATGTAAATCTAGAAAGCAGTGATGATGAAATAGCCATTCCGAAAACGTTCTCTGAAGCAGTCCGGTAGGGTTTTTATATTAGTATACATTTTATAAAGAAAATAATCATTCTCCCAAGTCCTGTTTGTAATAAAGTAAGTAGCAGCGTGTAGCTTCTGTAGAGGAAAAGACCTCTATAAGTACTTGTATGTGTTATAATTTTTTAAACACAACACCTAGAGATACGGAAAAGATATGAATAATCAGAGAAAGGACACATTAGACTAAAAGTTTCTCTACATTTATATAAAGTTTCTCTGGGAGTGCAAAGAAAAGGCTAACTTGTTACAGTATCTAAATTATGCACAGCAACCAACACTCATAGCTAAGCAGCACACATAATGATTAATATTTCACGTCTGGGTATACTCGAATTTGGTTTTGATCATATTTTTGTTTGTTCCATTTTATTTCAGTCGTTATCCTAAGTGGAGCTTTGCAAATATATTTTAAATCCACTTTGTTGAATTTCCCTCCAATAATTCTGTTATGTTGCTATGCATTTTTAGTATCCACAAGTTGTGTACACACTTTTTAATCGCCTTTCGACGGAAGATTCATTCAATTCATTCATTTATTCTTTTTTAGTTATCTGCACTGCGATCTTTTTTATACGACCTACACGCCTACGTATATATCGATGAACCTGGGCGCACATTAGATCTGGTATTCTCATTCTGCACTGCCAGAACACAATTCAAAAAACCAGAAATTCTATATTTGCATATTTATTTGTTTACCAAGGGGCATATTGTTTAAAAAACAAGTATTCTTTCAAAAAATATCGACTTGTGAAGCAATAAAAACTCCGAGAACATAAACAGAGAAAGGTTATTCTTATCTCCCACCTGGAACCTGCTCGAAGGACCATTATTTTGTTTTCTGCACATACGATGACCTTTATATATAACAAGCCATGAGAAATGGAGTAGGAATATATAAATTCGATCCAGAGCTCGTTGCTGACTTCATTTCCGATAGTCTCATAATGATAAATAGATATCATCATAGAGATCAGTGCAGAAACGCTGCATTTTCCGTTAGAGTGCGACATCAGAGACTCGACGACTCAGATTCGGAGCTCGAATCATGGACCGAGCATGTAACACAAAGAAGTAATGAGAATAGTTAACAAAAGAATGGAAATAATGAAAACCGTCAAAACACGAATGCTGCAATACCTAGGGAATGTCATGTGTAGTGAGAGATACAACATACTTCGATTAATGATTCTAGGGAAGAGATTTCTCGGGGCAGGAGAAAAAAAAGAAGGCGAAGAGTCTCATGACTGCGTAACTATATCAATTGGCCCATTCAGAGCAGCTGCATCCAAGATCAGAGTAGCCATCAAGTATGTGGATGATGTTTACCTAGAGTTGAAATTAAATCGGAGGTGCGAACAGAAATGGATTGTTTATCATTGGATTGGTTTGGCATATAGAGGGTTCAGAATAGAAGTGAACCAAGTCCACTTTTTGCCATTTACGAGTTAACAATGCATTTTTTGGGGTTACTACATCAAATTTCGCCAATTAAAGCAAATTTTTGTTGGAGGATAAATATTATATTTATTCCTCTTGATTTGAGGATTTTGTCAGTAACACGTTTGATGTAAGAAAGAAATGCTTTCGTATGATGAGGGTCTGAGTCTTTAGGTTGAGACTGAGTGGGAGATTAATGTCTGTGTATTCTCCTATTGATGTGATTTTCGCGGTAACCATTTTGGATAAGGGTTTATTTTAAATACTTAATAATCACAATTTACTGATTTCTACTGATTTTTTGAAAGCAAATTTGCTGAAAATAAAAACTGACCTGGAACCCCTTGTATATTGGTTACCGTGACCATCACCTAATTGTTCTCCTGAAGAAGCTACATATATAGTGCGAAAGAAATTTGTTTTATGTGCATAGTTTCTAACATATGCATCTAGGTAAATTAGCACTACAGGTAAATTTTTATATTGACTGTAAAATTTTTATATTGACGATAGCATCCTCAGAGTTCCATATCAGAATGTTCTGTAACTTTCTATTTACTCGATCGTCATAATTCTTGTTTAAGTTATTATCCGCTGTATTTCATCTTTGTATACCAAAAATATTTTTAAGTGAATCTTAGAGGGTACAACTAGCTTCGTATTTTGATTATATGTGGATTATCTACCATCATCCGCTCTTGTTTATTGTTTTATTCTTTCATCTTGTGGTTCCCCGTCTCTTTTAATTTTCCACTTTGGACTCGATCGGCCTTATTTCTTTTCGTGTTATTGAACTAATTATATTTTATTAGTAACCTTTCTATCTTGTTGTAACCTAGATAATATTTGTATATATACATCCCAAATTTCGTGCTATATCTCTTTCTATCTCTCCAATCATCCTAGTTCAGACATTTTTTTTACATAACGAGATTCCAGTTTCTTCTTCCATGATCATACAGCATCTTGTATTTTCCTTCTTTATCTCGGAATGTAGATTAGTATTTTTTTGCCATCGCTCATCGTGTATCTTCATTACATGTCCCAATTCATTGTAGTAGTTTTGCTTGGATCCACTGATTTATGGTTTCTGTGAAATGTGTATGAAGCCTTATTTTTCTTAATTTTTAATTATCTGCTTTCTTAAAAATTAGCGTGTTCGCCTGATATAATCAATTTCAAAGGCTTCCATTTTCCTTTTTCTCTCTTTATATAGTCCAACATTCTGTACCATAGATTTCGATTGGTTCTTCTACTACTTTACGTACTTATTCTTTTCCTTAGTACTAGAGTGCAATCTATATTTTACCACCTAAGTAGGTTCCTTAATACCATCATAATCATCAGTAGCTCGACAACCCTTCGGGTCCTGGTTTGTTCTAGGATTTTCCTTGAACATTCTGTTCTGTTCCTTGCTTTGTTTTTCCAGTTGGTAATCTTAAGTGTTTTCAGATCTTGTTCCACTTGTTTCATGTATCTAAGTTTGGGTCTTAATGTTGCCTAATCCAGGTGACTTGTTGTTTTTCAGTCTGGTATCTTCTTGAATTTTAGCTACTGAATGGGGGGTTGTGTCTCTAGTATCCGTTTGATCCAGTATAATTCCATCATATTGTGGATCTTTTTTTTGTGCTATTACTTTTGTTTTCAAAATCTTTATTTTATTTGATTTTTTAAAGTGTGTTAAGATTTAATTTTTTGTCTCAAATGTTGATATCTAAATTTTTAATTCGTTTTTATATGTATATTTACAAATTTAATTCAGATTTATTTGATTTACTTTGAGTTTATTAAAACTGTTACTTTCTATATAGGCAATCACAAAAGAATTCAACGTATAGCCGCCATAGAGGCAATGGATAGTGACCACGAGATCAAGAATCGTTTAAAAATGATTAATCATAATTTGCACGTGGCCCAAATAAATAACGTAGTTGATTTGAACGTCAAACAGGCTGTATACCTGGAGGAAAGTTCTTCCTGTAGCGAACTAGGTAAAGAAGGTCATGACGGAAACTGTGCTAATTTTTTAGCTTTACACTCATCGTCAGGGTAAGTATGAAACTGGTTTATTATCGTTTTGAGCGTTGACCTGTCCTCATATAGAAATGCAGCCAATTTTGGCGGAATCGCTTTTTGATTATCAATTTTCATATTCCGGTTTTTTAAGCGTACTCGTTCGTCCAGTGGGGATCTATGGAGTGACTAACATTGAGACGCAAGCACTCATGTTTAACTGTACTGTTCATCCATAGGTCGATCCTCTATACCAGCGTATTCCAGTCTAAGTAGCAGATCTATTTAGAATTTAAACTACTAAATTAGCCTTTTTGTTTTCTGGTCAGTCCTGAGCTGGGTCATTCACAGTGAAGTGAATGCGATTCTGTTGCATGAACCGCTTGGCTATCTGCAAAGTTTAATATGTACAAGTATTTGTTTCTCACTAGTATATCCATTATGGTTTTGAAACTATTTTCTTGCGAGCTTTCTATATAAACTACCCTATTTGATAAGAATGAACCACTATTTTAATTAAAAACCTTATATTTGACGTCTCAATATCCAGCTCGTAAATCGTTCTCAAAACAATAATCCATTCTTTCACAGTAAACCTCAGAATTTTAAAGAACCGCACCGATTTTAATGGAATTTTGCAAGTAAGCGTAACTTCTTCTTCTTAGTCGTTAACCTGATGCAGGTATCGTGATATCATGAAGCTGTTAGGTAATTTTTCCAATGTTCCTCCACGTTTTTCTATCTTCTGCCAATCTAGCACATTCTGACAATGGAGCGCCAATGGTAGCAACAATATGGTCCGTGTATCGTGTAGGAGATCTACCTCTACTTCTTTTGCCTTCTACTTTTCCCTGGATGGTAAGTTTTTCAAGACCATTTCTTCGAAGCACATGTCCAAAATAGCTTATTATCTGTTCTGTTATTTGTGTTCTTAGTCTTTTCTTTATGTTTAGCTGGACCAGTATGGATTCATTTGTTCTTCGGGCCACCCATGGTATTCTCAGCATTCGTCTCCAGCAGTACATCTCAAATACATCTATGTTCTTTTTGTCTTTCTCAGTAAGGGTCCAGCATTCCGATGCATAAGTAAAAACTGGAAAAACTAGACTTCTTACTAGTCTCATTTTTGTATCGGTAGTAATTTCATGGCTTTTCCAAATTTTTGTTAATTTTGCCATAGCGCTTTTTGCGATTGCTGACCGCCGCTTTATTTCTTCAGTACAGCCTCCTTTGTTGGTTATTAATGAGCCCAGATACACAAATTTATCTACAACAGCGATATTGTTTATCCTAACCAGATGATTTTGATTGTTGTTAGCTCTGTCAATTATCATGATTCTCGTTTTATCCCTGTTTATTTTAAGGCCCATCGATAAGGTTACGTCTTCTATCCGTTGTAGCAGGTGAATCAATTCAGTTTCAGAACTAGCGAGGATAGTAGTATCATCTGCATATCTCAAGTTGCAAATCTTCTTCCCGCCAATGGTGATGCCACCGTTCCAGTCCTCAGTAGCTTTCCGCATTATCCATTCACCATAGATGTTAAATAAAATTGGGCTTAGTATGCAGCCTTGTCTCACGCCCTTTGTGACCCTGAAACTGTCAGTTAGTTCCCCATTTATTCTAACTCTGGCATAATTGTTATTGTACAGGCTTTTAATTAGCAGTATCAGATGATTAGGGACTCCCATTTCAGACAAAACCTGCCACATTTTACTCCAGTTGACCAAATCGAAAGCTTTACTATAATCTATGAAGCACAAATATGTTGTGATGTTGAATTCTCTGGATTTTTCTACAATCTGCCGTACGTTTAAAATTTGTTCTCTAGTACCACGTCCTGGGACGAAACCTGCTTGTTCCTCCGCAATGTTAGGTAGTAAAAAGGGCTTTATCCTCTCGAGAATTATGTGTAAGAGTATCTTACTGCAATGCGCAATTAGAGCAATTGTGCGATAGTTGCTACATAAATCTTTCGCTCCCTTTTTATGTATGGGAATATATAGTGATTGTGTCCAGTCCTCAGGCCATTTACCTGTCTCCCACACTCTTTGACAAATTTGATGTATTATATCCACTCCAACGTCATCTAGGGCCCAAATCATTTCAATAGGTATGTTATCTGGACCGGCAGCTTTTTGACTTTTTTGCCTCATAATTGCTGCTTCAACTTCACTTTTGAGTACGTCAGGTTCCGTCGCAAAACCGGCATCTTCTTGTTGTGATGGGGCGTCTGTGCTTTCCTCCATCATCAGTCGTCCACAGTATTCTTTCCATCTGTGTAAAATATCTTTTTTAGAAGTGAGTAGAGTTCCGTTATCATCTTTGATAGCAGGGTAGTTTGGTGTAAAGGAACGTGTTATCTGCTTTATTTTTTTAAACATGTCTCTGGTCTCAGTTTTGGTTTTATGCCCTTCTATTTCCATGCAGATTTTGTTCAAGTGTGTGTTCTTGTCCTTTTTGCAGAGTCGTTTTATTTGACCGTTCAGCGCTTTATAGGCCTCTTTATCACTTTCACTGTTCAGTCCTGTGGCTTTTAAGCACTTCCTCTCCTGTATTTTAGTCCACGTGGAGTCCGTTATCCATTGTTTCCTTCTTTCTTCTCTATCACTCTTAATATTTTTCGCAGCATTATGCAATATCGATTTTGTTTTTGTCCATATGCTGTTTGAGGACTCGTCTGGATTTAATGATTGTTTGAGGTCACATAGCTTTTGCATTGCGGCTTTTTTGTACGGATCGTTATATCTTAGATGCCATTTAGTTGTTGTATTTCCTGTTTTTGGACTGTTTCTTAACTTCATGCGGAATTCAGCTGATAAAAATTGATGGTCGCTATTACAATCTTTTCCTGGATAGGTCTTAACATCCTTAACAGCGCTCCTCCAACGGGTTTTTACCAGTATAAAATCTATCTGATTTCTGTATCTATTTCCTGGTGATATCCAAGTGTATAGTCGTCTTGGGTGATGTTGAAAGCCTGTATTAGTAACAAACAGGCTGTTGTCTATACAAAAGTGTAGCAAGCGTTCTCCTCTGTCATTTCTTTGGCCAAGTCCATATAATCCGACGGTCTCTCGCAAGTAATGATCTTCTGTAGTTACACCAATTTTAGCGTTGAAATCGCCTACGACTGCTGTGATTTCTCTATTTGGAAGCTTCCTAAGCGTCTGCTCCAACGTACTATAAAATGTTTCGATTTCTTCATCGTGAGCTTCGCTTGTTGGGGCATATGTTTGTACCACATTAAGATTAACTGGACTTAACGTAGCTTACTTATAAGCATTTATTGCGGAAATTTTTATACTGATGTACATATGAAAATGCTTTGTCTCATTCCACTCACATTCCCTGTAATTTAACATGGACGACGCTATGTCGTTACGAGCGTATTTAAGACAACTTATATGAAAGCATGCGATATAGGGTATTTTCAAAAGTTATATGATTAAAAGGTGTGCTTTGTTTGTTTTTAAGGGTGAAAACTACCCTTTTGTTACCAAAAATTAAAAACCGTAGATTTATGCGTTATTTTGATGTTAATTATGTTTAAGTTTGTTAAATAAAGATTTGTTTATCATATGGGAATGCATGGTATAACGATGATTGTCTTTCAAACCTCTAGTTTTGACCTTCCATCGATCTGTGTTCACGGCTTCTAGACTTGCGTCTCACCCCTCGTACCGGTCCTCGCAACAGAACAACCCAAAATTCTTGTCAAACAAGCTTCTTGTGCTTTAATAAAAGATTCCTAGCGCATCTGCTCAAGAAAAGCTGATAAATCTTGCACAGTGTTCAAATTGTTTACCTTTATATTTTTTGCAAGACTAAATAATACTATAATTGAATTGAACTTTTTTGCTTTATCATGTTTTCTATGCTCATTTCAAATTTCATTTCAATCGGTGCGGATCTTTAAAATTCTGAGCAAAAACCATGAAAGAATGGAATACATTTCTTGATTATTTTTAAAATATCTTTTTTTTTTCTTCAATTTTCGGTCCCTAATATTCGCACGCGTTGTATACATGTTGCAGTATGCGTTGTAACTCTTCCATATCATTTGGAAAAATGACTGTATCAACAACATAGGTAATGTCAGTGATCTTGCATCCGTTTGACCACAATACCTTCTGCAGCTTCCGATAGAACTCTGTAGATTTTAAATTAGAGTGTTGAAAATATGCATCCTTGTCGAATTCCTCTAAGTAGTTTATTGCGTGTGTCATTTCTCCTTTGATAATAACCTTTGATAAAGATGTGATACAATTTTTAGATCTTTACTGTTTGTTATTTTTCTTGTATGCTATATTTCAGCTCAAACTTAATTATACAATATCATCATCATCATTGGCTCCACAACCCATGGTGAGTCTTGGCCTGCTCAAGGTTAAGTCTCCATTCTCTATTATTCTTCGCCTTGACTTTCCAGTTTCGTACTCCCAACATTCTCAAGTCTTCCTCCACCTGATCCTTAAATCGTGCTCTGGGTCTGCCTCTCCTTCTCACTCCATCTATTCTTTGGTTATAAATATGTTTTGGCGGCTCTATCTCATTCATTCTCTCTATGTGACCTAACCATCGCAGTCGGTTTATTTTGATGGACCTAATAATATCAGGTTTGTCATACAGGCGGTAAAGTTCGAAATTATAGCGTCTGCGCTATAATCCACCCTCTTGTACTCCTCCATAGATATGCCGGAGGATTTTACGCTCAAAGCATCTTAAACGTTCTTCATCGCTCTTTGTCATCATCCATGTTTTCGACGCGTATGTGAGGATGGGCTTGATAAGAGTTCTGTATATCACTAGTTTCGTTCTTTTTGTAACTAGGCTTGTTGTTAAAATTTTTTTTAATCCATAATAGGCTCTACTTGCCAGATATATCCGTCTGTTAATTTCTGCACTTAATGCATTATTCCGATTATAAAATATATATATATATATATATATATATATATATATATATATATATATATATATATATATATCCCGTTTATAGCGTAATCCGCCTTTGGGTTCCCGTTCGCCAAGCCTGTCTGTTCTGCCAGTCTTCTTCAAATAGATTTCTTGCTGACATGGCTTTTGAAATTTCTTGCATCCATGTTGTTGGTGGTCGTCCTCGTTTTCTTTTCTCTGGTGGTACCCATTCTAATATTTTTTTTGGTAGTCTTTCTTCCCCCATACGTCTAACATGTCCGTACCATGTCAGTTGTTGTCTTTCGATGTCTTCTATAATTGATCTTTGTACATTCATTTGATTTCTTATGTCCTCATTTCTCACATGTTCTAATCGAGACTTTCCCGCTGCTCTCCTCCAAAAATCCATTTCAACTGCCAAGAGGTTACCTTTAAGTTTTTGTGATAACTGCCATACTTCTGAGCCATACACGATTACTGGTTTCAATATTGTGTTATATATTCTTTTTTTCGTTTCCGGTCTTATATTTTTCTGCCATAGTACTGAATTCAATGCACCTATAACTCGTTTTCCTTTGGTTATTCTGTCTTTTATGGCTTCATCAGTTCTTCCTGTCTTTGTTAGTTTTACCCCCAAATATATACATTGATCGCATTTCTTAATTTTCCCGTCTTCTAAGTCGAGGTCATCTGCAGTATTTTCTCCTATGCAAAGATATTGCGTTTTTTGTAAATTTACTTCGAGGCCCCATTTTTTGTACTCTTCCATTAGTTTTCTAGCCATATACTCTAGGTCTTCCTTGTCTTGGGCAATAACTACCTGGTCATCTGCATAATGCAGCGTGTATAACGTTTCATCCCCAATAGACAGCCCCATCCCTTTACACTTCTTTTTCCATTGCCTGAGTGCTTCGTCGATATATATATTAAATAGTATGGGAGATAAACAACAACCTTGCTTCAGTCCTTTTGTTACCTGAAAACCATTAGTAACCTTATTTCCTATTTTAACTTTTGATATTGTGTTGTTATATAGATCTTTAATAGCGTCGATTAGTGAAACGCTGATACTGGTTTTCTCCAATACTTCCCACAATTTCGCAACAGGCACGGTGTCATATGCTTTTGTTAAATCGACTAAAAGTAAATGCACTTCTCGAGATCTCAGTGTTCTTTTCTCGAGTATTTGGGATAAGCAAAAAATACTATCTATTGTGGATCGTCCCGCTCTGAATCCGTTTTGTTCTTCTGATTCAAAAGGACGGTATTCTTCGCATATGCGTTCTTTTATAATTCTCCCATATAATCTGCTAAGCGTACTCGTAACAGTTATACCCCGATAGTTATTGCAATCTTCCTTATTTCCTTTTTTATGGATAGATGTAATCCATCCTTCTTTCCAACTTTGTGGCACTGGTTCTCCGTGCAAGTGCCTATTGAAAACTTCTGTTAGTATCTCGAATAGTTTGTTGGTTCCATTTTTTATTAACTCTGCATATATCCCCTCTGGGCCCGGAGCACGTCCATTTTTCAACAATGATATAGCTTTTTTAGTTTCTTCGATGTAAATTGTTGGAGGCTCTCCTTGAATCAGGATTTCATGTTGTTCTATGTTTTTGAATTCCGGTCTTTCTTCTACTAACAGTGTTTTATAGTGTTTTTCCCATTTTTCGGGCTCTATGGAGTGTATGGCTATTTGTTCTGTTCTGTTGGATCTGATGTTTTTTATAAATCTCCAGGATTCTCTTGATTTGCGGCCGCCAATATACGTATCTAATTCCTGACATTATATACTTTACGATTATAAAATATACTTAATATAAAATTAAATTTTTTTTTATTTTAGGCATGTTTTGGAAATGTTAAGTGGAGAAGAAGCCGAAGTGGAAGGAGACGCCGAAGGTAGCTATTCTTCTCGTATGAGCAACAAATCAGAAAAGAATATGGCTGATTTCGATGGAGAAGATTCCGTGTGCGAAGACGAACTTGCCAGATTGACAGAGCACGCTAGTATGAACCTCCACGTATTTAATCATCCAGCGGAAAAAGCGACAATTCGTGCTGATCTACGATTATCGGCTTGTTTTAAAGTTGATAATGTTTGTCAGCCTGGTAATACGTTACTTTGGGATTTGCTCCAGGACGACAAGATCTGTCAGCTTGGGGAAGGTTTAGCTTTAGAGGCCGAAAAGACGTTATGTAATTTGATCTGTTTTACTCCCGATAAAGAAATTAGGATGAAGTTTATCGAAGGTTGTTTGAATAATCTCGCAAATAATGTGTAAGTATTTTTTGTCTTATACGTAAATAATTTATGGTAGGCATTCTTCATTGTTCAATAATAATTTTAATTTGGAATTTTCATAAAAAAAATTTCATCAGTGTTGACTCACTTTTAACAAAAACGTCCTTATTTTTTTCTTATTCTAGCTATTGTACTTTCAAGGTAAAACCCATAGCCAATGTTGTAAGACCATATATACCATGTGTATAATAGGTCGGTCAATAAGTCCCGGTGAAGTCCCTAACCATGAATGGTGACTCTAATGAATTTTCCATTTGATATTTCTGCTTTTGACTACTTTTGTGATTTTTATAAACAATGGATTAAAAGCTATTTTATTGATGATTTATCACTGTTATTTAATGGGGAAAATACCGTCCAAACTGAGCAATGGCTTAAAAAGGTTTTTTCAAGAATCTGCGCCATCGATAACAACCACTAAACGATGGTTTGCTGAATTCAAAGACCAAATGATACATTATTCTGAAGCTATTTTCTTGTGGCATTGTAAATTAATTGCTATTTAACTGGGAATAAGCCACAATTAAAGATAAAAATACGTTTATTGACGTTTCAATTTCCGAAGTGGAAATTGAAACGTCAATAAACGTATTTTTATCAAATGATACAGTTATTCCCGAAAACATCGAAAATATGCTAAAAATTATTATTTATGGAAAACCGCAAAATGAAGTTGTTGAAAAAACTCTAAAGTTATCAAAGGGTAGCATTTTGACAAGTACACAAGAATATTTGGGTATAACAAAGCTGCTTTTCAAATGGGAATGCGTTTTATCACACCATAGCAAAAGCAGCAACGAATTGATGAATATCAGCGCTGTTTGGATATGTTTAACCAGAATGAGTCGGAGTTTTGCTTCGGTATGTCACAATGGATGCAACGTGGATTCATCACTTCACTCCAGAATCAAACCGATAGTTATCTGAGTGAACAGTATCCGTAGAAACTTGTCCAAACGACTAAGACGCAACAAACCTCAGGAAAGGTTTTGGCCTCTGTATTTTGAGACCCATATGAAAATATTTTCGTTGAATATTTGAAACACGGAGAAACAATTAGCAGGGACTAGTATATTGGTTTATTGCAGCGTTTGAGGACCGAAATCGTAAAGAAAAGGCCTCATTTATTCAAGAAAATAGCATGTTTGACCAAGGCAATGCACCGTGTCACAAGTCGATGAAAACGATGACAAAAATGCGCAAATTGGATTTTAAACTGCTTCCACAACCACCGTGTAGTCCAGATCTGGCCCCGAGCGACTACCACCTTTTTTAAGAGAGAAAAGCGTCTTTTCTTTGGCAAGAGATATCGCTCCAATGAGGAAATAATCACCGAAATCAAAGTCTATTTTTAATAAAAATATAAATAGTTTTACAAGGGTGGAATCGAAAAATCAGAAAAGGCGTTGAAATTATTGTATCGTCGCGAAAGAAAATTATTTTGTAAGGCCCGAGACTTATTGACCGATGGGTTGTATTACCACAGGTCGATATAAATGATATCTAAATTATTTATATCATGTATGTATGTTTTATGTCGGTCAGATAGCTCAGCGGGCTGTGCGGCTGCCTCTCATTCGCTTCACTGTCGAATGGTTTAGTGGATGTGGGTCGAGCCCCAGCTCGGTGTACAGAAAACAAAAAGTCTAACGCAGCAGTTTAAAATTCTAGATGAATCTGCGGCTTAGACTAGGATATGCTGGGATCTGATCGGCCTATGGTGGAGCAGTACGGCAAGAGATAAGGGCACGGGCGTAACGCCTAAAAAACCGGATATATATATATATATATATATATATATATATATATATATATATATATATATATATATATATATGTATGTTTTATACGTTTGAGAAAATTAATAATTATTTAAAAAATTGCTTTTCAGGTCCGTTGTTGTTTCTCTGCGTATGCTTCCGAAGTTGCTGACATCTTTTCGTGGACTCGACATGCATCACGTAACTCACTGGGCCGATCGGCAGCACCACATGATGACGCATTTTTTTAGCAACTTAAAAGTTTATACTGCCAATCCCAGTAAGTCGCTGCCGATGTATACTCATCAGATGCAAGTACAAGTGAGGCTGCACTTCTTATCGGCTGTGTTTTCTCCAGTGGTATCTCCAAATAATTTTAAGTAAGTGTACATTAGTCATCGTCTTAGCATATTTAAGATAATAAGTTACAATAACAATACATTAAATTAAGCCATATTTGAAACTTAATTAGTTGACAGTGTCAACATATATCACCACCACAATTACAGCAGATACTATTTAATTAGAGCCAACAATGATAAGACCAGAAGTGGAAGCAGCACTCAAAAATGATCCTGGCAATAGGTGAAGACATATTTTACAGGATCTACCAAATCATATGACAAACATGTAAGTGGCCGGATGACTTGACTACCTCAGTTTATGTACCAATCCACAAAAAAGAATTAAAAGAAATTTGCAACAATTACCGAACCATTTTCCTTATACCTCATGCTAGCAAATTCATGCTGCGGATTATCAAGACTTAAGCCGTACTTGCTCCCTGAAATACCGAAAGAACAGGCAGGATTTATGCCAGGTAGGGATACCAGAGAACACATTTGGAATTTCAGACAGATTATTGAAAAATCAATGTAAGCACACACACGTGTGATTTATTGATTAAAGTAAAGCACTTGACTGTGTCAGATCGGACAAAATGTGGAATTATCTGGAGGAAATGAGTGATTCAAAACACACCTAGTACTATACGTAGAAGACTGAGGGTACATGGGGGGTATATACGTCCATGGGGGTAGTGTATACGAATAAAAGGTCCAATGTTGTTTTTTAACATTCTGTGAATTGTTCGAGTCGATACCTGTAAAAATTAATCACATTACCGTAAGGATGAATTTGGATTAGCTGCAAAATATTCCAGGATATCTATTTGTAAGTCTTTATTATCGATGTGGGTCCTTTTACTTATAAACTGACCAAATTGGAGACAGTTGTTCAACAAACGTTTTACAGTTTTATGATTTGGTCAAGGCTTCTCAGGATATCTCTCAGCAAAAACACGGCAAGTTCTGGATATTATTCTGTTACACTCACCGTAAATTCTAATTAAATTTAAAAAATCATCATTTGTATATCCTAAATGAGCCATTATTATTTTGTCAAGAAAGTTAGGCAAATTAATATTATAAGTGTCACCCAATGGTATAACAAGGTTACTATTAAACATTAGCAATAACTGATATTTTTGTTAGAATATTCCATAGGCTACTTTATAAATAAATTTTTTGTGACGAAAGATGTATAAAGTTAATTTATTTGAAAACTGCAAGAGATAGGTATAGCGAATACTAATACAGATCGATAGTGAAAAACATATTTTTCTAAAACAATGAATCACATTTCAAAAAAAGAAATTAGGCGAAAATTTAGGATGCCGGTTTTATGCCAATTTTGACAGCACCTTGATAATCAAAAAGGTAACTTTTCACTGTAAACGATAATGCTGTATGTGGGTAATTAGTTCCTAAGGAATTTAAACTTTTATTTAAATTACATTAGAGGATATTGAGCTTTATATACATGGTAGCAAAGTGTAATTTTTATATAAAAACCATTATAACTCAAAAACGGTTCACAATAGGTATAGGGAAGTATTAAAAAAATGTTTGGAATAACGTGAATATTTCTAAAATTAAAAATCTAAGTTATAAAGGAAGTAGAATGAGTGACTCTTCAAAACCCCTTTATTATAATTTACACGATTCAGTTACTTTTAGTTCTCGAGATAATTGTAATTTGCCGTTTATCTGCTGTACCCTGTATATGTCAAATATTAATAATAACATTTGGTTGAACTTATTTTCATCGAATTTTTTATCCGTATTTTGCTAAAAAAGACGTCCAAATTTTCCATTTCTATTCGCTACTCACGCTGCCCTAGTTTTTCCTCTCCCCTTCGTAATGACACATGAAGCGGATAAGAAAACTGAACTCGTTGGTATGGAACAACAGTATGGAACAACAATGCCTAGAAGAATAATCACCTCGAAAAGAAGGAGAGGAAGATATCAAAGATCGAAGAAATTGTCAGATGCAGATTTACATAATAGAAAGACCTAGAGATAATTGTTGAGTGACGGAATACAGTGGAAACACTGGAAATCTGTAGTAGTAGTACTAATATTAGGAATTGTACTTTATTTTTATTATATGACTTATCATTTACTTTTTAGGTTAACTACCGATCAAGTAGATATATTATGGGAATGTCTAGCTCACGACTCAGAATGTTCAGACGAACTATTCAGTTGGTTACTATCTCAGACGAAAACGACGGAGCTGCACGCGCTTAAGATGGAGGCACTGCGCAGACTATATATTCACCATCTACCAAGTTTAGCTCCGGAGAAGTTTAGTATGATTTGTCTTAGTTTATTTCAGCAATTATGTACTTTAAATAATGTATTAGTTAATGATTCTGAGAATAAAAAGGAAAATCAAAACGTTGGAATGGATCATATGTGGAAGATTGCTTTGAAAGCAAGTAATACAGGTATGTTATGAGTTTTTTTATTTTTATATTTTTTCTATTAATCTTTAGCACATCTTAATTCAAGTGGTCTTTAAGGGGCTTTAGAAGTCTTGCCAAAAATTGACTGACTACTAGGCACGGAAGTTTAGGGTAAGATACGAATCCACTGTTCCGCTAGCAAACGTGGATGGAAAAATCTTTCATGGTATTTTAACACTTCATCACTTTTTCTGGATGGTTTAACTAGTAAGAGGTAAATAAAGAGTCAAAAAGGTCGTCCCAAAACTATCCGGTTCGTTACTCTATAATGTTTTATAATTCATCCTCACAACTCATGGCATGCTTCGAAGCAATATCCATTAGACTTAAAAATATATTCGTAAAGTTTGATAATGACCTTTAGTTCCTTAGTCGGATTCGTGTGAGTCAACTTTATGAAGCGGTCCTCTAAACGCTACCCTTTAAAAGACATTAGTAGTTTACGAAACACGAAAAAGTCACATAGTGCGATGTTACAACTGTACGGAAACTGGCTGAGTTGTGTAACGTTGTTTTGCCAAAAATTGTTGCTCAAGATTCGATGAGCGATTATCGTGATAAAGAAACCAGTCGCAGTTTCTCCAAAAATAGGGCCACTTTCTTTACACTGTGTGACGGAAGATGACAGTTTTGGTAAGAATATTGTTTTACTGCGGTGTCATAGTCGTAAACCTACCGCTTTTAATCGGTAATGAACTTTTTAAGCATATTTTTCATTGTCTTTGTACCATTTCCAAGTTGTCCAGAGTAACTGCTAAAGGCGGGTTGACACGATCCAAGAATGCTTGGATTCCAACTTTGACCAAGTGAACTTGTACAAGTGTACTTGTACCAAGTTGGTTGCCATGGTTAAATAACTTGTATATCAAATAACCATTGTAAAGATAGCGGAAGTGATTGTGGTTCGATTTTTCTATACCGACGCCATTTTAATGTTACAATACCACACTACTTGGATCCAAGAAAGTTGGCCAGCATCCTACTTAACTTGGATAGAACCTGTTGAGACAAGTGTACTTGGATGAACAGGTGACACGATCAAAGTAACTTCCAAGTGTTGCGTGCGCAACGGCCAGATTTCCAAGTACACTTGGATCGTGTCAACCTGCCTTAAGAGAATGTTTTTATGTTGTCCGACATGGTAGGCAAATCGTTATCAGATCACATGGTTTTACAGCTAGTTAACCAACAAACCTCTGTGAACAGAACATGACTAGGCGAAAGATGTAAATGAAGAATCGGTATAGGATAGCTACATGGAATGTAACAACTTAATATGAGGCTGGTAAGATCAGAAATCTGCTTTTTGTAATGGACAAGCTAGATGTCGATATCGAGATATGGAGGCTTTGGATGATGGATAGGAAGGAGTAAGGTTATCAGGAGAAATAATTAACAATATTAGATACGTTAACAATACAGCCAGTCTCACAAAAAACTTAAAAGATTCGAAAAACCTAGTCAATGAAACAAGTTGCCGACGGGGCCTCAAAATTAACATTTCACAAATAAAGTGGATGGCGTTGGGAAGATGAATGTAAATCAGTTTGAGTTTTGGCTAGATGGGGAGAGGATAGAATGGTAAACCATTTTAAATACCTTGGCAACTGGTTGAATATGAATGGTGATTCTTATGTAGCGATTCTTCTTCTTAACATGCCATACACAAAAGTGCGTAGGCGACTATCTCATTACTAAAATTCTGTTCTTGGCGGCGTGACACAGCTCGCCTGTATTGTGTATTCTTGTCCATTCTTTAATATTCCTTAACCAGGATAATTGTTTGCGGCCGGCTCCTCTCCTACATTCGAACTTCCCGTGTAGGATTAACTGTGGTATTTCATATTTTGCACCTCTCAATATGTGCCCAAAGTAACCAATCTTGCGTTTTTTAATTAATTCAAAGAGTTCTCTTTCCACGCCGGCTCTCTTAAGGACGTCATCGTTTCGAACTCTATCCACCCAAGGTATGCGCATCATTCTTCTCAATGACCACATTTCAAATGCTTCAAGTTTGTTGATAGATGTTTTTTCAAAGTCCACGTTTCCAGGCTATAAAGCAAGATGGACCATATGTAGCACTTAACCATTCTGTAGCGTATTTCGAAATTTAGGTTTTGATTACATAGGAGCGGTCTGAATTTCACAAAAGCTTGTCTTGCCATTTGTATTCGGGTTTTTATCTCGTGTTATGGATCCGATTGGTCATTGATTGTGGTGCCAAGGTATTTAAAAGTTTTCACACGTTTTATACGATCGTCACCTATGCATATTATCGGGTTGTCTTTATGTAGGGATAAAAACCAAATTTAATTACCATGGAAGGCCTTTATGACGTGACAGGGTCCTTAGATGCTATTATTATACGGCTTCAAGACATGTACATCAAAAACCTGGATGTAAAATGCTGAACAAATTGGCCGCATTCAAATTGTGGTGCAGAATCCTAAAGATATCGTGGGTCTCTCACACCTCAAATGAAATGTTCTTTAAATAATGAATACAAACCGACTGTGTTACTTTTTATTTAAACATTATAAGGAGGAAGGAAACAAAATAATCCGGCCACATATTTAGACTACCTAAATACCATCTGTATGTAACTTGATTTGCACTTCGAACGTGCCGCTGGTAAATAGTCAAACTCCGTATGAAAAAAGACTTTATTTTGAATTAACACAATACATGAATATATGACCGCTAATAAGTATTATGTTTCGCGCGCATCCGCCGGTCTCGATTCTCATATCTTGTATGCTGTCGCTTTGAGACCCTTTTTATGACTTTTCTTAATCTTCACATATGTCATAATATATCTGCATATGCTGCTACAACTTAATTCGACTTAAAATATATGATGGCCATCTCTCTCAAGCTCTCATGGTTGCGTAGATCTCAAGGTGGAAGAATTATTTCGCAAAGTTTCGGTAAATTTTAAACATGACGACGGCCTACGTCTGAATACGCATACAGCACATAATGAAGAAGATGACTTCTTTTTAAGAGGTTCTTTAAAGAGCATTTAAAGTTTAAAATCAATCCAGCTTCCATAAGACGACGAGTAGGGCATGGATACAATTTAAGAATGTCTAAAATACTTAAAAACCAATGCTGATTAACGAGTTAACTGTTTGTGGATTATAAATTTTATTAAACTGGTCAATTTTAGTTATATATCCAGTGAAGTTTCTTATTATTATTGTAAAATTCGTTTTAATGTAGTTTTTAATTTAATAAAACAAATTGACAAAAAATTAATAGGCTTTTTAATTAGTATGAGGAATGGTCTATTATGTGCTTCTGGTTGCTTTGTTAGCACAGTATAATCCCAGTATAAGGACTCTAGATTTATTATTGAAATAAATCCACACTTCTATTGAAATATAAATGAAATTTGTATTTTTGCAGAAGTCAGTATGGCCGCAATACAATATATAAACAGCTATTACATGGGTTCCAATCTTCAACACGAAAACCAGTTTGTATGGCAATGTATGACACATCTGAAAGCAGCTTCGGAAGATTTGACAGCTGGAAATAATGGTACAGAGGAAGGTTCTCTGTTATGCATACAGAGAGCGTTGTTATTAATGAAAAGTCATATAGAGACATTTCGAAGAAGGTAAGAATTTTTATTATTACTGTGCTTGTTTAGCATTAGATTAGATTCAATTCTTTGGGTCAATGAGAACGATTAGATACAAGTTGCTAACATTTTGTTTCTGATGTGTAAAAAAAAATCAGTCAAAATATAGTCAAAAATAAAAAATCTTACATATAATTAGCTGTAAACTCCTGCAGAACTGTGTCTTCATGTACCCGGAAGTTAACTACTATTGCCCGATCGAAACTTTGATATCGTCATTATAACCATGATACTATGACTAACAAGATAGGATCTTCCCGTAGCACAAAATTGGTCGTGTTCGCGCATGCCGTCATTGGAGAGTAGAATTTGAATTCTTGTTAGAGTTAAATGGGATTTAGTGGCATTCTGTGATGAAATTACTAGACGAAAATAGGTTAAATAATTACAATAATCGTACACATAAGGATATCTCCAAACTATTTATTAAATATTATTTATTGATACATACAAAAACTGACATTTCAAACGTGCAACTCTCCAATGACGTCACGATTTATGCGCAATATCTTATCTTCTTAGTCATAGTATCATGATTACAACTTTAATAATTTCTGCCTCAGTCGTAGACAAACCGTCAGCAATAAATTTATTTCATAACAGTGTATCATAAGCAATGTCTGTTTTTATATTATCAAAAGATAATTTTTAGAACACTATAGACCCTAACTTTTAAAATGTTTGTCCTATTTGGTTGGGTTGCTGTTGCCGACGACCATCTTAACATTATTTTGTTTTTAATTTGACCATAAAAAAGATGAGCTTTTGGAAAGTGAAATATTATTATAAAGTAAATACAATTATTATTAATCGATTAAGTATGTGCAATGCCATATGTTTATTCTAAACACGACTTTCAAAAAATATTTAATGTAAAAACTCAATTTATTTTCAGTCATAATAGATAATACTACTGTTTTTTTTTAATTTCCACAGAATATATTACTAATATTATTAATTATAAAATAAACGCAAACTTGTGTCCTCATTTTCTCCGAATTCTAAAAGTGCGTATGTATTAATGTATTACATTTGGAATGTAGGCTTATCCGGTTAGTGGTAAATTGCAAAACATTCGTTTCTTTAAATGAATAAAATTAAATTCGAGCACTCTCAACCCTCTGACGTTAGGTGAGGCTTTCTTGTACATCTACAGAGGCCACAACGCCACCTAGTCATCCAAATCTGCCATCAACGTGATTGAAAATTCTTTATTCTTTTCAACGAACACGCATTTTTTTAGTTCTCATCATTTCTCCCCTTAAAAGACCTCTCTGACGACACGGGAGGCTTCCTTCTACACTTATACTTCTTGTACATCATCCTCTACATCTCCAGAGGCTACTTCTACGGCCTCAACGCCACATACCTAACCATCCAGCTATCCGCCATCTTTGATCTGAAATTTCCATATCTTCTCTATCGTACAGCTTCCTCAGAAGAGTTATTTTAAACTAACTACTTACGTGTGTAAACAATTTATAATACTACCCAACAGAATATTTAGTAACAATAAATCTACAGTTAATGTAGTTAATTGAAGCCCCTGTCATGTTCTCAGTTGATCCGTGGGCGTTTATTTTGTTACACCTAAATACCTTTGGTTGAATTGTCTTATAGGACGTTTGCTTTCAGCCATTTGAACGCACGTTTGTTCTGCTCCCAGTTTGACAACTTACACTCCTAGTCTTAAACCGATACGGGTTTATTGAATTTGACGAAATTTTACATCATTGATAATTTATATTTGTATTTTTCAAAACACAGTGACTGATCTTACAATCTGGTGCAAGATTCTTTACTCTTGATATTTTGCCTTTTGTAAGTCCCATAGTATTATATAAGTTCACAATCAATAAAATGTTTGTTCGTTTAACTGTGAATCAATTTTTAAGCTTCTCCAGTTGCGTTAGTCTCTCAAGACGTGTCCAGAGAAACAAATATTCGATAGATCCTCTGAAAATATATCTCGCAAGCAATATTGAGAGTAGTTGCATTACAAACGTGGCACTATTTTTCGATATATCAATTAAGTCATCTTCAATATGGTCTGAAATCGCAGATGTTTTTGCACAGTAAGCAGTTTCTGGGTAGGCAGCCAATTATTAATTGTATACTTGATTTAATAAGAATTTCTGCAATTGTATGTGTTTAACGATACTGTAACTTATCAGGAATGACGCTTCACAACCATTTGACCTACAAGATTAAAGTGACTGGTAGGCGTCGTCGATGAGGTGCGTTGTTGGCGCAAAAGTAGGGGAGAAATTCCAGACCACCGTTGAATATTTCTATTATAGTAGTATAAACTCGAATAGTAAACAGATTAGTGATTGTAACTCACCGTACTAATGTGATGAATTAACTATAGTATATAATCATAAAATGACCGTAGAATAAAGAACTTAAAGAAGAATAAAAGTCGAGAATAGCCGAAACTGCAGAAATGAATAAAGAGAGCAGAGAGAAATTACATAAGCAGATTTATTACTTAATCAAACAAATTTTTAAGTGCAAAAACAGATACAAATTGGTCTGATTACAAAAACCATCAAGCTAAGGTGAGACAAATGATAAGACAGAAAAAAAAATGAATCCTGGAATCAAAACTGTCGAAAATTAAATACGTACATAGGAGGAACTAGAAGTACAGAAAGCTGGAAACTTATTAAATCTCTTAGGACCAACGACAAGAAAAAAGATTTAATCTCACCAATTTCGTTAGAAACATGGGACATGTACTTCAGTAAACTGTTACAAGAAGACCGAATGGAATTCAAAATAAAAGAAAGTAACCAAAACATACGCGTTGAAGCATCTCCTATAAGAATCACGAAAAAGGAAGTAAGGGATATCTGTATTTCACTCAAAAACAAAAAAGCGCCCGGACCTGGCAATATACCCTCAGAACTGATAAAATATGGAACTGAAAAACTATATGAGCATTTGACAATACTCTTTCAAAACTGCATAAACAAAGTAGAGGTTCCAGCCGAATTTAAAACCTCAACCATTTCAACTTTACATAAAAAGGGAAACAAACAAAATTGCGACAATTACCGTGGAATAGCAGTTACTAGTACCATTAGTAAAATCTATGGGAAAATGATCAACAATAGAATAGAAAGAGAATACACTGATATGGAGGCAGAAGAACAGGCGGGTTTTAGAGCTGGTAGATCGACCATAGACCACCTTTTTTGTATCACCCAACTTATAGAAAGAAGGTTGCTGTAGATCAAGAAGTTCACTTTTTGTTTGTTGATCTAAAAAAGGCCTACGATAGCATCCCTCAAAATAAGTTATGGAACACTCGCAGACATACGAACATCAACTCAAATCTCATAACAGCAGTGGAAACGAATGTTTCCAAAGGTTTTGTAGTAGACAAAGGACTGAAGCAGGGATGCTGCTTAGCGCCGACACTTTTCAAAATATATCTGGAACAAGCATTAAAACTCTGGAAGCGGAAATGCAGCGGCATGGGTATACAATTAAACAATAACAACCTGTACACTCTATGTTTTGCTGATGATCAAATTGTGATTGCTAACGAATATGACGACCTAGAATACATGACTCGAAAATTAATCGAAGAATACAAAAAAATTGAGATTAGAAGTCAACATAGATAAAACAATGTACATGAACATCGGTGGTAAAGAACAAAATCTAGTTTTAAACGACGGACAACACATTAAGTACAACAATAAATATTCCTATTTAGGATTAGAAATCACAGACGACGGCAAATCAGATCAGGCTAAAAAAACGAAACACTCAGGGTAGAAGGGCCATATCTCAACTAAATAGTATTATCTGGGATCAACATATATCCAAAAAAAATAAACATCGAATATACAACACTATTATAAAGAGCATAGTAATGTATGGAAGTGACGTGTGGCAGTTAAAGGCAACTACTGAAAGAACACTACAAGCCACGGAAATGGACTACTGGAGACGGGCCGCAGGAAAATCAAAACTCGAAAGAATTAACAACGAACGTATACGAGAGGTTATGGGAGTCACACATACGATTGTCGAAGATATAAGAGTACAACAACTAAAGTGGTATGGACATGTGCAAAGAATGCCAGAACATCGTCTGCCCAAACAGATTATAGATTGGTCACCACATGGAAAGAGAAAAAGAGGCCGACCCAGAAAGAGCTGGAGAGAAGGAATAGACAGAGAGATCCGAGAGAGAGGTTTAGACGAAGATCTTTGGGAAGATAGAGATGCGTGGAGATTGGGCATCGGAAGACGTCGGAGGACGTTTTAAATCGATTATATACAATATATATATATATATATATATATATATATATATATATATATATATATATATATATATCAAACAAATATGGGAAAGTGAGCCAATATCAAAAGATTGGATATGAATAAAAATATGCCACATACACAAAAACGGAGACAAAGTACAGTGCGAATACTGTAGGGGAATAGAGCTGCTGGAAAAGTGCTACAAATTACCATGCATAAAAAGTAGGATGGGTGAGTGAATATGAAAACTTGAGACACATCAGTAATAGACTTCTTTCAAGAAAAACAAACTGGTAGTTACAAATATAAAAATACACTCTATGCATTCTTTGTTAATTTTGAGCAGCCATATGATAAAATAGAGCGAAATCAAATGTACCAATTGAGACCTTGGAATACCTAACAAGATGATTATACTTACCAGAATGACTTTAGGACAAACCTAGGATGAAATAGGATGGAAAGAATGTAGGTTTAACTTTTTGCAGTAAAACGGGGATTTAAACCGGAAGACAGCTTTCGCGGGTGACTCAACAATAATAGCAAAAAATTAACACGAAGATTACAGAAGATGGTAAAGACTGTATGAAATCAAAGCCTAGAATTGCTAAAGGAAATCGGAAATATGAATTGATCAGAAGAATAATGAAATAAAGATATATCTCAAAAAAAAAAAGAAAACAAGACATCTACAGGACGGATAAGAGCAACGGTTTCGTGCTCAAGCCGGAAGAACAAATTGAAAAACAAAGCATTGGAATGAGAAACGTGCAGAAAAATAGTAAAAGTAAAAGGGAAAAACTGTAAGCATCTGGTTATAATGTACTTTTTTTGTAAATCTAAAATTGTAATAAATGACCTTCAGTACTTTACAAATAAAAAAATAACTGACGAAACTACTGACAATGTTTAAGAAATTGAATCTGAAGTCAATATGCACATTCTTTTTCTTAAAGCTTTACAACTAATACAAAATCTAGTACTGGTAAATACGTTTGATCTAACGATCACACCTGATTTTGTTTACAATTTGGAATACATGTGTTGAAATTAAAATTCTTTGTAGATCTAATTTTTCAATAGTACATATTATAAAACGATATTTTTAATTTCTTTTTTCTTAGATATGCGTTCCATCTAAGGAAGTGGGCGTTAGAAGGAAAAGGTATTGGGAGTCATTCCGCCTCATTAGGAGATAGACCCAGTGCCCCTATTAGATTAGTTGTTCAATCTGGAAGTTCTACCGAACGATGTTTTTTGGATTTATTTAACACTGATTATATAGCTGAGTTAAGGGCAGAAATTGTCAAATGGTGTGAAGGACTTCAACAAGTAAGTAATTTTGCTTTGTTTCGATATGTAATTAGATAAAATGAAAATGGAAAATTGTTCATAATTCTTAATTTGTGAGTTATAGTGATGTGTGGCTATTAAACGATATTGCTAAAACAGAAGTACGCATGCGCCAAACTCCGCAAATTCCGCATTATCTGTCAAGAGATTTCTAACCAACTACAGTATTCCAATATTACGCCATCCGCCTTACTTTCCGGATCTTGCACCATGCGACTTCTATTTGTTTCCTAATGTGCAGTTTACGTCGAAGTTAATACGACTTAAGTCGGTTAAAGCTACGGAAGAGAAAACGACACGCGTCATGAGGGAGCTGACAGAAGACTTTCGGTACTGTTTCGAACAATAAACATTGAACGTTGTAGGTGTGTATGGAAGGGGATAATAAAATTAGGACTCACAATAAAATGTTTTACTGTGTCATTTTACTGTTTTACTTGTTTAATAGCCACATCTAGGATATGGAGTAATGCCTATCTGTTCTATAAAAACCGTACATATATTTTCAATATTATCTTTTATAAATATAATTGCTACTATATTTCCACCATGCTATATAACATGTGCTGGTATTACTTTGCGATGGTTTAGTTTGAATAATGCTTTTCAACGATACACTTTTCGGAGTCAAAACAATTACCATCACATATCTGCTATTATTAGTAAGAGTTCAGAGACTGAAAACATTTCCATAAGTGATTATTTGAAACTTTTAATTAGCCATGTCTTAGGATACTATTGTTTTTCTTGTACATCCATGAATCTGCAATTTCTTCAAAAAACTTCACTCACAACAGAATTTTATCTTTTTCTAGCAGACTTGTTTTTTGCAATATTTTTCGGCAATAGGTTGTGAATTTTTTCAGTTGATCTAACTCAACAACTCAAGCGTTGTAAAAACTTGGTCTTAAGACACTGTCATATGCCGCTTTAAAATCGACAAAAATATGGTACATATCTATGTTAAACTCTTGCGCTTTTTCGAGGTCCTAGTGTAAAGATCTGGTTGATGGTTGAATGTCCACGCCTGAATCCTGCCTGATATTCTCCTAGAAACGTTTCGGTATAACGCTTCAATCTCTCGTGCAAAATGTTTGAAAATATCTTGTATGCTGTATTTAGGAGAGTTATTCCGCGGTAATTATTGCATTCCAGTTGGTTTCCCTTTTTGAGTAACGGGCAAATTAAGCCTAAGCTCCATTCTTCAGGCATTTGCTCCTCAGACCAACTTTTACCTCAGACCTCAGTCCTTTCAGGACTACTAAGTATGTCGGAAATACATTGTTGAAAACTATCTACATCTGATGGTTTAATCCATGGTTTTGATTTGTTCTTCTTTTTAATCATCTTTATCTCTCCTTCATTAAGCTTATTTCTATTTTACCTCGTACCATTCTATGATCGCTACTGATAACAAATCTGTTTAGTATACATACATACATTGTATAATTAATACTGCATAAATAGGGAAAAAAATAAAAACATCAATGTCATCCAAGCTGAAGCCGAAACTTTTATTTTCCTTGTCTATCTGGTATTATTTCCGTAAAAGATTGTAAGAATGACTTGTCTCATGTAAACAAAACAGCCTTTGATTAGCTAGATGATGCTTAATTAGAAAGAAGTATAAACCTCTATTTTATTTCACTACATTTTCTGTTTCAGATGAAGGGGGATTCCCAAGAAAATAGAACAAAATCTGGTGAAACATGGATCAGGATAATCACTCAAGGTCAAGAAGTTACAATTGACTGCGATGAAAAAACTTTAGCAGAAATGGGATTTAAGGATAACCAGGTACTATATCTTAAGGCATACGAAATTGGTTAAAAAATATTTACATTCATATTATTTATTTTTAGATCGTTTATATATCGATAGGCATGTCAAGGAATATGAAAAAACGGGAGTTTATGGATGCACCATCTTTACACCCGCCTCCTCCTCGGGAATGTTTACCAACGTTACTTCTACTACAACCAAATTACTTCGAGCAGCTATTTTCTTTAATGCACACACTTAGTTCGATGAAAATTCAAATTAAAGGAGGGGTAAGTTGGTATTTTCTGAAAATATGTACAATAGTCATTAACAAATTTATTATCATAACTATTTAGTGCCAATTACCACATACGAGAGCCCAAGTTCTCAGCAGGAGAGTATGGGATATTCTTAGCTTATTACCAACTAGTCCCAAACTTCTTCGTGGTTTCAAATACTTGGATATCCCTCTTCCAGAATTATTAGATCCTTCCAGTGCTCAAAAATTAATGTATTCCTTGTACATTGTCGAATCTTTAAGCGCCAAAATGTACCGAGGGAAATATGCCGATGAAGGGGATGGAGACGAAGAATCGTGGACTAGAAAGTTTGTCAAGCATGGGGGATTAAGCCACCTGTTCGATATTTTTATGTCTGGTGAGTATCTTTATTCGTTTAGATTTAGTAAATTTCATATAATTTATGAAGATAAATAGAAATACACATACAATAGTTAACAGGCATTAAGATGTTTTAAAGATAAAAGATGTTTGTGCATAGTTAGCAAGGTAGTGTCATGGCTCTATGATACAACCTCACGGGCCGTCACTGGCCTAATTTAATTAGGCTTTAATACTTTTAGAAAGTAACAATATTATGTTCTGCTTCGGTATGAATCATTTTCAAAGAAAATACACTTATTCTGTAGTATTTGTAACATCTTGAATTAATTATAAATGTAATTTCAGGTATTCTTCAAAGAGAAGGAGGAGATTGTTCGGACTGGCAACAAGACTGTCTCGCATCTCTCTTAAAAATCTTGTGCCATTTAGGAGTCGAATCTGTACACCAAGAAAATATTAAGCCCCGTAATGAAAAAATAATAATTCCCGATTTGAATGCTTGTTTTTTAGCCTTAATGGACAAAAAGTCTATGATGGCGCAGATTACTAGTATTTTAGAAGAAGCATCGAGACCCAACGATGTGAACCGTTATAAAACTGGTTTTTGGGGTAGAGCGCAAGTAGTTCATTACGCTCTGGCTTTGTTGGTGTCGTGGTTGCATTGCTGCGAGGAAGCTAGAGTTGATTTGTTTCAGTCTACCAATTTTTCCGAATGGTTGCAGAGATTGGTAAGTTTTTTGTTTAAATATCAGATACTACACAACAAACCCATATCAATCATAATATTTATCACAATTATATACTGTAAATATGATATAAAACCTATGGGAATAAATATTATATCGAAAGCACATAATATACCATATATGATATCGAAATCAATAGGAAACTCTGAGCATGACATAAACTACTATCTTAGCAGGCTACCTAGAAAGTCGAGTTCGTTATTTATGGCCCCAATAGTCATCTGATGTGAAAGAATGCATACACAAATTAAAAAATTCCTCATGTTGGCTCCTATGGTTTTAACAGTAAAATTATTTAGGCATCTCTAGATATAATTATTGAACCACTCACAATAATATTTAACAAATGTATTAACGAGGGTTACTGGCCTGATGTATTCAAATATCAAAAGTTATTCCACTTCATAAAAAAGGAAATAAAAATGCTCCAGACAATTACAGATCTATTACCATAGACCAATAATAAGTCAAATTTTTGAAATCTTAATTAAAGATCGTATAACAAATTATTTAGTTAAAAATCAATTATATCTAGCTCTCAATTTGATTCTAGAAAAAAATACTCAACAACTGAAGCTTTATTAGAAGTAATAGAACATATTATTCATGGTCTTGATGCAGGTGAACCTACTAATGGATTAATGTGTGACCTTACAAAAGCTTTTGATTGCGTGGATATTCAAACACTATTGATAAAATTGGAGTACTATGGAATAAGGGGTACCATACACGACTTTTTAAAATCATATCTTACAGGAAGAACACATATTGTTGCATTTAATAATCAAGAATCTAATCCTCTACCAGTTTCAACCGGAGTACCACAAGGATCAGTTTTGGGATCTCTGCTATTCTTGATATATATAAATGATTTACCAAGTGCGTTGAAAAACACCAACTGTGTTCTTTTTGCAGATGACACAACCTTATTATGTAGAGGTAAAACTGATTACAGTCAGGAAATATTAGAAAAATCTAAATCCTGGTTTAACTGTAACAAACTTAAGTTAAAAGAGCAGAAAACCCAGACAATAGTATTTAGTTCCTATAGATGGGTTAAACCAACTGAACCAGTAAAGTTACTAGGTGTTACTATAGATACAAGATTAAACTGGTGTGCGACCATATTGAAGGATTGTGTAAGAAGCTCGCCTCACAGATTTTTGTCATGCGCAGATTAGCTACTTCAGAGAGTCGAGATATTCTTAGGTCAGTTTATTTTGGAATCGTTCATAGTATCCTGACATCTTGCATAATTCTTTGGGAAAACTCGTCCTATGCATATAAAATTTTCACTTTTCAAAAAGCAGCAATCCGAATTATTGACTCCGCAGAATATCTCGCCAGCTGCAAACCCTTGTTTAAAAAGAATGGCATTCTTCCTTTATGTTCAATATATATTTGAAAGTTTGTTAACTGTTCATAATAATGTACAAGATGTAAAAACATATGCTGATCAGCATCAGTACAATACAAGAAACAAAAGTCATATCATTATACCATATTCCAGATTGTGTGTTACACTACTTACTACACTAGATTATAATCTCTGTAATTGTTTTTTTAAACCTAAACAAAAATATTGATATAAAGAAGCATTGGCTGATGCACCAGTAAACGATGTACTATTCTCAGCACTATGCATTTTTCCATGATATTTGTGACACAAGAGTGAAAGCTGAAAATATTATAATCTGTTGTGTATCTGGAAGAAACGTATAACGTTGCGCACTCGACATTTGTAAAGTGCCGAAAAGGCATGTGCCCTCAATACTGTTTTTAAGTTACTTAGAATTCAAATTTCTTTATATTTGAGGAGGTCATTTCTAAAAGTGTAAGGAATTGAAAAATGAAAAAAAAAATATCTTTAATTTTTTATTTTTTCAAAAGTCTACTAGTACCTTAATCGACGTACCGCCTTATTTTTAGGTTTTGGAAGATCCAGAGCCAGCGGTAAGGCGTGAAGTATGTTCAGCTATATACCGATTGTGTTTAGGAGTGTCATCTAATCGCGAACCCATTGAAAATAGTTTAATAGCTCCTATGTTATCCCAATTATTAATGTATATGGAAAAAGCAGAGGGTATGAGACCACAGAAATTAGAAGTAAGTTCCAAACGTAAAGTGTGTAAAGTATTTATTGATTTTTTCAAATTTCAATTAATTCGTATTGTTATATGTCGATGTTTTTAAATTATATATTTTAGGCTTTGCAAGCTCCCGAAGAAGGAAAAGAACCTTACGGCCCTGCTTGCCGTGACTACTTCTGGCTGGTATCCAGACTAGTAGACAGCTTGCCGGACGAGTTGGTAAAAGACAGTCTCGATGATCCTCAAAATTGTGTCGTGGACATCAATGGATTAACGGAGAAAATAGCAAAGGCCATTATAGCTAGAGATTATCTCGAAGCAAGGCACCATACAGTGGACGATGATGGATTAATAGGATTGTTGAATTTGGTTACAAATTTATTGAAACACAAGCCTGCCTTTCAGACTAGTAAAATTGGACAAGAAGTATTGTGTGAGGTAAGTGACTGTTACTGTAGATATTATACTAAATAAATATATATATATATATATATATATATATATATATATATATATATATATATATATATATATATATATATATATATATATATCGAGAAAAGGAGTACGATCGTCAATCCAATATAAATCCAAACAAGGATCACTCGAAGAGTGGTGAAAGAGGGTGGCTACTTCATCTATTTATTGAAGACATTTCGCTTTCTAATCAGAAAGCATCATCAGCTCATCTAAAAAGAATAGTATGAAAAACCAAACATCCATAGAAAGGTTATTACAAGTATGTTGTCAAAAAGACATGTAGTAGTCAATGATATTAAACGTGTAAAAAAGCTTACGACAACGGACATTCTGAGCTCATGTTGTATAAACAATTAATTGAAACTAGATACAGTTTACAAATTAACAAAGTTTGTTAAAGTGTTTGTCGGTTAATCTGCTGATGTTTGGTTCGGTCTTTGTTAGTCATCACATTCTTCTTTTTGTACTTTTGGGAAGCGATCAGAGACTTAGTGGGGGTTACGATAGTTTTTTTAATACAATTCTATTTATCTTCTATACTGACCGGTTGATTAGATCTTGCTGTGATATCCTCATTTAATTTTTCTGTGACTTTTAGTTTGTTAGGTTGTTTTAAGCTGAATATATCAATTTTCTGTGGATTTTCAATGGATTTTCTTTTAATTTTCTAAAAGCGAGTTGACACAATTAAAGAATGCTTGGATTCCAACTTGGACCAAGTAGACTTGTACAAGTGTACTTGTACCAAGTTGGTTGCCACGGTTAAATGACTTGGATGTCAAATAACCATTATAAAGATGGCGGAAGTGATTGTAGATGGTGTTGCTGATATGTTGATACATGAGCTTGAAATCAAGAATAAAGGATTAAGACAAAAATGTCGCACTTCTAGCATCCTTATTTTTATATTACCTTATCCATACATTCCGTACTACTTCTTCAGCTTCATGTAACTCATTAATCTAACACTTTTTCTTTTAGACCATCTTCCTTTTGTGTTTACGTCTCGATTTTTCGACACCGACCCCATTTTAATTTTACAATACTACACTACTTGGATCCAAGGAAGTTGGCCGGCGTCCTACTTAACTTGGATAGAACCTGTTGATACAAGTGTACTTGGATGAACAGGTGACATGATCAAAGTAGCTACCAAGTGTTGCGCGTGCAACGTCCAAGCAGACTTTTAACCAAGTACACTTGGATCGTGTCAACCCGCATTTGAGCTTAAATTTCAATTTTTCTACTACGGGATTGTGATCAGATCCGATATCTGTTTTTACTCCTTGCAATCCATTTCTGTATCTCCGATTAATCAATAAAAAATCAATTTGATTTCTTACGATTTTGCCATTTGTATGTTGTGGAGACTGCCAGGTGTAGAGTCTCCGAGGTGGCATTTTGTACCAGGTATTCGTAATGACTAATTTTTCTTCTTGACAGAACTGAATTAGCATATCACCTCTCTCGTTTCGATCTCCCAAACCAAAGTCACTCACGACATCTTTAACTAGGATTCTAAGTTACATAGTAGTTTCTATTGTCATTCCCTGTATTATCACATTATTTTCTTTTCTTATTCTATCCAGCTTTTCAAGGCGTCCTTTTGTATCATTCAGATCCTTTTTGATTTGTTCATTTTCTTTCCGGATTTTATTATTCTCTTGATTTAGTTCTGCTCCTTTACATAAATTTGTAATTGTTGTAACTCTATTCTTAAATTTTTTATCATATTTAGTTTTTGATCTATTTTGTTTTCATTTCTGTGACTTATAACTGGACTTCTTTGAACTTTTTTACTGGGATTAAATAGCAGATCCTCTTCTTCTCCATTTCTTTTCTGATTGTCATCGGATGTATTATCATCTGAATTCATATTTCTACTGCTACTATTCGCTTGATCCGTTTAAGAAAGAAATTTTTACGTTCGCGTTTGAATTACCTTGTATATTAAATAATATTTTATCCGCAAAATGTTTCATCAAAATAGAAAATGTTTGTACTAAACAAAATGTTTGCAATTATATTATTTATAAAGATACAGGGTGTCTAATCAGACACTGTTTGAAAATAAAATTGGTGACATCCCGTAAAACGCTTGGTATAAAGTAGCATAATCTTATGGAGATGACTCAATAGTTGTTTTACCGAAATCCGTATTAATAGACAGAGCATTATATTGAAAATAAGAAAGTTTTAGCCAACTTGGTATAACAGATTAAACAGATTCTGCAATGAACTATTAATTCGTTTATTAAATAATAATAACATTTTTTCTTTTTGTCGAAACAAAAATATTTTTTTCTAAGGGGTAAACGTCAAATTTTACTAGCCTATAAAAAACCATTAAACATGAGTCACTTGCTACAATTGTGATTCGTTACTATAAGTTCGATATTTGAATTTTTGCTGACACCTGTTTAAGTTTTTATAGTTGTCTCCATTTTCAGTTTTATGATCGATAGTTTTTGAGGCATTTATATGTAATTAGATATTTATTAATGTATTTTTTGCCCAACAGGTCTTTGATTTTCTGTTTGCGCTGCCGAGCCCAAAGCTTAGACACGTACCTAAATGCAAGTCACCGAGATCAAGAACCGCCGCTTTCGATTTGTTGGTTGAATTAGTGAAGGGATCTCCAGAAAATTATGCTTTATTGCATGAGAAATTATTAAAGCAGCATCAACCTGGACCGAATTCTCCCTATCCGTGGGATTACTGGCCTCATGAAGATGGAAGATCGGAATGTGGCTATGTTGGTAGGTCTACTATGTATCACTAGTTATTATTTCATTTCAATGTTACCTTTCCATTAAATTATTTAAAATATTACTATTAAAATATTGCATTCATAAATTAAAAAGTCCTGCAAACAAAGCGAGAATTACGCCTCTTAACTCGAAATTTAATTACATTGTCCCGTTATCACTTCAAAAGCATAGACTTCGGAGGGATCTGGGCATCGAGCAAAAAGACAAAAGAGGGAATGTAAAGGTAGTGAGGGCAAAAATATTGTTAGACAGGAAGTGCCATCTTGAGAAGGTACATTAAACAAGGAAAGAGAGTCTTTCCTTGTTTAAGAAATCAAATTTAGTTGGGTTATGTTATTGTTTGTCCCAACTGTCACATGAAATCTTATTTATATTGAAGTTTTTTAAGAATTGCGTCACACTTTAGACTGTTATCTTAATATTTATTTAAAGTTTCTCGTCTAAGACCCATTCTGAAAACTATTTTATAGCTACTGTTAATAAGTGTCGGAAAATTTAAATTTGGCGCATTCGCATTTCCGGATATGTCCGCCATCAGAGGCCACTTTTTTGGTCTCCTTTTCATAACGATTAGATTCCCTCTTTTGTCTTTTTGCTCGATGAATCTGGGACAAGAGATGAATGCACTTTAATGGTGGCCTCTAAATTTTGTAATTATATTTAGGAAAATTATTTTAAAAACTAACCCGCGAGAAAAATTATGAAAAATTATACAATGTATTTTTTAATTAATTTAGAGTACTATTTTTTATGTAGACAATGTCAATAATAGGCCACAGTTTTAAAAAGTTATTCAGTCAGTTATTTTTTTTATTAATTAGCGCTTGATTATAGCTTTCAATGATGTTATACCGAGGCTGTACATTGTTTCTTTGGGCATTATTTGTTTCTACGATTGTTAGTTGCTATCCTTGGAGGCTTAGGTAATTTCTTACAATAAAACACAGTTTGGTAGTAGAAAGGTTCAAGCAAAAGAGTCTAAGGACGAGTGGGGAGCATAGCCACTTGAAGGGGGCTCCCAGGGTATAGGAGACCCTATGTGGGCTCCGGAGCAAGACTACGGAGCCTTGGCTTGAAAAATGCAGCCTTTTTATACATCGTATCGATATGTGAATTTTTAAGTCAGTTGATGAATCGTACATTATATAGAAGATAAAAGGCGGGGCGATGCCCAGTTACAGTAGTAACAAATAGTCGATGCACCAGAACTTAATTAGGAATTACTTAAAATATATATTTATGTTATATAAACAAGGAAGCGTTCATTCTGTTAAACATGACTGAAAATACTTAAAATATAAAACAGAATCACTGTTAAAAAATGTATCCAATCCTAGTAAAGAGCTTTTAGTTTTTGCTATACGCTGTTTTTAAGAAATAATATCAACTGAATATAAACTGCTCTGTTCCTCTAATTAGATCTTATTATTTTCTAGGCTTAACAAACTTAGGAGCTACTTGTTACATGGCTTCTTGTATGCAACACCTCTACATGATGCCTCAAACTAGAGCATCTATCTTGGCTGCTGATACGGATCAAGCGAAACACGAACCCACTCTTAAAGAATTACAAAGAATGTTTGCTTATTTATTGGAGAGTGAAAGAAAGGCTTACAATCCTAGGAGCTTCTGTAAAGTGTATTCCATGGATCACCAACCGCTTAATACAGCTGAACAGAAGGATATGGCGGAATTCTTTATAGATTTGGTACGTCTATTATTTTCTATTTAATTAAAAATGCTTGTTGTAATTCTACCTTTTACGTTTTATTTAATTAATCTTTGTTTAATTCCCAAATACTCATCTTTGTTGGTGATATTTATAAGGGAGAGTTGGTAAAAAAGTCTATATCTTAATTATATCTTGCATAGGTTTTTATAGTGATGACTTGAGTCATGACTCAACTTTTATAGAGGTGTGTTAGTGTAAAAGAATCTCATTTTACCATCCGGCTCGAAGGACCACAATGAATTGGTAACAATAGATCTGAATACATGTACGTTAAGCGTTAATACGACGTACTAGTTATTTCACCTCATGTAGTTTGTAGTTTTATATCTAGTTGGACTGATCTAGTGTGCTTTATGAAAACTTTTATTGGATCTGCAGCAAATTTACTGTAGTAAACACTAACTTTATATTGTAAATAAACATATTCTAAAGAGTTACATTTTCTTTAATATTTAGAAAGAGATTCTTTTAAACTTTACATTCATTTTGATAAAAAAGATTGTTTTGCCTACGTTTTCTTACATATATTATTGGCGACAAAGATGCATATTTACCATTATCGTATCACTTTAGTCTTTCTAGAATTGTTTTATTTTTTTCTCCCCGTTATATTAATAGAATTCTATAATATGCTTCCTATTTTAATTTAATCTTTATTCACTGAGTTATTTTGTTTTATTTTTCTCTTTATATCGACACCTAATATGAAAAACATTGTAACTCTCTTTTGATTGGTTTAGAGGAGAGCGATTTAAAAAAAATTCCACATTTTATTTTTTTACTTCGCCAGTTTTAATATTTGTTGTAGTTTTCTTAATCCATATTTTATTATGCCTCAAGAATTTATAAGAAAAGTCATCTGATCTATGCGAAATCGATTGGAAAGTGTAATTAGGAGTAGGGGTGATTATATCAAATACTGAAAAATAAAGAAATCCATTTTGTAATTGATGATTTCTCTGTTCATAACGTCTTTCTTGCGTTAGTTCCTATGATGAATATTTAGGAAACTCTGTCCGTATTACATATTGTTCTTATAATGCGTCTTCCAAATATTACAATAGCATTTTCTGTAAGTTTAATAATAAAGCTATTGTTTGCACATGACATCTTTTCGTTTTCATACATCTTACATTGAAACAATAGGTGCAATCTCAAATATCGCTTTGGAGTCAATTATTTTGCACTCAAGTGTAGTAATACGAGGAATTGTTTTGGGAGTTTTAAATTTCTTGTTGCTTGAAACCTTTTTTGACCTTAATAACTATAACTACATTTTACTATTTATAGGTTAGTAAGTTGGAAGAAATGACTCCCCCTCTAAAGGAAGTGATAAAAAAATTATTCTGCGGTGTTATAAGCAATAATGTCGTCTCTTTGGACTGTGATCATGTTAGCAGAACCTTAGAAGAATTCTACACTGTCAGATGTCAAGTAGCCGACATGCGTAATCTCTACGAATCTCTGGATGAAGTTACGGTAAAGGACACTTTAGAAGGAGACAATATGTACACTTGTTCTCAATGCGGGAAGAAAGTTCGAGCTGAAAAACGAGCTTGTTTTAAAAAATTACCTCATATTTTATGTTTTAATACGATGAGGTATACTTTTAACATGTTGACGATGCTCAAAGAAAAAGTTAATACCCATTTTTCGTTTCCTTTGAGACTGAACATGGCGGGGTATGTAGAGAAGCAACTGATGCCACAGCAATATCAAGAGGAGAAGCAAAAAAATACTGAGAACGAGAATGTTGAAGATGAGCAGTATGAATATGATCTTATCGGAGTTACTGTACATACAGGTAAGTTTAAATTATAAAATTATTAAAGTAAGGTGTTTAATTATTTAGTACCTGGTGCGGATGTAACACAAGTAAGTGAGAGCCTACTCAAAACTTTATCTTTGCGTCCACTGCTAGACATAGCCTCCCTCATTGTTGTCCATTGTGCTATATCTTGAGCACTTTTCATCCAATTTCTTGACATTTTCTTGAGATCGTCAGTCCAACGAGTAGGTCTTCCTCTACTTCTTTTGTCTAACCTTGGCCTCCACTCAAGCAATCTCTCCGTCAACCTTTCATCAATGATTAGGGTGACGTGTCCGGCCCAGTTCCATTTCAGTGTGGCAATTCGGAAAATTACATCGGTAATTCCTGTTCTTCGTCTTAAGTTTTCAATTCTAACTACGTCACGAAGCGATATTCTCAGCATTGACCTTTCTATTTTCGTCTGAGCTATTGGCAGTGTTTTAGAAGTTGTAGCTGTCAATGTTAAAGTTTCGGCAACATAGGTCATCACAGACAATACACATTGGTCAAGTGTTTTATGTTTTAAAGAAATTGGTATATCTCTTTTAAATATGTCTTTAAGTTTTCCATAGGCTGCCCATCCTAGGTTTATTCTTCATAGTTCGCATGTTTGGTTGTCTTGTGATCTTTATTTCGTGTTCAAGGTAGATGTATTTTTCCACCAGTTCTACGTCGTGTTCTCCAATATTGATATTTCCGCTGGGTACTAGGTTTATCATGAATTTTGTTTTGGAGATGTTTATTTTAAGACCCACACTGACACCCACTAACTGAAGTTCATGTAGCATTATACATACCTCCTCCTTGGGGTTGTCCGAGAACTAAACTATGTCGTCTGCGAATTTCAAATTTGGTAATCTTCTACCGTCAATGTTCAGGCCTAAGTTTTTTACAAGCATCTTCTAGTACTGCGGTAAACAGTTTATGCGATAAGGAATCACCCTGTCGGACTCGTCTGCGGATTGGGATATGATTCGTTTTTTTATGTAGTTTCACCGACATAGAGGTCTTGTGTGTATTGTAAATTAACATTGTATATCGGTAGTCAATGCGGCATGCTTGTAGTTTTTCCAGGATTTTGTCAAATTTTCCCGTTTTAATGCTCTGTAGGTGATCATTTTTTCTAAATCCGGTACGAAATCCTCAAGACGATTCGTTACTATTTTTGTAAGGAGTTTGTATAGATGACTAAGAAGACTTATAGGTCTGTAGTTTTCTAATTCATGGGGATCTCCTTTTTTGTACAATAGCATTACCTCAGCATTGTGCCATTTGTCGGGTATATTACTGTCCCAAAGGCACATGTTAAAAAGGTTTTTTATTTTCTTAAGTAGGCAAGTGCCTTCGATTTTGATTGCATCAGTAACTACACAATCCTCGCCTGGAGATTTGTTATTCTTACCTTTTCTTAGGGCTAGTTTTATTTCGCCTATTGTGATTTCCGATGGTAGTTCTGATCCTTGGGTTGACAATGCCCTTTTTCTTTGTTAATATTTCTGGTCTTCTCTGTTGGTTGTAAGATGACCATTTGTATCTTTAATATTTATTATCTGCCTTGTCTCCGTTCTTAGTCTTTTTCGCAATAATAAAATCCACAAGGAATCTACGTTACTGTAGTTGGCTGTATACCATATATTAAAAAAATATATATTAAAACTCCTTTATAAAAGGTATATATTTAAAAACCCAATCGGGCTATGTTATACAAAACGTTTTCGGGATCCATATTCCATCATCAGTGTCTAGGTATACATGAATGTAGCCACTAAATATGTGGGTAAAAACCCGTTAAAAATTACTTGAATACAATTAGTTTACATTATTTGTAATTTATTAATAGGATGTTAAAGTTACCGTTAGATTTGGTAACATGGCGACATATGACTCCACGTGAAGTTGCTGGTCCTGAGCCGGTGTGTTTACGAGGACTTTATTCTAGAGTTGCTTCCATAAGACGCTAGAAGACCTAGAATATGGTTTCCGAAAACGTTTTGTATAACATAGCCCGATAGGGTTTTTAAATATATACCTTTTATAAAGGATTATTAATAATTTTTTTTCTCAATACTTTCATACTTCTATTGTTCTCAATGGTATGTTCGATTTGTTCTTGGATGTATTTTCTTTGATATGTCTTTATTTAATTTTTGCAGTTCGTCGACTTTAGTTTCCCTCTCGCTTATCATTTCTCTTCTTTTATGCATTAGTTGCCTGGTATTTTGGCTAATCTTCTCTTCTTTTTGAGTTCTAGGACAGAATTTGTTTTGACCTTCCAGTAAGGCTTCTGTTAATTTATTATTTAAGTCGTTTATATTATTTTCTGTTTCAGCACCACTAAGTATGTCGTAAAAACATTGCTGAAAATTATCTACATCTGATGGTTTCATCCATGGTTTTGATTTTTTCTTCTTTTTAATCATCTTATACCTCTCCTTCTTTAAGCTTATTTCTATTTTACCTCGTATTATTCTATGATCGCTATTGGTAACAAATCTGTTTAGAACCGTGATGTTTTTAACGGCGTGTTTTTTGTCCGTGATAATAAAATCTATTTCGTTTTGAGTTTTTTCATTAGGACTTTGCCATGTCCATCTTCTCTGTGGTTTCTTTTTAAAAAAATCTGTTCATTTGGAATAGTTCATGTTGCAGCATGAAAATTATTTCGGCACGTTCATTTCTACCATCCAAGCCAAAGTTTCCCAGTGGTGTTTCTGTAGGGTTGGATTTCATTTCTGTTTTGACGTTAAAATCACCACATATAAAATTAAAATGTTCTTGATGGTCTTTAAGAGACTGATCATAGAATAGACCCACTTCTTCTTCATCATGGTCTCTTGTTGGTGCATAAACCTGTAATATTTTCATATTATACCTTGTGGAAATCACTCTTGTGGAAAATGTCTTTAGCGATACTATACTTATTTGGAGACGTTTGTGTATAATGAAGCCGGTTCCTCCCAAGGAATTATTGTCGTCACCTACGTGGTAACAACTATGTCCTGATTTATGTTACGTTTCTATTCACTACTTGACTTCTTTTATTTTTCGGCTTTTTCACAGCTTCAAAACAAACTTTTCTTTGATTTTGCTTTGTGTTTCTCCTTTTTTTTTTCAAATATTTGTTATTTCACTACTTAAGTCATCTCCACAGGTTTGCATTTTTCTAGTTCTCGTGTAACAACATTTATCATCTCCACGTGTAACTGTTTCATCCTATTTATTAGGATTTAAATGTTACTTATTTATTTAATATATTCGAATTGTGTCTGTTTTTAATGTTATTAAAACGCGTTTTCAAAATCTATGAAGCTGTTCACAAAATTATTTATAATTGGTGATTTAAAAAACTGATGACTTTAAAAAATCATCAGGTTAATAGAACAAATCGCTGAAACTTTAATAGTATATTATGCAACTAGCATTTAATGATGGTCATTATGATGCGAGTATCGGGGATACGACATAAACCGCATAGGCAATTAAATGCTAGTAGTATACATGATTTTTTCTACGATTATTTACAACCAAAAATGTATTCAAATTGATTTGGTTTGTAACACAAATAAATTAAGTAGTTATATCTTCTTCCTTCTTCTATGTAGGCTTGTTTCTTCTTCAATATTAACCTCCTAAATTGTTTAAATTATCGCACCATCTTTTTCTTGGTCTGCCAATACTTCTTCGTCTATTTGGTGACTTATCTCGTGCTATTTGTACTATCATATCCTCTGTCAGTCTGCTAATGTGTTCGTTCCACTTCTGTTTCCGTTTATGTCTTCTATATTGCATGCTCTTCTTATGTTTTCGCTTCTCTCCCTATCCAACAGACTTTTCCCTGATATTCGTCGAAGTATTTTCATCTCTGTTGTTTCTAGTAGTCGTCTCGTTTTAGATGTGTCAGGTCTTGTCTCCGCCGTGTATGTTAATATAGGTCTAATGGCTGCTTTATAGATTTTTGTTTTTGTGTCTTGTCTTAGGTGTTTGTTCTTCCAGATTGTGTTATTAATTGTACTATCGCTTTACTTGCTTTTAAGCTTTGTTGTCGTACTTCTTCAACTACTACTTCTTCTACGTCTTCCAAGGAGAAGTTAATTATTTTAAATTAAATTAATTATTTTGTTGATTTATTTATATTTTGAATATTATAATTACTTTGCGAAACTGCGACGAAAGCAATGTATTTGATATTGGATTAGGTAGATTTAAAAATTTGGCTTTTTTTCTCAAATTACGAAATTTATTGATTCCAATATTTTGAACTCATGTTATACAATTTTGTGACCGATAATTTATGTATTCTTTGCAAATTTCGTAATATTTCCCTGTGCTTATAAATTTTCGTGCTATGTGCGTTTTTGTATCTCTTGTTGTTACTAAAAGAGTTGAGTCAAACTCGTAGACATTATTTTGTTCCAATTTGTGCAATTCGTGTCTTCTGCATGCTTCCATCATTCTAAAAATGCAAGCCACTTTGGTTTGTAAGAATTTTTTTTATCCGGGGCTTCTCTGGTAAATTGCTTGATTTCATACGTGTAGAATATCTTGGCCTTTTTCGCTTTATAACCTTGAGATGTCCTCTTTAATAAGGATTGTAGTTTACAATATTTACTTATTTCCACGTTATGTCCAATGGACAACATGTTATGTATGTTTTTTATGTATTTATGTTTTTTTTATAAATATAGGTACTGCTGATGGTGGCCATTACTACAGCTTTATCAAAGATAGGACAGCCGGTTCCAGGGACAAATGGTTTCTCTTTAATGACGCAGAAGTGAAACCATTCGATCCGAATCAGATAGCCGCAGAATGTTTCGGCGGAGAGATGACCAGTAAAACTTACGATAGTGTTACCGATAAATTTATGGACTTTAGCTTCGAAAAGACTAATAGTGCTTATATGCTGTTTTATGAGAGATGTCCTTTATCGGAACCAATGAATCAAAGGTAGGTCAAATCAATCGGAAGTGAACTGTACAAATCCAAATACCCTGCATAAAAATATAATCAAACTATAAAACCAGCACTTAAACCCTTTCGCTACGGCAGTTGTCAACGTATAATATATCAAAGTTTCATTTTATTCCACAAGTCGTCAATTGACGTAATTGTTTGAGCGTTTGGTAGTGTCATAGAGAGTTTTGTAACTCTAGGAAACTTATTTAAAAACAACAAACAATGTGTTTTATATTTAATAGAAGAATTTTAAATGTTAAAAAAGTAATGCCACTAAACTGCTTAACTAATGATCCAATTTAACCAGAGGTATTAATCTAATAGATAAACAACTCATGAGTTTGTGAAGTTCATTACAATTGGTTGGCATTTCAGTCAGGTCTTCTAGCATACACTTTACATGCTATTAATAGCTGTAATCCTATTTTCTATACAGTGCTAGTCAAGAGTCTGAGTTTGAATTTAAGCTCATTTTGATGAATAAATTAAATATATACTAAAATTGTAGTTTCGCATTTAAGTAATGTATATTAAAACCTCCGCCTCTGGTTATTTGTCAAAAAGTTGACGTTTTTCAATTCTCTAATTATTTTTACGTCAACGTCAACTTGTTTGACAATTAACCAGATGCAAACGTTAGAATATGTATTAATTAAATGCGAAACTACAATTATTTTAATATACCTATTCAATTATACTAATTTTGTTTGGATTTAAGATGATTTTGACGAATAAATTAAATAAATACCAAAATTTTAGTTTGGCATTTAATTAATAAAAATTCTAACGTCCATTTTTTATTTTTTGGCAATTCTCTAGTTGGTTTTAGTTTGCAAAAGCGTTTATACCTGAATATTTAATATACATATTTGACTTCTTAACTTTGACCTATCTCTCGTTCCACCTTTCAGACACACACTTTTAACAACTATTAACACTACTGACACTTCTTCTTAACTGACTACACAAAACTTAAACTGCTTCTTTCGGATGCCCATCACATAATAATAATTTCTACTCCAAACTTTCAAAACATTTACTCTCTTTTTCCCATTCCAAATTCGCTAACCAATCAGAAAATTCCTATATCCCGCATCTTATTTTACATCAGAAAAACCCAAGCATTGCTTCTAAACAACTTTCTTTGAAAATGATAATGGTTTTATCTCAAACTTTCTAAATGCAATAGCTACCTGACGGCTTTTGACCTTTCCAGCGAAACAAAAACAAAGGCTTTTAAAATATAATCTACAAATACCGAGAAACAATTGTCTATTCACGTCGTTCAAGTCGTTCAGGGTAAATCTCATTATGGATAAACCCACTGCTTAAAACTAACTTATAACAAATATTTACAAATCGATGTACAGGCGTTGCAAATTTATGTGCCCGCGTTCTATGATAAATTAAAATGTTTATTCTATCTTTTATTGATAAAATGAATCATAACAATATGTTATTAGAATTACACATATAATGTATTAATCGATTACTTACTTTTTAAACTTTTTAGAAGTCCGTCAACGACTGGTGAAAGCTGTGAAACTATTCCCAGTTCTCCTTCGTCTGTCATGACGATCGAATTAAGTAAGGAGCTGGAAGATTGGATATGGCAGGATAACATGCATTTCATTCAGGATAAGAATATTTTTGAACACACGTATTTCAACTTTATGTGGCAAATTTGCGGATACATTCCCCAAACTATTCTACCCGTCGAACCTAATATCACTCAAAAGGCTGCTCAATTGTCAACGACATTTTTTATAGGTAAGTTTTTAAAATTTGATTTTGAGAAGACATAAGCTAGACACCACAAATTATTGATGTTGTTATTAGCGGATGGTTACGTGGCGATCGTAGCTCAGTGGCTATGGTACTGGCTTACTAAGTTGGGGAGAAATTTTTTAATTTCTAATTTAACGGCTACCTAAGTAGTTGTAATAATAAAATCTGAGGCAGAAGGTTAAATGAATGGAAGACGTACAATTTAGCCCGTTGGCTGCTGTACAACCAGCCATAAAAACAAACGGCTTCATTCTTTCTTTCAAACGAGGCTCTTTATTGATGAGATCTTCATGTGTAATGTGTGTGTGAGTCTGCTGTGTCCTAATATAAATATAGTAATTGTTATACGAGAAAAACTAATAGAGTAGTTTTTACAACATTCTCCAAAATTTGCTTCAAACTTTTTTTAACTTGAATAATTTTTACCAACCAGGCAATTTTTTTGACTAGTTTAAAACTTGGCTTGAGATCTTCTGCGAATTAATCTACAACTGCTGCAGCCTATTTTTGTTTATTGATCTTGCAAGGGGATTGCAGGTGTACATTTTAGATGTATGGATCAATGATCTATGTGGATTATGGTAGGAGCTTTATTTACAATTTATTTCTTCTTCTTTTGGAATCATAACCCTAGAGTGATGCTATCAGGATACGGCATCATGTATTGCGCTTCACTACCCCTTTACAATTTATTTACAGTATTAAAGTAAACATCATCATCATTAGTTGGCGCTACAGCCCTGGTCTGCCTCAAAACAAGCTTTCATCCTTTCCTGTCAGGTTTCTGTCTTCTTCATCCTCTTACTTAGTCATATATTTCTCCCCAAGCAGTAAACACTCTTGCCATACCTTTTAGAGAATTTTTGCACATTTTAGTGCTTATAGGGTTTAAAATTAGTAGTTCATCACACTAAATTACAGTTTTTAATACCTTCATGTAATATATTACTTAATAATTCCAGAAACATTTATTCACGCAAAAGAAAAACCAACCATGGTACAATGGGTCGAACTAGTCACTAAACAGTTTAATGCTTGCCAAGAAGCCTGCATTTGGTTCTTGGACCATATGGCGCAAGATACGTGGTGGCCTATTCAAGTACTTCTTAAGTGTCCCAACCAGATGGTGAGGCAGATGTTCCAAAGATTGTGCATTCACGTTATACAAAGACTGAAACAGTCCCATTCTAAATTGTACCTTCAAATGGAGGATGGAAAGGAGTGGAAGAACGAAGAAAACGGAAACGTGGATCCTTGTAAAATTGGAAATGCGTCGTGCGTGACTAGGTAAGTTTATTTGGAGTTATAATATTCATATAAATATATTGAAAATTTTATGCCAAAAAACTGTAGGAATTAATTAATTAATAAATTCTTTCAATTGAGTGTACCACTGCACATACTTAAAACTGAGTAGAAAAAAGTTATAGAACAATGTTTGCGAAAAAAATAAGGAAATAGGTAAAATCCATTTTGAAGAGGAAATTCTTATAAGAGATTTTTTTGTAAATCGTGGAAAAAAGTTATGGGGAAAAGAAAAATCGCACGTGTTCCTGTTTTTTGCTTCGTTTTTGAATATAATTTTGTCAAAAAAATTATTTTTGACTTTAGAAGGTGACATTTCGATATTTTAAATAACTTTTCTGTAGATTTCTTTCTCAAAAACGCTGTAAACACGCGTTTGTTCAGGGTCGGACTTGTAAATTAAAGATACAATATCGTTTTCATTGGTTACATTTTAAATAACATGCTATACGCGTGCTACTTGCCACTTGCCATGCGAGTTTGGTGGTCGCTCTTACTTAGCTATTACTAATCATTTTTCAACTAAATCTGACATAAGGGAATGTAGTTCAAGAGGCTTAGCAGATTTTTATATTTGGCACCCTAAATTGGTAGCGACGTGTCATTAATAGGGTTCAATTTGGAGAGCTGAAAAGATGGACGTCCACTTTATGCTTTTCCCATAGTACACATCGAAAACTCAATATCCTGGTTTAAAGTATGCTTGTACCTGAAGCCAGTTTTTCTGTCTTAAAATATGCCAACCAGGAAATACTGCACCATTGTATTCTTTGACCAAGGGAATCCTTTTTAGGATCTTTTATTATTTCATGCAGGGTCGAAAACGAGTAAAAATCTTCTGTCGTCATGTTGTAAATTTGAGGAGGTATTTTTTACTGCACGTTCTCAATCTGCTGGAATAAAAACTTGAAGAAGTTGTTGTTTCTTCTTTTCAATTAAACCAAAACTGCGGTCACACTCCATATATAGTCGTGACCAGGTTCCAGAAACTTTTGATGGGTCTTGGTGATATGAGTAGCTTGAACGATGAAGGAGAACAGTTTGCAGATGTTTTTTTTATTCCGCCCTCCACAAAAGTCACTATATGCAATTATCTTTGTTACCTTGGGAGGTAGTCACCTGTTTTTTATCAGACATGAGCCTATTTCCTGGGAACCTCTTGCTGTAGTTGTTTCATTCCATAAAAACATGTGACTGTCCAGTAAGAAAGTTGTTTATACAAAAATTGTACGTCCATAGTTGACGAAGGTAAAATACCTTGGACGTAGGTACTAGTGATGTTGGCAATATGTTGCAAATCGAAACAAATATCGACAGTATTCTCAACATTTTTGTGTTTTTCAATATCTAATGTTTTAGAATCGTTTGCTTTCTTAGCTTTTCTCTGATGTAGTCCTAAATCCCGTTGAGCGTTTGAAATGGTTTCCTTATTTTCAGAATATTTTTTTAAGTTCTGAAAATTGTCACAGCGACTACATGTATCATTATAAGCCTTGTGAAAGTTCAAATTGGACTCTGTGTTGAAGATAAATCGATAATATGATACGTTCACTGGTTCTTCATGTTTATTACAAAATTTCTTATATAGATTATACATCTTACTAATTCAAATCGCTAGGAAGGTATTTAGTATTGAGATTATCTATTCTAGAATAATGGCTCTGATACTTTGGAAACATCTAAATGTTGGAAATCACCATATTTTTTGATGATTGTTCTTCCCTCGTTTATCAGGTTCACTCATTCCGAACTTCCGAACGATATTTTTGAACAAATAACCTGAAATCTCGAAAACTAAATTTTATCATGTTAATTAAATCAAGTAATTTGATTTAATTTACGTACCATCAGTTACCCGGCTGTTATCCATAGTGTAACTACAACTTGCACGTTGCATATTACTTAATTAGTCTTTAAAATTTGACACGAATTTAATATTTATTTGCTTGAAAATAATCCAGTATTTTACATGTGTTTTTACAGTATACTAAAAATAGTTTTGTGATAAAACGGTTCAAGCGCACCTAAACCTGTTTACTACCAATGCAATTAAATGTAATGGCGATAGATGGCGACTGTAGAGGCGAAATATGCTTGAATCGTTTTACCATTTAAGTATGCGAATATGTACTTCCAGTCAATTTTTAGAAAAATCCACTTACACCTTTTTAATTCTAACCCTCTCAATAATACCGGATACACCCTGTTTTTTATAACTTTTAACATACTAAATTACATATCAAATAGTTTTTATTCGTTAAAGAGATCAATGCAGATCAATAATATATCGTATCTTAGGCTAATATAAATGCTTTAATTTACATACTTACAGGAATTATGTTAAAGTAGGGAAAACTTTTGTATCGGCAATAAATAAATAAGTTCTTAAAAAAATGCTTTACACTATCAACACACGACCTAAAGATTAACAAATCAACAAACCGAAAAATAGTTTTGCACAATAACTACTGTGACTCTTCATTCGACAGACGACGGAGCGGAAAACCCCTGTTACCTGGTACCCCAACAGACATGACAAGAGAGTTCGATAATTTATAGCCAATAAGAAGGCGTTCGTCACGTGTAGACTCAAATATTACACGGTGACTTGTGTTTATTCTGTCCGTAGCTTGAAGTTGAATTTAGTTTAGATAGGATGTATTCTTAGAAGGGCACTATCGTCCCTAGAATTTTTAAATATCATTAAATTTGCAACAATATTTCTTCTTTTTAGTCATTTTAATGCTGTATTTTCTTTTTATTAGGTTCATAAAAACATTACTGTCTCTGATGGAACATGGCGCCAAAGCTCACTTAAAACACCTCACAGAGTACTTCGGATTTCTCTACGAGTTTAGTAAAATGGGCGAGGAAGAATCAAAATTTTTGCTCGCTGTAGGAGCCATCAATTCCATGGTACATTTCTATTTGGGTCAAAAGTCAAACGATTTCGTAGACGTGAGCGAAGGGGAAGATGAAGAAGAGGTAGTTTCTTTGCCTACAGACAAGTACAAACCAGCATCTTTAGATAAGATGATAACTCTCATAGCTTCTTTGGTGGAGAAAAGTAGAGATTCAAGTGGGAAACTTCAACTTAGCGAGAAGGACTATTCTGCGATAGCAGGAGGCAAAGGTTTCAACTTCTTTTATCAACAGATTAAGGATAACATTAATCTGCAGCAAACGAGAAATCTCATTCATTCAATTTGTAGGGGAAATAACCAGTTAGCTCAGTTAATAATTTGTATGATATCTCAGGCGATATCCAGGAATTCAGAAGTAAGTTAAATTCATTTATATAAAAATATTTTTTTATTCCTACTTATCTTAAGCATTCATTTGGAAAAAAAGAAAATATTGTAACTTAACAGAAACGTGACTCGGCTGTTGTGTGGTATTTTTATAAAAAAAAAATACCGAAATTATATTTTTAATGACTATTTAGATAAACTAATACAGAGTTTTATATATTTTAGTTAAATATATTACAACATAACTTCAAAACTAATAATCATCTTTAAGAGTCTAGCCATCTTTACCTAAATTATTTACAAGTATTAACATTATACTACACTAATTCATATGTCTTCGTCAGAAGAAGACTGTCACTCGAATAGTTCCCATGATTAATGACGATAGGATTAATTTCCGAATATAGATCAGTTTGTATTTCTCTTTTAAAATATTCATCTTCTATCTTTGTAATACGATTTCACCGTTTTTTCCATTCTTCAATACCGATTTTATTAAATTCTTCTTCTGTTAATTTTCTTACGTCCTCAAGTTTAAACGTGACATTCCTTTGACTGACATTATTCTTAATCGTTGCCCAAATTAATTCGATTGGCTTCAAGTCTAGATGATACGGGGGTAACCGTAAAGCGGTGTGGCCCTATTCTCGGCACAACTCATCAAATGCGTATGTTACATATCGGTTCTTATGAAATTTAATAAGTTCATATAATTCTGGTTTTAAACTCGTTGGAGTAAAAGGTATCATTGGAATTAGCTGCTCGATTTATCTATACATTGTGATAACTAGCATTATTACAAACTATTACTGAATTAGGTAGTATATTGGGTATTAACTTCTCTCTTAGCCATTTCTCGTAATCTACCGAATTCATTTCGGAATGATAATCTCCAGATGTGGTCCCTGATTTGAATATCAACAAACTATTTTTAATAAAATCCATGTCTCCTCCGGTATGAACTATCATAAGCTGTTGGCCTTTAGAAATAACAGAACATTAACCTTTTGTGAAATCGTCTGTCCAATTTTTCGAGGAAGTACTGTTCGAGTAAGACTGTCTTAATAATAGAGTGCATTTAAATTATTAGATAAGTAATCAAAAATTGTACTGGGGCACTGTTCATCTGGATCATTAGTGTAACTATATATTAATTCCTCCTCTTCTTATTTAACAATTACATCCACTAGTATGGTTTTAAGATCATTAGAGAACATATAAAAGGAAAAATAATCTCTGACCTTTGTATTAGTTTTCGTATTTAGAATATACAGTGTAGGTAAAAGTTTATGGTCGGTATGGTAAAATTTAACAGGATATCTAACGCAGATATAAAATCATATTTTCAGCGAATAGACAAAGATAATCATATTTCCCCTTGGTCTCCCCTCCATAAATATTTTTAACACTCGTTGCCCTTTAGTGAGACGAATAGTTCCGATCAGAGATATTTTACATATTCTCTGGTTCCGATCCTAATATACCTAAAAAACTAGAGGTGGGTCCTCTCGTTTTTTAAATTTTTATCGGAACCGTTTTTCGTAAACTGTAAGTAGTTGATTGTTTACCAGTATTCAAATTAGCGAGTACACAAACATATTGGCTATTATCGTTTATGTGTATAAGTATTGAAGTGAAAGAACCTAACGAAGGATATATTTATTATAACTTGGAAAATAAATTAAACAATACAAATAGTACTTACATTTACATTACACATTATTAAATCGCGAATCGTCTAAATTGACATTTAAAAACAAGTTTCTCCACTTTTCTTGTTAACCGTGTTCTTCTTTTATTTAAAATTAAACCAGATTTTAAACATGTGTTCACAAGGAAAAGATTTTGTTACAATACTACAATATTTTATGAATATAGTGGTTAAGTTAGGATATACATGGAGATGGTTTTTCCACCACGGTAATGGACAGTTCCAATCTCCGATCGAAATTTTTTGTGGGCAATATATCATCAGACAAATACTTCTTTTATATCTCTCGATATAGGTGTATGTTTAGATGAGTCATGTCCAATTAATTCATCAAAAATACACCATGGCTTAAGTCATCTTTATCAGATTCTTTTTCTTGTACTGGTTGATTTTCAAGATTTACTAAACTTATGTAAAGACTCGTTTCATCCGTTTTCCATAGGTGAAGAACAAACTTTTAAAAAGTTTGCAGGGTGGATTCCTGGATATAAACCGCCAACAAGAAAAACTGTCAGGTTCATTACTTCAGGAATGTTATGTCAAAACTGATTTGATAATAGATAAAATAAAAAGTCCTTTTTTCGACAATTCTGCAAAAATCACATTTAAAAAAAAGTACCTTATCTTCAGAAAGGCTTTTAAAGTATTAATTACAACATAACAAAGTTCCCAAACGGTCAATCCAAGAGATGGAAACTAGGTAGAACTTCACCTATTACATGTTAAAACGAATGACCGAGTTAGAAGAGGCAATCCGTTCCACATCGGTATTAAATAATACAGACTTAGACCAAATCTAAATAAAGAACACTGGATTATTTGTTCTCAGCTTTCCCAAATTTTACGGCCGTTTAAAGAAATAACAAGTACAATGAGTGACCAAAAATACTTGAAGGGTAGTTCAGTGATTGTTATGGTACGCTGCCTGCAAGAATCTTAAAATCCTAAAATTTTAGCAAACGGTAACCTTACATCCATAGTATCCGACGTAGTACAATTACTAATATCGGGTTCAGCAGAAAGATTTAAAGGGATAGAACAGAGTGGCACATTATCATTATGTAAATTTATGGATTTACCATTTAAAGTGCAGGGTTTTTCTGATAAAAATGAAGATAAAAAAATAAAAGAAAAAGTTAAGAAGCTGGTTATTTCAATAATTAACGAACAAGGAGATTGTACACGTACACCTGTATCGAGAGTCCATTGCAACGGTGGAAAAACCATCTCCGTGTATATCCTAACTTAACCACTATATTCATAAAGTATTCTAAATGTGAACACATGTTCAAAATCTGGTTTAATTTGAAATAAAAAAAAAGACGGTTAATAAGAAGTAAAGTACAAAAACTTATGTTTTTTAATGTCAATTTAGACTATTCGCGATTTAATAATAACGTGTAATGTAAATGTAAGTACGATTTACTATTTGTATTGTTTAGTTTATTTTTCAAGTTGTAATAAATATATCATTAGTTTCTTTTACTTCAATAAATATACACATAAACGATAATAGCCATTATGTTTGTTTATGTAGGTACTCTCTTACTTGAAACTACTTTTAAACAATCATAGATACTTGTTTACAAAAATTTAAATTTTTAAATTCATTCATTTTTTTTTGGAATCCTGAGAAAACTAACAAATATTTTTGAAAAATTTAAATGCAGAATAAAAGATTACATTATTACCGAGGGCCGAAGGTCCCTTAGAATAAACAAAAAGTTTTTTGAATGAGATATTTGAAATTAAAAATCACACTATTTTTTTTTACCCCTATAACTTAGTAAAATAAACATTATAGAAGTTATCAGGGACTTTCGGCCCTCGGTAACTATGTATTGTTTCATTCTGCGTTTAAATTTTTCAAAAATATTTATTAGTTTTCTCAGGATTCTAAAAAAAATGAATGCAATTAAAAAATATTGGCCCGAAATTTTGTGCCTACGCTCTTAACGATAAAACTACCACGACCCACCTCTACTACTCGTTACTCGGTGTTTTTCACCAGACGGACGGACGCGGACGTTGCCAAATAATTATTGTGTATGAATATTTTTTAATGTGGCGTTATTGTATGCAGTTTATTATTTCATATTGGAAATAAGGTACAATGTGACTTTAAAATAAGCTTATTTTGATGTTTAGATTTTTAATTCGGAAACCGTACTTAAAATAAGAAACATTAATAAATTTTATTTATATAAAACGATTTCCGAAGTGGAAATCAAAATGTTATATTACACTTATTGTAAAGTAAAATTGTGGTATATTCCCAATAAAAAAACAGTTAGCTGCTATTTAAATCAATTTCGTCCAAATTTAATTTTCTTAGAACATTGTTCAAATGCTAAAAAGACAACAGGTCAAATAAAACCAATAAGTTTGGCAACGTTGAACTTCCCCTTTTTTATTATTTCCACGCATGCATTTTTGGCGATATAAAGGGCGGACCTAATATACCTCTCTCTTTCTAAACAGCTGTTTCTCACTCCATCTCACGTAAGGTCCATACCGACCATAAACTTTTTCCTACACTGTATATGTCAACATTTTATTGTTTCCTAACATTACAAATTTAACACCACTTTATTATTTTTCAGGGATGTCAGCCTTTCTTTAAGATACTCACTCTTCTGACTGAGACTAGCGCACAAAACTCTTCACAACAACCATGTTTCACGCAGTTGGTACTTCAAAAAGTATGGGACGCTGCTGAATGTTGTCCATATCTAGCTTTAGACTGGTTAGCCTTGCAAGTAACACGAAACAGACTGGTGCACTCATGGGTGCTAGGCTCAATGGATTCGTGGCTAGAACATTTTCTGATTGGTCATAACAATCAACGAGTAAGAAATAGTAAGTAGAATAGTATGTTGTATGGCATCGGAAAAAGAAGAACATATACGATACAATAGTATGCTTTTAAGTGGTAGTGTGAAAGAGAGCGTTTTAAATAAGCAACGGCGTCAAGGTACACCATTTAGAGTCATTTACGAAAAAGTTCATACATCAACAGGTGTTTGGCGACCAGATTCTGTTGATAGATGGGTAGATAAGCTCAGTGTCGGTTTAACACAGTCTGAATAGAATAAATGACACTAAATATTAATGTCCAATTTACATAGCCATTCAATTGCTTCTGGGGAACATTCCGCAAAGTCCTGGAGGTTTCCACGGTAGGCACGATTCAAGCAGTCTGAAACACAATGGCTTATGGTCTGTCTAGATTCTCCGCAATCGCACTGTGGACTTTCTGCACGACCCCACCTGAACAGCGAATCAGCACATTTACCATGTCCGGTACGTATACGATTAAGCCTTGCCCAAATGGACCGGGGCAGATTTGATCCGATGAAACCCTGAGTTGGGGCGGATATCTTAATATAGTCCGATTCTACTGTTGGCATCCATCTTGTTGTCCATTGCCTATGTATATCATAGGAATTACCAATTTTTCGGGCAGATCGTATTGGAGGATTTCTAGATCTCAATCGTTGGTGCTCTTTTGAAATGTCTATGATATCTTGATGTATTGGTACTTGTACGTTGGCTACAATTTTCTGGTACTCTCTCACTAATGCTGCTGTACGGCGTAGATCTGGTGGAGCAATATTGCTCAGAGTAGGCAGCCATCTCATTGGCGTTGATTTTATTGTTCCAGTGATTATTCTCATGGTTTGGTTAAGTTGGACATCGATTTTGCTTGTATGTGCACTATTTAGCCATACTGGTGCACAATATTCTGCCACTGAAAAAACCAAAGCTAGAGCAGAGGTCCGAAGAGTATCTGCAGAAGCACCCCAAGTTGTTTCAGCAAGTTTTGATATTAAGTTGTTTCGTGTTCTTAGTTTACCGGCTGCGTTTGTAAGATGACTTTTGAAGGTGAGTGTTCTATCAAGTGTGACGCCTAGATATTTGGGGTTGTTGTTATGTTTGATAGCTGTGTCATTTAGAGTTGCATTGAGAGTATCGCCCGCAAGTTGATTCGACAGGTGAAAGAGACAGGTTTCAGTTTTGCTTGTGTTAGGACGTAAGCGCCAGTTCTTAAAATAGTTACTTAGTGTAGATAAGTCCTCGTTTAGAGCTCGTTCTCCTGCTTCTTTACTATTATCTTGGAAGCCAATGGCCAGGTCGTCAGCATAAGCAAATTTTCTCGATTTTGTTTCAGGTATATCTGCTGTATAAAGGTTAAATAATAAAGGAGCTAGCACTGAGCCTTGAGGTAAGCCGTTGTTAAGTTTTCTAACGTTACTCTGTGCATCATTCATATATACCTGAAACAGTCTGTTAGTCAGTAGATTGTTTATCAGCTGACAAGTTTTGAGGCAAGGTATGATTTTCATCAGCTTATAAATAAGGACCTCTCTCCACACCGTGTCATAGGCAGCCGTGAGATCTATAAATGTTATGGCAGATTTTTCGCGTCTTTCAAAGCCAGCTTCAATAAATGTAGTTAAGGACAGCACTTGGTCACAGCAACTTCGTCCTCTTCTAAATCCAGCTTGTTCAATTGGTACAGCATCCTCAATGGTGTTACATATTCGGTTATATAAAAGTCGTTCTAGTAGTTTATAACAGCAACTGAGTAAGGCAATAGGCCGGTAACTTTCAGGCAGCTTGTTGTCTTTGCCAGGCTTCTGGATTGCGATAATTTTTGTTCTTTTGAATTCTGGGGGTAGCACAGTTGTATTCACAATGTCGCTAAAGAATTTTTTGAGCCACTATCGTGTTTTTGTACCAGTGTGGACTATAAACTCAGGATACATTCCATCGAAGCCTGCTGCTTTTCCTGTTTTAGTTTGGTTAAGCGCTTCGTTTATTTCATCCAATTCGAGAAGGCAAGTGAGTATTCTGATGTTGCGGGAGTATTTGCTTTAAGTTGTTTAAGAGCTCTTTTTCCGGTAGATGTATGAGTTCTCTCAGATGGAGCTCGGGAGTTCTCAATTATTCTATTGGCTATTTTATTTGGCTCAATTGTTGATCTGTTTAAGTGTTGCGCTCTGCTTGCTTCGCCCAGTTTGCGGATCAGTCCCCATGCTTTTCGACTGGAACGTGAGATATCAATATGTTCTACGATAGACTTCCATTTATTAAGTCTTGTGTGAGTCCAGTGACTTCAGTAAGTTGTCACCAATTTCGGGATCTTCTGATTTCAAAAATTCCTCATATAGTTTTTGGCTTTCTTCCGTCCAGCCTGGGATGTACTCCTTTCGGAAACCTCGGGGGATATGTTTTTTGGCGATAGAGATAACCATTCCTAAAAAACGGTGATAGTTGTTGACCTTTGGGTCAATGAAGCGAATGCAGGTGTCCAGCTCTTTGGTGAATTCGGGCCAATTTCCTTTGTTAAAATTCCAACGGGGTCTCGGCGTGGATTCAACGATAGGAATTTGTATGCCTAGTTCGATTATGACAGGTCGATGTTGGCTGTGAGGGAAACTGGGAAGTACAGTTCGAGAGCTTGGGAGTGGTTGCATCTGTGAGTTAGTGGAAACCCAGCATAGAACAGGGTTGTAGCCTTTGCGCCATCTTCTAGAAAAGGAGGTAGTTTTATCTTTTAGACTATGGATAAGGTGAATATTATTTTCTTCAGCCCACTCCAGTAGTTTCTCCCCATTTTCATCATTGTTTTCATATCCCCATTTGCTGTGGTGACTGTTAAAGTCCCCAATGTAAACTGCAGGTTGGTTGTCAACGGCTTTTATTACATCTACTGGCCATTTAGTTAATGGTGGTTTGTAGATGTTTTTTATGATTACGCCATTCACTTCTGTAGAGACTATGGACACATTATTTTCGCAGCTGCAGATGTACCAACATAAAAATAGATATTGCTTCCAAACAACAATTTGCTGCATCTTGGACAATCAAATTTAAAGAGTGAGAAGCACACGGTACTTTTTCTTCAGGTTCCTTCTCCTATCGGAAATCGTCATCGCTATTTTAATTTTATTGGTCGCGCTTCTGAATAATTCTAATGAGCTGCAACCGAACCACTCTCTTAAATTTCTTAGCAAGCATATTTTGCGTCGTCCTGGTTTTCTCTTCCCTTGCATAATTAACCTTGCACACGGTACAAAGAGAGCTAAATCATTGTAAACTTTAATACATGCTTGCAAACCAGAATATTTGCCACTTATATTACTGGCATTGCCATAAGACTGACCTCTACAGCTCTTAATATCTAATTTCAAAGACTCTAACATACCAATAATTGTTTCTTCAAGTTCTTGTGAGCTATGCCCAGTGTTTTTATAAAATCCCACCAATCTTTCCACGGGATTCCCTTTATTGTTAAAATATCTCAAAATCACTGTAAATTGGTCATGGTGTGTTAAGTCGGGTGATGAATCTACACTTATGTGTAGATGATGAATAGTATTTGTTTGCCTTAATTTGCCTAACAATTTCATCAATGACTCGATTGGACAAAATATTGAGTAAATCGTTACATATATCTTTTGATAGATATGAAGTTTTGCTTTTACCTAAATTTGCTCGTTTATTAATATTATTTTTTTAAAATAGATCATATTCTAAGTTCTAATAAACCTAAGTAGCTTTCATTACGCTTTTTATCAATTCTTTCATGAGTACCTCTAAATGCTAATTTCCTGGTATCCTGAATCCTTGCTTTAATAAGCAAGTTGTATAAATTTTCAGATTATCTATATCATTAGATCTTTCATGTTCGTCAAATCATTCCCACTTTTATTTCGTGATGACAATCCTGTTTTAAATTGGTTCTTTTTTTTTAAATAAGACACAAAAAAGACAAAATTTATTGCCAGTGCTCTTGGAGTATATTTCCCAATCGCGGCGAACCACTTCTACAATAACCAGTTTTTTATAAACTATTTGCTTACTGGCATACCTGTTTTGTTAATCATCTTACATATCTGTAAGATTCTGTTCGACCCATTTTTCTAGAATCATTTCTGTATAATTATGACAATCTTGCCAAAGTGCTGGATCTCTAAAATTCGATATCATGTGAATTTGTATGCAAATTTTAGTATTCAGTAGAACGTAGAAGATAAATCACCAAGATAATTTTGTCGGTCTTTAAATATGACCGGAATTTTATTTTATTTTATTTCTAAAAAATATAAACACATCAAAAATGTCTAAGGAACATTAATTTTTATTTTATTTGAAAAAGTGACGTACCGTTGTAATATCTGATCAGTCAGCAATGCATTCATCTTAATTTTAGAGTAATATGATTTTTCTATGATAACACAATCAAACGGAAGTTGAGACGTTTACTAATTACATGGAAATTTTTAACATAAAAGTCAATATAAAATATAAAAATCTAACAAAAATTTTTTTAATAATCTGTATTCCTCCAGCAGCAATAATTACAGCATGAAACCGCCTTGGCATGCTTAAAATTAAATTAACAATTTCGTTTTGAGGCAATAGGATCCCTTCCTATGTAAGAATATCTTGAAGACCTTTTCTAGTATGAAAATTGTACAGATGTGGAGTAATCGATCTCTGAAGCATATCCCATACATGTTCGATTGGATTAAGAGCTGGCGATTGTGCTGGCCACGGTAAAAGTGGAATGTCCTTATTACAAAACCAATATCGTACTGTTGCTCCAGTATGTTGCCTTGTATTTCCTACATGTAACCTAGCTATATCTTGCAACTTTGCTGTGCAGTTTTACATAATAATTTTGAGCGTTTTTTTGATATTTTCGGAAATAACTGCCTCATTTCGCCTTCCAGATCGCTCAGCATCATTGTTATCGGTACGACCTCGTTTGAATTTAGTAAACCATTGTTTAATGTTTGTAACCGATGGAGTAGAGTCCTGGTAACAGTTTTTGGGCCATTGCTTTGTATGCTTTGACACTACCGAAATGTCATGTGAATAATTCATTAGAGTGGCCATCTCATGATTAAACCCGGGACTTATTGACCGACGTAATAATGTTATAACTAAATTGTACAATGAATTGCGCTTAAAGTGTTATTTAATCGGTATATTTCTTTACGTTATTTATTTACTTATTTAATGTAATTTTATTATTAATTTAATTGTATTATAAATTCAATAATGTTTGTATTTAATTTTTAGCTGCAGGTTACCTTTTAGTAGCTTTGGTGCCAAGTACACCTTTTAGGCAAGGTTTTAGAGCCACTCATAGATCTAATAGAGAACCTCAGCTTTCTACGGAAGCTACCGCGGTTCTTCATCAAATCTATACGGCTCTCTTAAGATTGTTACCTTCTGCTAAACATTACACTGACATGCAGCAACATGGAACTATGAAATTAACGACTTATTTCGCCTTAATGATGTATTGCTGCATTTCGAGGACTGAAAAATTAATGGTAAGTGATAGAAATAAATTAAATATTTTAAATATAAGCTTTCAGGTATTAAGTTTCGCTGCACAATAAGTAGGGATGTTTAGGATACATGTTCGAAAAAGTGAATCCTAAAAACAATAACTATTTTAATTAAATACTGATTTCAATATAAAGAACTGAAAACGAATGTTAGAAGAAAAACAATAAATACTCTCAACTATTTTACTAATGCAAAAACTAGTTTGACTCTGTCTTGCTATAAAAGCGCACTACAGACAAATAAATGTTTTCAAAATGTCGGATATCATAGTTTCAATCAGATTCAGAGAATATCAAATTTTGTGACACCAATAAACAACAAATTTTGATGGTTCTTCCATTCCCAAGGTATTCGATGAATTAAATACACCCTAGTCATTCCAAAATACGGAAATCGACTCTTTACTAGTCGCTTTGAATGGCTTTTATATGCTGCTGCCCACTCAGCCGATTACTGATTTGACATGTCACATATCGTCACAAACGCCCTGTTTATTTAGCTGAAACAGGTATAAACAACGCTCTGAATTGTCAATGAGTTGTTTTTTTTATCGACTAGAACAAATGCAGCATCCAGTTGGAACGCAACTTTCTCAGTGACAAAATGTTTATGTATTATGTATCCAAATTATAACACTAGCAGAAAAACAACAAGGTTTTAGGTCGGGGAGATCATGTACCGACGCTATATTTTTAATGAGGCAAGTGTAAAGGATTCCCCACACCAACGCGAAACTTTTGAGACGCGAATTTTCCATTGCGAACATTCGCAGGCGGAGCGGTAGCGAACAAGGCTTCGCCATACAGATGTTAACAAATTATATTTTTAGTCGTTTATTCGTAGCTTACAAATACATAATGACTTCGTCTGATGAAGAAGAAACTCTTCTACTATTGGCACTTGCCGAAACTGAAAAAAACAGGTAACTCCAGAAGCAATAACTTGGTACGGGACACATTCAGTATTGTTAGTATCGACACATATCATCATCACAGTCATTAACATCTTAGTAGATGGGTTGTGGTTCATAATTGGGCTTCAGCAGCTCGGACAGTTTGATTGATAATATTTCTCCACTGGTCGCGGCCATCAGTTATATGTATTGCCTCAGTATACTGTTTATTGAGAAGCTTTTTAGTAATGTCCGCCCATCGCTGTGGAGATCTTCCGCGTTGGCGTTGAGTCTGAGGCCTTCCTTGGACCACCAACCGCTCCATTTTGTGATCACTTCGATGGATATGGCCAAAGAACTTTAAAATTCTAGAGTAAACGGTACTGGAGAGACGCTGATCCGGTTTAATTTCATCCAGAACCGAGATATTTGTACGGCGAGCCGTCCATGGAATTCGAAGCAGTCGTCTCCATGTCCACATTTCAAAGGCGTCTATACGTCGTCGATCTGATTCTTTGACTGTCCATGTCTCGCATGCATAGTAAAATATGGAAAAGACCAGAGTTGAAACGAGTCTCTTTTTGTTTGTCATAGTAATGTGACGATCACGCCAGACCCCGTTTAGTTCACTCATTGCTGCTCTTGCTAGTTGAATGCGTCTTCTAATTTCGGATTCACAACTGCCTGTGTTGTTAACTAGAGCTCCAAGATATATCATAGATGAGACTACCTCGCATCCCGCAATAGTTTGGGTTTCAGGAAACTCTTGTTGGCGATCAATAACCATGATTTTGGTTTTTGTTGTAGTTAACCATGAGTCCAAATTTAGCACTTTCTACCTCGAGTTTTTTTAATAATATAATAATTTCTTCTGGAGTAGAGGCTAGAAGTGTAGTGTCGTCTGCGAAACGCAAGTTAGATATCTTAACACCACCTAGGTTTACTCCTCCCTCCCAACCACCCAAAACTCTGCGCATTATGAACTCCGAATAGATGTTAAATAATAAGGGAGATAAAACACATCCTTGGCGTACTCCCTTCTCCAAAGTGCATTTGTCAGACAGATATCCGTCCATTCGAATATATGCCAGGTTATCTTGATACAGTTTGCTAATAAGGTGAGTCAAGTGTTTAGGTACACCCATTGTCGTCAGTATGTTCCATAAATTGTCCCATCTAACATTATCAAAGGCCTTTGTATAATCGACGAAACATATAAATATCGGGATCTGGTATTCTCTGGCTTTTTCTATGATGTTTCGTACATTAAGGATTTGTTCTCTAGTACCTCTGCCCTTTACAAATCCAGCCTGCTCAGGTGCTATTTGCCAACTTATGAAGTTTTCTAGACGCCGTTGCAGTATGTAGAGGATCACCTTACTGGCGTGTGATATTAGAGCTAATAGCCTGTAGTTGTTACAATTATTTGTTGAACCTTTCTTATGAAGAGGTATGATTATGGTCTTTCTCCAATACTCAGGCCAGGCGCCTGTGTGCCATATTTCATTGCACAATCGATGTAATATTTTCACTCCACATTCCGGAAGATGCTTCAAGACGTCTGCAGTAATGAGATCATATCCTGCTGCTTTGTTTAACTTAAGTCTTTTTAAAGCGAATTCCACCTCGGAAAAAAGTATGTCAGGTTCAGACTCAAAACTAGTGTGGTGTGTCTCTGTTGAAGGAGAATGGAAAGTGGAGGTCTGGCAGTCAGGTACAAACGGGGCGTCCGCTGGCATCTGGTCCGTATTGGCGTCTAAAGACTTACAATACGCCCTCCAAACATCAATAACCTTGTCCAAATCCGTCTGTACATTACCTTCATCATCTTTGATAGACCAAGATTTCTGCTTGAATTTACGTGTGAGTTGTCTGACTTTATCAAAGAGTTCTTTGGTGTTATTTGTGTCGGCGTGTAGTTGAATTTCTCTGCAGATTTTCTCTATATGCTTGTTTTTGTCTCATCTACAAGCAGCCTGAATAGCTCTAGATAGCTGTCGGTACTGGGAATTCCTGAGAGGGTTCTCGATTCCAGCAATTTTAAGTTTTCTACGTTCTTCAACGAGGTCAAAAGTATCTGCAGACATCCACACTTTTTTTGGTCCGGTTGAGACGGCATTAGACTGTGCATCGCAGTCAGTCAAGGTCTGTATCAAGGTATTTTTAAAAGATAACCAAATCTTTTCGGAATCATGAGTGACGATAGTTGGTAAAATATTTTCGAATCTTTCATTACATTGGATTTTAAATTGTTGTGTATCTTTTATTTTTGATATCCTCTTGTTTCGGATCCTAGCACATGCCTTGAATTTTTGCTTTAGCGTTGCAACAAGAAGTTGGTGGTCAGAGCCGCAGTCAGCGCTAGGTCGTGTTTTACATTGGCTAATAGATGTTTTCCAGCGATGTTTAATCATTATGTAATCGATCTAATTTCGGTGTCGTGCGTTAGGTGAGATCCAAGTGTACAATCTTCTGGGGTGGTGCCTATACATAGAGTTCATTATTGTCAAGTCATTGTCAACGCAGAACTGGATAAGGCGGTCTCCCCTTGAATTGCGTTCACCTATTCCATATCTACCCACAATATTTCGTATATGTTCGTCAGCCATAGTAACACCGATTTTTGAGTTTAAATCACCCATGATGATAGCGATTTCTTTATTTGGGATATTTTGCAGATATGATTCCAGCTCGTTGAAAAAAGATTCAGTTGTATCATCATCAGCAGTTGAGGTAGGCGCATAGACCTGAATCAAATGTACAATAGAGGGAGATCCATTTAGTTTTAAGGAAATTATACGATCACTGATAGCTTGATATCCCAGTATATAAGGAGAAAGAGATTTTGAAACCCAGAAGCCAACACCATTGATACTTTTGTTAGTGTTGCCGGAAAAGCACATGAAATGTCCCAAATTAGTTATGTAGTGCCCCTCGTTGCGGAAGTGAAGTTCAGAAAGCCCGGCCACAGAGATATTGGTTCGTTCCAGTTCCTTCTCCAGAATAGCTTGTTTGCCCGGTTGTAAAAGACCACGGACATTCCATGTAGCTATGTTGTATGGTTTGCGGTTATTAAGTTTTTGTTTTTCACCAGTAGCACATTTCGCATGTAAAGCCTGATGAGTCACGTCTACATGCCCGGTAACTGATTTCACATATTCCTCCCCGGACGAGAAGATGCGCCGGGTGCCATCCGGATCGCGAAGCTCATCATCCGAGGCCTCGCAGCTATTGCTCATATTATGAACTTTCGTGGGTGAAATAAAGGGGTGGTTTCCCGTTGCCTTCCCCTATCGACACATATAGGGGAAAGTATTGGTGTTAACTGTGTATTGCTCCGAAAAGAACATCTAGTATTTGAATTGGAAGTGCAAAAGCCAGCTACTTCTTGTTCTTGTTGAAACTCCAATTTTTTTGAAACTCGAATGAAACTTTTTTTCTTATATGTTTATAATCTTCGTCCCTTAAATCATAAAGCATAGGATATTGTTTCATAATTTCAATTAGTTTTTCTGTAACAGCCATTTTAATTCACGCGAATCTATAACTGCAGCGGAAAAAATCGTGCATGCAGCGTTTCATGAAAACAACGCTGATCTGCCGCAACCGTTGCGGACTCCGCCCCAACTTGTCTGAACACCTCCATAAGTCGCCGCGCCTTGCGATTCGCCGCGATTCCGCGTAGGTTGCGGCTGCGAAAGTTTCGCGTCGGTTTGGGTAATCCTTAAGAGAAATTATTAGAATACAATAAAACGGCATATATATGCAAAAAGGCATTTGACCGGGTCAAATTAAAAGACCTTATCCACTTACTGTACGCAAGAGAGATACCTCTAGGAATAATCAAAACGATCGAAAATATCTATCAAAACAACACAAAAGTAAAAGTATAAGAAGAACTAACCGACTCTATTGAAGCTGGCAATGGGATGAGATAGAGAGATTCCCTGAGTCCTCGATTGTTTAACTTGATTATGAATGAAATAATAAAAAAAGTAGGAACAAAAAAAGGATAGCAAATGGGAGAAAAACAACAATAATCTGCTATGCAGACGACGCAATACTACTCTCTCTAAGATGATTTATAACGTATGTTGCACCAATTTAATATAACCACCAGAAAATTTAACATGTTAATTTCCCTAAAAAAGACAAAATGCATGGTTACAACAGCAAATTTTCTTCTTCTTTGAGTACTGTTCCCAAGTTTTAGGCGTGGGTAGCTTCCATGACGATTTCCGATATCGTCCGAAGGTTTCGGAGCCATGAGAATTTCATTCTACCAATTCCTGTTCTTCCATCGATCTTTCCGTTGAGTATCAACTGCATTATCCTGTATCTGCTTCCTCTCATTATATGCCCCAGATATTCGAGTTTTCTCTTTTTTATTAAGTCACCTTTACCTTGACCTACTCTGTTCAAAACTTCTCTGTTTGAAATGTGTTGAACCCATGATATTCTGAGCATCCTACGATATAACCACATCTCGATGGCTTCTAATTTGTTCATCATGTTAATCTTCATAATCCAGGTTTCACATCCATACAGTAATACAGGATACACATAACATTTTAGCAACTTAATTCTCAGCTGTAAGTTCAGCTGAGAATTGCTCAGAATAGATCTAAGGTTCATAAATGCTCCTGTTGCAATTTTTATAGAGTTTTAATTTCTTCATTCGGATTTAGTGTCTCGTTTATCCAATATCCTAGGTATTTAAAATGGTTAACTTTTGTTATTGGTTCATTATTGACAATTAGTTGTGTAGTGCCGAGGTATTGTTTACTAACCACAAGTAACTTTGTCTTTGTTGTATTTATGCTTAGTCCGTTATTCGAGCATTCTCTAGTGACTCGATCTATCCTTTGGATTCCGATCTATCTAGGAATGCCATGCGTTGACTTTTTCTGGTAACATCTCTTTTGAGGAATTTTATTCTTATTCTTCTATCTCTTCCTTTTTTCTTCTCTGCTTGCACCTTCTCATGTTTATTTGTCCTTGTTTCGTTGCCAAATTCATTTCTACTATTCTTTTTCTATCCGCTTCATCTATATTTCTTGTTTCATTGTCCTTTTCCTTATCCAATTTTTCTTCCAATTCTATCACTTTATTCTCGAATTTCATGGTTTTATTATTAAAATCCAACACTATATGCTTTTCCGATACTTCGTCTACTCCTACTATCATATCATGCGACATATTTGGCATTATCACACATTGTAGTGAAAAAAATTTCTTTCCCAATCGTATCCTAATTCGTATTCCTTCATTTATCGTTGCTAACGTTCTTCGAATTGAAGGAATTGAATATCTTTGATACTTTCAGCCATGATTGCGGTGTCATCTGCATATCTTATGATATTAATAGTTTCTCCCCCGATTCGAACTCCACATTGCCCTTCCAAGGCTTTGTTAAAAATTATTTCTGAGTAAACGTTAAACCAAGTTAGGGACAACACACAACTCTGTCGAACACCTCTTTGAATACAAATTTTGTCTGTTTCTTTGCCGTCTACCATAATAGAAGCTTCTTGATTCCAATATAGATGTTGTAAAAGTCTCAGATCTTCATCATTTATTCCAATTATTTCTAGATATTCAAACAGCCTACCATGTTGCACCTTATCAAAAGCCTTCTCAAAATTTATGAAACAGACGTAAATTGGTTTCTGTACTTCCCATGATCGTTGAAGTGGTGTTAGCATTGAGAACAAAGCTTCCCTTGTTCCCAATCCTTTTCTGAAACCGAATTGTTTATTTCCGTTTGAAGACGATCAGTAGGGAAAGCACGAAAACGATGGAACGACAACTTACTGGAAGCACATTGAAAAACAGAGCTATGGCTATATAAAAAGAAGAAGAAGAAGTATATATTAATAATAATTATTACAACACTAGGACCAGCAAACGATTTTGTAGGGAGGTTAGCTTCAAGACTGCTTGTAGATACACTTATGTCAGTATCACCTTTATTTTATCTACTCTGTTTAATGGGAATTAACCACAATTTCAGTTGAAAATAGTTTATATTTACATTTCGATTTTCGCTTCGGTATTTTATTGTAACAATGGATTTTAATTTTTGTTTAAAATTTGCAGTTTTATATAAGTTACATAGTTAAACTGTTGTTTTTTTTAGTTCGGACAGTATTTTATGCAGTTATGGCATTTATTTCATCCTAAATTATCAGAACCGTCCATACCTGCCTACCACAATAAACAAACACTGCTAGCATTTTGGAACCATGTTTGTACTGACTGTCCAGAAAATGTACAATTAATGCTTCAAAATGCCCACGTGACCAAAAACATTGCATTTAATTATATCTTGTAAGTATTCGCTATAATTCAAAAAAGTATTTTTATTAATTTGCAGAAATATTGATCCGTATAAGTGTTAGTGTTATTTTAGAACAATGTATTCATTTAAAGTGCTCAATAATCTGCCAAAATTAGTATTTTAATTAAAACTGGAACGAGAAATGTGTATTTTTATCTGTCTTGTTCTCGTTGCTAGGTCTTAACCTGATCCCAGGATAGCAGATGCACCATCGGTACAAAATATTAGCAGCTTCTTCCACTCTAGACCATATTTCTCAAATCTATCACAAATAATTTTCACGATATTTTCTTTTTGATGTTATCTCCAACTCTTGTGATATTAAAAGTGTAAAATAATGAAATTTGTTAATTTCACAAACTAGCTGATTGTCAATTTTAGTGGACATGGTGTCAATCCGTACTTTCACTGTTTTTTTTTTGGAAAAAGGAATATCTTTTATTTAGCAGAAACAAGTGTTTCTCCAACTGCGTTGTTTTTTCGCCGTGGCGATTCAATGCGGAATTTCAAATGTAATGCAGTACCTCTTCATACCATTCATATATGAAAACACCGGTTTTTCATAGTTTCATTTTCTTTTTCTAAATTTATAGCAAGAATTCAACTGGCTGGTCACTTAGGTTAGCATGATTTGTTAAACAAAATTTCAGTTTTGCAGGTTTCAAGGCTTCATTGCTAAAAACGGCGGCATAAATCACTCACTGAGGTCTAACCTTTTTATTTATCTTAATTGTCGTAAATCCGAACTTGATATAATCACCATCATACTTCCGTTTTTCAAACATTTTTTCCATTACGTTTTCCGTTTCATCACACAATGTTAGTATCACACGCAAAGTAAGGGTAGTCGTGCCGTTTCGCTGTTTCAAACGCGCCAGATGTCAGGTGACCTTACACGACACAGTCACGTGATAACTTACTACATATTGTCTGTGCGACTATCATTTTGTTTTCTACATGATACAAGAATTATGATGATTGTTTTACGGTATACCTTAATAATTATTGTGTTAAATATAATTCAGTAAATAGACTACAAACCCATAGGAGATTTTTGATGGATCATTTGACCTAGCATGAGTTACATATGAAACAATACTACAATACGAACAACTACTGAATATGCGTACAGCGACCTAATGCGTACAAAAATATTGGTACCACGAGCAGGGAAAATTTTTTATTTTCGGAAAACTTTTGCCCCATTTATACAATACAATATTAATAAGAAAAAAATGCAAAACTGTAAAAAAATAAAACAGCAATACACAAGAACACAGTCCAAAATAGGATGAATACATGATAGGAAAAAAACAACTAATTATACATATTTGTCAAATTAGAGCAGGATTATTATTGTATACCTACTTAAACAAACGGAAGAAAACAAGCAATACTTCTTTGAGCTTTTCATACAAAATAAAAAATAATCCCATAAAGGTAAGATGGTGAATTCTCAAACACACACATCTTATATACATCAGGGCTAATGTAAACTCCTGGACAAAATTAATGCACCACTTTAATTAATCTAAATATTTACAACATGAACACAAAACAAAACTAAGTTACATTAGAATAATAATAAACACCTACAAATAAGTCCAACATGACGTTATCATGACTTTAATTTGCCTTATTGTTTCTTTAAAAATTAGTGTTTGCCGGAAATGCGTAAATAAGCTAGCATAACTCCAAATTGCAAAAAGAAAAAAATCAGTAAAGTAACACAATAAAAATGCATCTGGGTCATCACTAATACTGTGTAGGCCCCCCTCTACTTCTTACGACTGCATTTATGCGTCGAGGCATGCTTGATATCAAATGTTCAACAAAAGCTTGCCGAATATTCTCTCATTCTTCAATAACGGCCTCAATGAGTTGGTTGTGATTGGCAATAGGGGTCTACGACTTCGAATCTTTTTTTGAGATAGTCACATAGATGCTATATAGGATTTATGTCCGGACTGTTAGGTGGACACTCTAATAATGGAATATCAACATTATTTATGTAGCCAATAACCTGTTGAGCCACATGAGGACGAGCGTTGTCTTGCATAAATAAAACATTGGGTCCAAGAAACAAAGCAAAAGTTCGACAATAATGTTGTCTAAGTAATAATGGGCATTCACAGACCTCGTACGTTTGGAGACCAACTCCGTACGAGTTTCAAAACAAATTCCCCCAAAACATTTTAGAGCCACCACCAAAAGGTACTTTAGGAGAGATATTGCAGCTGGCAAACCTTTCTCCTCGCCTTCGCCAGACACGCTCACAACCATCTGGAACTTTTGGGCTTACTCTAGTCTGATCGGAGAAAAGAACTCGGTTCCAATCAGCGATGGTCAAATTTTGATGCAATCTTGCAAAATTCAATCTCTGAACCCTGTGTTCTCTGATAACAAAGGTTTTTTGGCCGGTTTCCTGTTGCTCAATTCTGCTTCATGTAAACGTCTTCTAACTGTTCCAGACGATATCGCGACATTTCGAACATCTGCTAGTTCAGTTTTTAGCAAATTGCTGGTGACTCTCCTATCTCTGAGAGCACGTTGTCTCAAAAAACGATCATCAATTTGATTAGTGCAACGTTTTCGCCGTTGCCCTGGTCTTCAATGGTACGACCCTGTTTCATTATATCGCCTCACCTTGCGACTGATGCTGGAATGATGTCTTCCTAAAAAACCTGCAACGTATCGCATTGAATATCCTTCATCTAGGAGAGTCGACGACAAGTCTCCTCCATTGATAAATTTCTTTGGCGGTTCATTTTATTTTATTTGATTTTTATGCAAATGAACTTCCAAACATGCATGTGATGAAAAATATCACAGTAAAAAGCTTGTTTCTCACAATCACTTTGGTTTAATCGGCATTTTTTGTAAAAAGTTTTACTCACTTTTAGTTTAAAACGAAGTTTAATACAAATTGTTGTTAAAACAAGACTATTATTAGCTTACATAACAACTGTCACTGTCAAACAAGGTCCATAGGCAACTTGTCATACAGTAAATTATCAATAGTTAAAGATTATTGAGAAAAATATGAGTGGTGCGTTAATTTTGTCCAGTGTGCATCCCCAAGGCTCACTCGGGCCACTAAATTTTCTTCTGTCAATGTGAAAATATTTATTCTATTAATTATAACTTTGCTTCTATGCTTCTATAATTGGAATGATTCTGATTATATTATTTCTTAAACACAGACACCGCTCTACTTAGTCTTCAGCTATTTGGGATTGAATTATATTCAAGGATATTCTGCAAACATTGAACATAAAAAATTAAAATATAAAACTAAGAGTTTTGCGTTAAGCAACGCGTATTCTCTAAAACTGTGTGAAGTTTTCACATCTACCGATGTCTATCTAAACAAAAGTCTTTATTTGTTATTGTATTTGTGAAACGGGTCTGAAACACGAATTTCTCATGTTTTAACACATAACTCCTAGTGATCTGATACTTCAAGGCGGATTCCTGACGAGGGAATATTATATATAGGCTGTAGAATCAGGATATCTGTATTATCTCTTCAGATGATATATTTTATCACTGTTGTTTTTTATATATACTACGTTTTGATTTAGATGGATTTGATCGTTTTCCTTTTATATTTACGTATTCTAATTTTATAACATTTTTAGAGCTGATCATGACGATCAAGAAATAGTTATGTATAATAGGGCCATGTTACCAGCTTACTACGGTATATTAAGAATGATGTGCCAACAATCTAGGACGTTTACTAGAAGCTTAGCACAACATCAAAACTTACAATGGGCATTTAAAAACATCACTCCGCATCCAACTCAATATCCCCAGGTAAGTTTATTAAAAAGTTATATTATTTGGTTAAACCTTAATGATGGTAGAAGAAACTTTGTCATCGGTAGATTGTTGCTGATGTTACAGAAACGGGTGGAATAGATCGATCAGATATAAATTTTACAATATTTTTGGGTTTCATTTTTACATTTTAAGTTTGTTTACATTTTATTTTATTTTTTTAAACATTTTAATAGACCTTTTTTATTAAGCAAATTGTATACGGCAATTTATACAAATAACAGCATTGGCTGTAGAGCTTGCAAGTGATTTGTGTTGTTGTCAGCAGTTACTTCAGAAGCAAAGAATTACATTGGTAGTTTTAGGGATCTCATCATGTAATTTTTCCTGTTAATATCAATACCTCTCAAAAGTGAATCAGCGAATTTGGGTTCTGAGTCTGTGAAGACTTATACGAAATTCGTTGGTATGGTACGAGAGCCGGCAATTATTCGGACGACCTTTGCATGTGGGAACTTAAGTTCAGACAAACTGTCCGCGATGCCTTTTTCAGCTAGGTCTTTATTCACGCCGGTCATTACTAGGTTGAAGTGTGTATGGAGCTTTTTGGATATGGGGTATGAGTTGTGGGTGGCTTGCCGTGAAAGTCTTGGGCCTATCGTAACTAAGTTTTTATTTATGGTATTGCGGAGTTTAGATTGAAATTCGTGAATACTGAAGGATTGGGAGATATTGACATTGGCTGTTTTATCTGACCGCTGCACTTTTAAATAGGCAATATTGTTTGGCAGGAACTCATTGGATTTTATGAATAAGAATTTTATTTCCTGGCAAATGCCAGGAGGAATGTTTTCTATTCTGTATTTGTATTGATTATGTTTGGTAATAGAGGTGGTATGAATGTGTGGTGTGGTATTTATGGCTGGCTCGTTTCAAGGTAAAGATTATCTCGATTGGTTGTGTAGTGTGCTTGGTTGAGGAATGGGCTAGCTTGTTTCGGGAATAGTTTGGTTTGGGCTGTTCTCAGAGCTGGAGCTAGGATTTCTTGATCAGATTGATTGAGGCAGAGATTTTATTGTCCTCGCTGTAGGATTTGAGCTGTTTTGTGGAGATCGAGTGTTGATTGATTTTTTGGTGATCAGGTTAGCATATTTATTGGATATACAGACTTTAGGGCATTGGAAATTGGATCCAAGAAGGTTGTGGTTCCTAAAGATTCAATTAAATTTGCATTAGCTGCAGACAGTTTAGGGGAATGTGGGTTAGAATGTTTAAAATGAATAAATGAAGTTGTGTTGGTAAGGTTGGTGTTAGAATATTCTCAACATTAGAAGATTCTGGTGACAAAAACCTACATGAAGCAATTAAGTCCATACAAGCCCATCTTGCAGAGGATCGCAGTCAATGGAGACAGGAAGCTATTAATATTTAGAGTGTCACTACGCCCTAATAAGGGTTCAAGGAATTAGAAGGGAGAGAGAGAGAGAGAGATTTGAGAATATCGGGAGGGGTTGAGGTCCATGCACATATATTTATATGCTTATATATTTCAACACATTATTATTTGTTATAGGCTGTAGAAGAACTATTTAAATTAATGCAACTAATGGTGATTAAACATCCCGATGCTTCAGAAGGCGAGCAAAGAGAAATTTATAGTTTTAGGAAAAATACGCTAATGACCTATCTACAGGTAAAACTAAAAACGTACAAGCTAATCATAAATAACTAAAAATGAAAGTGTTTTCAGTGTCTCGATGGAAGAACGAGTTGGGGTACATTAATATCGGCGTTTAGGATACTATTAGAAAGCAACGATGATAAGTTGTATGTCGTTTATAATGGTGGTTTGCAAATTGTTTTTGAGGTAACTATTTTATTTTACTTTTTATGCTTTTGCGCTAAATTATGCTTAATATTTATGTATAACTCTAAATGTCGAAAATAAATAAAAGTGACTGATTAATAGCATGAATAAGCTCCTTACCAGAAGCGACAGATATTTTTCTGAAATAAAAAGAATATACTAATTTGAATATTTCACATCTTTAGGTATGTAGTAGATTTCCGCTTACCGGCATAGTCGACACATTATTAGTGTGAATAAAAACTTATTTTATAAACCTGATCTAATGTATTATTTTTATTATTAAAAGCAGAAATATATTATTTTACAATATAAAGTGACCAGCAAGGAAACATATTTTCTTACTTGTCCTCATTGATCGAATTCAAAATTTCCTAGAATTCATGGTGGGCACGTGATTTCGGCTACATTTTACCACTTACGGCGTGTGATTTCGGACGACGAATTTAATTTATTCTTTGCCAGACTATAGTATTGTATATTAATGCTAATGTTGCACATTATATGGATTTCAATTCTCAGTTTTAGCTAACTTAAGATCCTTAGCAAATTCGTTTCGCGACACGTGTTTAGGTATATTTAAACTGTATAATTCGACGTATTAATGTATTGGCTAAAACTAGGCCGGCTTGTGTTATAACTATAAAGTTAAAACTAACTACACTTCATCTAATTTATATAACGATGCACGTCATCGGCGTCATAGCCTGTGACGTCATATGATACCAACACGAAATATTTAGGGTTTAGGTGTGTTCTTTTTAGAATCACTTTACCGAGTACACTGGCATTACAGCCACTAGACATATTTTATTATATACGCGTTGAAATAATATTTAAAAATTTCTATTAATGTTAACTTAAAGAAATACACAATAATATGTTTCATTTAATTTGTATAAATCCATTATAAAGAGTTTTTATCAAGAACATTTGTTCGGTACACACTGTAACTGTAATCGAATGAAGGTAAAATTTTGGCATAAATTGGTAACACTTATTTGACAGTTGCGGTGTTGACACTTTTTGTACTTTATTATTTTAAATTTTAAAGTGAATACCTCTTGTTTTATATTTTTACCTATTTAATAAAATCTGTTCTTTTTAGAACAAAATTAGTGTGTTTTATTTCAAAAATGTCACGTAAGAATTTAAATAGTCGTTGTAAAGAGATGGTAATACTTTTGCAATAATTATGCGACCTCTTTGATTTAAAATGGAGTCAGGATTTTTTTATACTTTAGCAACTATGTCAACTTCGATCTCTGACGTAGATAATGACGTAAGTTGTTATCTAAATTAGATGAAGTATATATATATATATATATATATTATATATATATATATATATATATATCTATATCTGTTTTTTCTCTTGTAGTGTTTTCAAAATCTTCATTTAATGCTTCACGAAGCAACCGCTTGTCATGTTGTGGGTGATATGTTAGACATTCTCACTATAATGCAAGACCTTTTGGTTAGTATTAGAATGTACAGAGACATTAAAGATGCTAGAGGAATTTTACTTGCTACAAAAGACTGGCTGGAGGTGTTAAGAAAACTGGCAACTTTATTGAATACTTACAATCCTCCGGAGATGAGAACGTTGTGTATAGGTAAGGATTATTTTAAGATTTATGATATATTTTGTCTAAAATACTTGTATGCCTTGTGTATAAAAGTATATTACTGTAGTAGAAGCGTTATTTCCTTGTAGGATTCTTTAATTATCATTGTATCAGTATACCCAGTTTTTAAAGACAAAGTTTCGCTTGATTTTCTCATTTTTTAACTGAATCAAACCTTTTTGTGGCATTTATACAAGTTTTTCTTTAAAAAAAAATAGATTTTATTTGACATGTAATGACAAAAATTTGATAGAATAGATAAATAATGTATTTATTGAAGGCCATATGCTTACGCTAAGCAAATTTCACTTTATCTTTCAAGGTTGTATTAATCCGTGGCAGAATTTTAATTATGAAACTAGTAAAACATAAGGTTTTAAATGTACAAAGTTGTGACATCTTCTGCAATGTATTGAAATTTATGACGTTGGCAGCAAAACGTGGAGGGGTATTAATTCCTTTATAATTGGTATAAACAAGGGTACAGTTAAAAATATTGTCAACCTTTCTTTGTTTGTGCATATCAGAGACAAAGTAAAATTTACAAAGTAGTAACGTATTTAAAGTATTCTTAACAAATAACGGCAGTAATTATATTAAATTAGACTGATATCTTTTTCAAAAAATTGCATCTGTTTTTTTTTTTTAATTATAGAATTACTTAAAGAATTTGTTGTGATCATGGCATCAGAGACTATGCAAGTTCTGGTACCGCTACTCTCTCATTGTCATTCTGCATTCCAAGATAGTCAGGATGCTGTACCCTTAGGACCGTATTTTCCTAGAAAAGGTCACTCGTTACCAATCCTCACAGTAAAAGGAGGAGCGAGACCCTTGAGGCCAATGGTTCAGATGACTGTGCCCCATAATCAGCTGGAATGCAGTAGGGTGAGTAGAAAATTAAAAATCAAGTTTGTGTTTGTCTTAAAGCGACACTTTTTAAACGTTATAATAAAAACTTACATATTGGGTTTGAAACAAAAATGATTTGGTGAACAAAACGAAACCTTATCATCAAACAATTCTTTTGTTAATTGCAAATATATACGGATGTAATAATAATATGTGCTATATATTATATTATACATACGATGTACCAAAAAATTGTTATTTAAATTATAATTATTTTTTTTATTTTTAGGGAGTGGATCCAGAATATGATTTAGCCTTGGACAAATTTTACAATCCGTATCACGATTTCATCGATATGATATTTAGATTGGCTGTAAATAACGAATCTGTTACCGAAGTACTGATAACTTTAAGCGCTATTGTTGGTTTCGAAGCTGTACCGTTACATTCCACGTATTTTCCTAAATTGTGGTTGGACATCTATAAATCTCAGGTAAAGCTTGTTTTATAAAATTTCACTAGCAAAAATAGCAGAAAAATATTTCTGCAATTTTTTTTAATAATAAAATAAATAGTATGTAATAGAAACCATTCAGTTTCTGAAGAATTATACTATTGTAATATTTATTTTAATTTAATTACTATTTTAATGGGAATAAGCCACAATTGAAGGTTAAAGTAAGTTTATTGACGTTTATTGAGTTTATTGACATACAAACATTAATAAATTAAACAAGAGAGAGAGATTTGAAAAGACTAATTCAATATATATTGGGCAAACACACCAATACCATAGAAGTATTTCTGCACACCTACATAGTGCACAGACCAACGGATTAAACACAACAGCCCTAGCCAAACATTCTCTAGAAAATAGCCATTCTTTTGATTTTGAAAATATGCAAATTTTGGAAAAAGAACAACATTACAACAAAAGATGTATATTGGAGATGATTCACATAGAAAATATCCAAATCACATATTACATATCAAAGATATGTAATATGTATCATAATTTAATAAATTGAGTTGTTTTTAAAGGAACTATGGCAGTTATTTAAGATACGGCCATGAACCACTCCTGTTTTAACATACGTGCCAGATGTCGTCTGTTAATGTCAGATACCAATTTTTTTAATCCATGTTAAACTTTTAAAAAGTATTATAAAATCCAAAGCCAAAAATTGTTTCTATGCGGTTAAACATTTTGAGACACTATATGAAAAATTATTTAAGTCAGAGCTCACATGAGTTCGTTTTTTTTTGGACGAAACTTAAATATTTTTGAAAGGGTCATATTTTGATCCAAGATTACTAGTGTTTTAGTCAACTAGTCAGTCAGGACTATTTTTCCCTGCCTCGTATTTTTGTCGTATAAATATCTATTATATTTACGTATATATAATACAATTGCGATTGATTAATTGTAATTTAAAAATTATATTTCTCTCCGCCATTGGTAATTTAATTGGCAGTTTCATTTTACTTTAGTGTTTTTCAATATCAAATCGTTCAAAAAAGGTGAAACGGAACAAGAACGCTTAACTAGAAGGATAATTCCGTCGCCCATATATGTGTCTGTCACAGCAGCACGTGGCTGTAACGTAGGTTAGGGATTACGAGCGATTATCGACCTAATTGTTACTGTAAACTTTTACGGAAGATGAACCTTTTGAAGATAAACTTTTACGAAGAAGTTGAGAATAAAAAAAATTAAAACTGTAACAGCCACCTGTATATTAACCACTAATCTCCCATACTATGCACCCACTAATCTCCCGTACTATAATCTTAGTGGCTGCGTCGACTTCTCGAGCCGACACGAAGCCCCCCGAGAGAGGCAGTTGAAAGAACAAGCCAACGAATAAACATCTCCGCGCTGACTTTTATTTTTTTGTCAACTTTAATGTTTTAACATCGCAATATAACTTACAATAACAAGTGTTTAATGTGTATTTCGTGTACCTACCCCAAAATTCCCCTTATATTGGCGCCCAACGTGGGGCCGGAATAAATAAACATAACTTTGTGTATTGAAGTTTTAGCGGGATTTAGTTTCCACGTGTTATTATATAGGACTTTTTCTGCTACCGCAACCTATATGTGGATTATCTGTGGACTATATGTTATGTGTTTCTCGTGTGAGCTATCACCGGAAAGAATAAATCGTTCGCGGAACAATTATTAAAGTTACAAGATAAAACGTTTGGCGCTAAATTCTGCCGGTAACGCTAATCCCTGTGTAGAGGCTAATTGTGTATACATACCGTTCCAAAATTGGCGCGTAAATTACGTTCCTGAGTATATTCTAATTGAAATACTTTTGGAAATATTTTACATCAGGTTTACCAGTGACAGAACAGGACTTTGTTTATGGAATCCAGGAAAAACAGTAAGCTAAACTGTTTCAAACTGTAAGTTTTTCTTTTATTATTTTTACTTGTTTCCTGCTGCAATCTGGACGTAAACCATTCGTACAATCTTAGATCGAAAGATAAGATGGCTAATACTGCTCCAGTGACGCTTTCGCAAGAACAATTTCAAGAACTTTTAACTCGCATTGCTGGTGTTAATCTTCAACACAATATTCCTCCAGTAAATGTACAAAGCGGTAACTTTGCAAAATGCAATTCGCGATTTAACGGTAGTTCGGAGACTGATGTCAATGCTTTTATCGATGCTATTGTAGTATACAAAAACTGTACGGGTATTTCTGATGAGAACGCTCTCATTAGAAAACTCTATTAAAGTAAAACCTCTAGATATTTCTTCTGTAACCCAATAAACTCTCTTCTTCTTTTCAGAGAGAAGTGCAATTTGGTTTGTGGTTAATACTTTATTTAACAAATTTTCAGCTATTTCAGATTTTTTTTATTTTTTCTGAACATTCATTTTTTGATTTATAGTACCTCAACTGACTTGTTAAACTTTTAATTTTCATTTGACTCTTTTTAATCAGCTATTATTTTTTCATACTTGCTTAATAATTCGTTGTATTTTGCTTCGAAATCTACTTCAGGAATTTAATAAATATTGTCACCAGCTTCTAACTTGTTCAAAAATTATTTCAGATTCAGGTATGTTGATTAGATGCAATTCAAAATATTTGAATCAACCTTTGTATTTTCTGCTACAAGTTGCTTTCTATTTCTAACATCTGATCTACTTTCACCACTTTCACATTTACTTCAAAAGGCTTTTAGTAGGTAAACCTAAATTAAGCTATTTTAAAAAATATAGACATTTTATTGCTTAATATATTTTACCTAATAATTCATTTTGAAGATCTCTTTCATAGCCATCGTTTATAAAATGAACAGAGCATATTCTACTAGAATCAGAATTCAAATTATCAGCTCTTCTGCATCGATTAATCCATTCAGCTCTTATAGTTTTCTCGACACTAAATCCTTTCCTTTTGGGAAACTTTCAAAAATAACAGACATGTCCTTAGTTTTTACACTCTTAAAATTATTGTTACAACCATATATGACACATCTATTACCGCCCATTTTTTCACACATTTAGATCGAAATGTATAGAAACAATAAACATTAATTAAATAGTTTTATAAGACCATTAAATCACCAGTACAACAAAAAAAAAAAGAAATGTCAACCACGAATCCCCACGCCTACGTCTCACTTCTACATTAGAGCTTAGGACATTTCTAACATTAGAGCATAGGACAGAATCTATCTTTCTAGTTAATCGTTCTTGGAAACGTACTATACACTTTCAACCTTTAAAATTGTGTCACTTCTAAAAATATAATTATGATCAGTTGGTATCTAACTGCATAAAAATTACATAAATAAACTGATAAATATAATTCTTATATCCGTTATTTTAATATAATATAAATAAACTTCAACTCTGGTGGCATCCGTTAAAGATTTACAAAAAAAAGAATTTTTTTGCACTGACTTTTATCAATTATATAATAAGATTTATAGGTGAAATCGACATATCTTCTTTCAAGGTGAAGGTATGTGGCAAATAGAGATCAATTTAGGTGTATTGTCAAATTTTACTAGTGAGTATTTTATGTCTGAAAACAGATAGATACGTAAAAAAAAAATCTCCTTAGCTATAAAACTTATTTTTAATATTTGAAGTTGAACTTGTTTTTTTTTTTGTTTCAGAATATCGATAGAAAATATATAAATATGTTGGTTACCTGTAACTATTTTGTGGATTACGTAGATGCTGTATTATTGGACGAGAGATCGGCTTTGACTGTTGATATTATTTACGAATTTTTAACTTTATTTTTTCCAAAGGTGAGTTATTATTTCCGAATGAAGATAAGTATAGATTAATAATGATTAATAATAATGTTTCCCTATATGCTTTACTTTAATTTTTCGAGTACAGTCCGTCCCAAACCCTTCTTTCAGTGCGTCATAGTTGTTCGAATTCTCTCTAACGCATTAAGCTAGAAGTGACAGAAAAAAACGTGAGTCCCTGATTATTATACATAGAACTTAGAAAATTAGGTATCGTTCACGGGTATTCGCATATTAAAGCGAATTCTACTTACGAACGTATAATTGGTTGGAGTTTAGAATACGCTAAATAGATATCCAATCAATTATGCATATAAATATAATTTGACACAGATGATCTTGATAATGACAGTGACAGTACTTTCACAATGTCAACTGATAAAATGATAATTGCCATTCCAGGTTAGTATTTTCAGACATTTTAACTACAGTGAAAATTAAATTTTGTATTTATTGTCATAAAAATATTTTAAATATTCCGAGATATACAGAGAATGAAAAAAGACTAATATTAAAATTATTAAATTAGTTTCAATTAGAAAAAGAGGCTGAGACATCTTTATTATCAGTTTCTGTCGTTCGCGAATCAGATTGTGAATTCCGGAATGAGATTGAGGAAATATCTTAAACTAATGCCTTTATGGATATTTATATGTATTAAAACGGTTCTTTTTAGAACCACGACATTTTCTTGAAATGTAGGATATAATTGATACCAGCCACATACATATCTAGTGTAATCATTGATTTTCAAGAATCAGATTCTGAATGGGATTATAGATTGTTTGAAGTATAATATTCATTTTTGTTATTCATAAAAAAGGAGGTAAACTTACATTCGGTATCTTGTTTTTTAACTAAACTCCATTAGCACGATTTCATCTGGATATCGGAACTGGTAGATTAACTCAAAAATCAACTGCTTCACTATTTAAACTATTTATATTGTTTTTTTTTGAACTAAACTTTATAACCTTCTTTCATTTGCACACCAAATCTGGTAGAATAACTTTAAAATCAACTGCTTCACTATTTAAACTATTTCCACTATTTAATGACAACTCTTCACAAAATTAAACTATTGGCTGCCACACAAACTTATCCAAATATGACTGATTCAAATGGATATTATTTTATCACAGGAATGTTTACTTTGATGCCTTGCAATTGTCAGTAAATTTTTTTACCTTGCAGTCAACTCTTAAAAGATTCTAGGAGGAAGCGTTATTTTAAATAAACAAACCTTCCAATTCCCTAGTGTTTGTAAGAAATAATAATAAATCCATAAACAAATCTTAGCTAATTAAGCACTTTCCATGGAATGTATAAAATAGAACAGAATAGAATAGAATTATGAAAAACTGCTATGCATTAAAAAAAATAACCTTTTCACGTTTAGCCGATTACGATCCTGCAACTGTCAGATTTAACTAAAATGTCATGCAATAATTCTCGACATTCTTAAAATCCTATATGACGTTAAAATTAGTGACGCACTGAAAAAAGGGTTTGGGACAGACTGTACGTACCCGGATATTTATAGCTTTTACGCCCAGTTTCCCCTTTCGAGTGTCGGCTACTGCCGTTGATTTTATGACAGATAATAATAGAATGTGATTGGTCCTTAATAATACCAGAAAATAAATCACCTCCAATCATGATAGAATATTCTCTTGTTAGTAATAGAGCTTATTTTGAGAAGTTATTGTTATGTTTTGAAGAGTTGGATCCCACCTTTTTATCTTTTCAAAGTCTCCATCTGTTTCAGTTCTTATAACTGCTTAAATTTCCTGTGAAATGGTTAATAATTAAGTATTTTTAAGGGATCTTATGTTTTTTTTATATCGATATTCGACATTTCTTAAAATTTGCTGGTCAAAGACCAAAAATTATATAAAAAACTGATCTACCTCTTCGCACTAAAAATTAATCATTTGCTATACCACTCGACAAAACGAAAAATCATCATCATCATCAACCTGTATGCGTGCACTGCTGGACATAGGTCTCCCTTAGCTCTTTCCATCTGTCTCTGCCTTGTGCGGCTTGCATCCAGTTATTGCTAACACGCTTCAGGTCGCCAGTCCATCTAGTTGGTGAGCGTCCTCTGCTCCGTATTGCTTCTTGTCTTGATCTCCACTCTAACATACGTTTTGTCCATCGGTTGTCTGATAATGTGTCTTGTCCAATTTCATTTTAACGACGCGATTTTTCCGATAGCGTCTGTTGTTTTTGTTCTACCATGTATTTCTTCATTTGGGATTCGGTCTCTCAGAAAGACACCGAACATCTGGCGCTCAATATCCCTTCTATCAGCAGCAATATTGCATCATCCATACGATTGGCTATAAGGACGATGTCATCTGCAAATCTCAAAAGACTGAACTTCTCTCCATTTATGTGGATATCATGCTCGTTCAGATGTTCCTTCTTACAAGTATATTCTAAAAGCATTGTGAATAGCTTTGGAGAGACGGTGTCTCCTTGCCGTACTCCTGCCCTACGCTGTATACAGAATTTATTTGTTTCTTGTTCAGATAATCTTAGCTAGCTGTGGCATTTTGGTAGATATTTGGTTGATTATGTTAGTAAAGCGATGGTCTATTCGGCATTCTGTCAATGCTTTTAACATTTTCTGATGGCTTATGATATCGAATGCTTTCTCGTAGTCGACAAATATCAGTGCCAATGTTTTTTTGTATTCTGCAGACTTCTTTATCAGTTTCTTTATCACTAGTAATTGGTCGTTAGTATTGTATACCGATCTAAATCCAGCTTGTTCTCTAGGCTAATAGAAGTCTAATTTAGCGTCCAGTCTTTTTTGATAATTTTGGTGAAAAGTTTATATATGTGTGAAAGCAAACTGATAGGACGTAGTTTTTTTAAATCTGTTATGACTCCTTGGTTGTGTCATAAAATAATGACTGCAATGTTCCATTGAGAACGAGCTTATCCTTGGTAGATGCATTCGGTGGAAAGCTTGGCCAAGGCCTGGATAATTTTGTTTCCACCTAGTTTGATTGCTTCGATCACTACTCCGTCATCGCCAGGCGATTTGTGCCGAAAAGTGCCGTTTTGATTTACTTCTGGAGTTATTTTTGGCATTAATTCTGATCCCTGGTTTGTGATTTTGGGCAGGGGCTGATCTTGCCTTTCCTCGGTGCTCTCATACATTTCGCGATAAAAGGATTCGACAACCTCGAGGATTTTGGTTCTATCAGCATTAATGTTTCCATCTTTGTTTTTTATATTGTACATATTTTTGTTGCCTATGTTGTTGTTTTCTTGAATTATTTCAGTCATTTCTCTTGTATTGTTTTCTCTTACGTCTTTTCGGATTGACCCGAGATCTTTATTTCGAGCTGCTTTTAGAACTGTCGGGCAGCAGTCCCTTTCCGTTTCTTTTAGAGCAGCAGTGCCGGTTTTTAGAAACAGTCGATCGCGATCGACCGGCCAATCGCGACAGCTTCTGGAGTCGATCGCAAAATAATTTAGAATTATTCATGTTCTGATCGAAATATTCCAGGATTCTGACTCAATGTGACCGCGAGATGTTTGGCGAATGTTACCAATTGTTCTCTAGTGTCAGTTTCTTGTATAACAAGCTGCGGTGATGGAACATTATGTCAATCTTTATGAAATTACGACAAGTAGAAGTTGAAGAAGTAAAATAGCAATATTTAAAACACGAAATGAGTATTTACGAATATCTCACATCAGGCTTAAGGTTAGCACTTAGTAATGACGCAATGTCTTACGAACAATTTGTGGATAATACGCAGTACCATGTATCTACATCGAAAGCAAATTAGTGATTTAAGAAAATTATTACTATTAGTATTAGATGCCTGATTAGATGCCTTAATTATATTTTGTATTTATAAGCATTTACAATACGCGTATCTTCAGAAATCGATGTATTTAAGTATCTGGGCTCCAGTCTAATTGTAGTAGTCGTTAGTCGATCACTTTTTTAGTCTTTAAAATATTTTGTGATAGATCGCAGACACTACAAGTTTGAGCATCTCTGTTTTAGAGCCTTCATTTGCTTGATCTACATCTGCTATTTCGTCTTGCAAGTCTTGTAAATGTCTGGTTAGTGTATCTTAATACAGGTTGTTGTTTTCTTGGGGAATCCATTTTTTTTATGAAACGAAAGATAGAATAATCATATAGGTTCGCGATCTTGGGATTACAATGAATGAATCTCAATGAAACTCTTCGCATTCGATTCGTCTGAGTGTCAGGAAATTTTGTGAAAAAAAAAAAGATGATGTGGAAGTGAAAATTGCATTATTAGACAAGGAAAATACATTGTCCAAAGTGCATTTCGAAGTGACGAAAAATGATAAATTTGTAAATGGAAATAATTGACGGAAATGAGTTCATTACTGAGTTCCTTACTACTCGGGTGTGTTTTTGCTCACTAAACATAAATATCATGACAGCGATGTTCTACGAGGCACCTGGTATACCTGGGTCTCGTCTACGTCATTTACAAGCCACCTCGTGCCCAGGACAGGTCTAGTCTCCTAGGGTTTTGTGGAAATTCGATACAAAATTAGTGAAAACTCATTATTCGGTGGTTTTTGGGGTCGCTGAACACTAGTATCACGTCAGCTTTAATGTGCGAAGTACCTGGTGGCCAGTACGACCTCTGCTCCTGGAGTTTTGTGGAATTTCGATACAAAATCAGTGGAAACTCATTACTCGGGGGTTTTGGAGTCGCTGAACACTAATCTTTTGTCTTTTGGAATTTGCCTGCTGGAGACCATCACCGTTATGATATTCGTGATCAGCAACCCCAAAATCCTCCGAATAACGAGTTCGCACTGATTCTGTATCGAGTTTGTATAAAACTCTAGGAGACAGGGCCTATCCTTGTAACAGGTGCCTTTCACATTATCGCCGACATGGTATTAGTGTTCAGCGACCCCAAAACCCCCAAGTAACGAGTTTGCATGGATTTTGTATCAAATTTCCACATAACTCTAGGAAATGAGACTCGTCTTGGGCGCCAAGGGCATCGGAAACCATCACCGTCATGATATTCGAGAGCAATGAGCCAGAAGCATGTTTTTGAACCTTGTTTAGGCTCTTTGTGCCTCTTCAAGGAACGGGTACTCCTTTTTTTGTTGAGTAGCGGTAGTGTGGTAAAATGATGATTGAAGTTTTGTGTGTAGAAGTAGTGGACTACTAAAGAGCTGTGATTCAGAAAGTGGCGTGTTTGTGTGGACGATGTGTTACGAAGCACACAAGAGGAATTTTAGGTGAGCTGTGCCAAACATGTCAAAGGAGGTACTTCAGGGGTTACCAGCCACACAATAGGAGCGGCTCTTAATCAGCATTTTTGGTGTGCAGTTGTTAGCTGCGATATTTAATGGGGGTTGTTTCTAAGATTTCAAAATACTCATCAGGAAGTTCGTGCCCAGTGTTATGTAGAAGTTTGGCTGGAGGGAACGAAACTTCTAGAGCAGCGAAACTCCCAAAGACGGGGCCTAGGTACAACAGGTACCTAGGAGTTCATCGTCGCCATGATATTTGTGTTCATTGACTTCAAAAACCCCCGAGTAGTAATATTGAACTCATTTCCGTTGTAACAATTTATAATTTTGCTTATTGGTGCTTGAAAAGGGGGACTGAACAATTACTGGGCTTTGAGATAGGGTAAGCCAATAAATTGAAATTTTTGCGAACGGCTACTCGTGGTTGGAGAGTCGTGGATAAGAATTCCTTTATTTGAGGGACTGGGAGAAAATAACTAAGAAAAAGAAATCAAAAAAATATTTACAGTGATATCCTGGGCAACACTACACAAGAAGATGCCTAACCTATTTAAAATAGGACGCGGTTTAAAAAAATCCTCTTGCTCTTAGAAGGAAAAGTTTTTCTCTCCTAAAAAAATTCAGGGGTGAATATCTTTTTAAAAGAAATACTTTTAAACTCCTGCTTTAAAGGAAAACATTACACATTCACATAAACAGTTATTACAAATAAAAATATCCAAATTTATCAACAAACCTCCTTTTAAATTATTTAAAAAAGTTTGTTACCTCGGGATTGAATACAAAAAACGCTGTCCCACACAAACTTCAAACGATCTGGATCTGACCAATGGGAGGCTGACGAACACCAAAACTGGGTCTCAGGCTTTCCTGGATTATAACTATATGATACTTCAAAACTCGGCTGCTTATTTTTCACTCAAAACCATGTAGACTCACTTAGCCCTCAGAAACGCTGTTATCAAATCCCGTGACACGGAATACGGCATCCAAAAAACCGGTGATTAACCAACTCACTAAAAAAAGACTGTCAAATAGCATTTCGAGCTCAAATCACCTTATTCTTATCAAACTCATGGAATTAAATGAAAACTTGCAGGTTTTTAAAACACTGTACGAGAACCATGTTTTCCTGTTCAGACCCTAAGTTGTTCTTTTCACTCTCGACTGCTACACAAATTCGGATTCCCGATGAGAAAATTCGTCATGACTTCAACAATGAAATCAACTGCTTTCGAAGACAGTTCATCAAGGAGTAATATCATTCTCCTAAAATCGGTCTCTTGCCCGTACCAGCGGAAAGATTCTTGTTTATTTCCAGCGTAAATATCTAATAGACGGAATAAGGATCAAAAGAAAGAGCAATTTGTGTTATTATAAACAGACTAAAAATGTTCATTTCAACAAAAAACATTTTCCTTGTTTAATAATGCAATTTTTATTTTATACAATGCAATTTCCTGGCACTCATACGAATCAAATGCAAAAGGTTTATTAAGATCCATTTTAGTGCAAAAATTTGGTAGGTTTCTTGTGTATTATAAAACTGTATTTTGTGTTACTAAAATTGTGTTTTGCTTTTTGCAATGTTTGTCTACAAAAGTTCGATTGTTATATCTTTATAAACTCCAGCAAGGAATTACAAAAAAATTAAGATGTTTTTTATTCAACTATCCTTTATTTTATTGTTTATCATGTATAATATTTATTATGTAATAGATAGATAATTTATTTATTATTTAGGTATCCGCCCATGTACTCTCCGAACAAACTCTGACAATGATAGACAACACGGTAGTATCTCTTAACGAACAAATAGGATCTTTGAACATTTTAAAAATGGCCAAACGATTAGCTGGCGATATTAGGGCGTTAATATTGGTATATAATAGTCCAGAAGCTGTCCCGCCACCGTTACTGCTCACTACCCTAAAACAATTTCAGAGTAAAATTAAATTGGAAATGAATAAACTTGATATACCTAAAGGTAAGTCGATATATTTGTTACTTGATTTTTTGTTGTTCTATTAGACTTTATATTTATTTGATAATGCTGTTGGTACCAACATTATTAGCAGATCTAACTGATATGAACTTTTTTAATTATGAGAACTGTTATTTTTATTCCTAGTTTTTTATTGTCAGGTTTCAAGAGTATTTGATTATTATGACAATAAAGGTGAACCTACAACTCTGCAAATAATTTTCTGTCTACTCTATACAAAATTTTTTGTCGAAGCTACTTTTGTTATGAAATTTGTTATGGCGAGGCTGTGCTATCATCTATACTCCTTTTACCCTATGACGGCCGATATTTAATTAAAATATGATCAGTGGGCCTCAAACAGTGGGGCATTAATATTTAATTCCGATCGCTTGAAAAGTAAAAATATTTAATTTCCTGTATTTTATGTTCAGTAATAATATTGGATTTTACTATATCAACGGAAAATACAATGAATATAATATGTATATACAGGGCGTGTTAAAAGAAGTGGGACGGAATATTTCGAGTACTCGAAATTATTTGTCGACATCAAATGTTCATCAATGTCTCTATAGATCTCTATTTTGCGTAGAGTGAAAATTATACGAATGGTTTTGCATGCAGTTAAATGGCAAAACACTTACCAAGTTGCTGGTATGTCCAAATTTGAATAAAATACATCCAAGACTTTACTTTCTCCAGAGGCACTAAATCACTTTCGAGTTTTCAGCAAAACAAAATGTTTAAACACGTGTAGTACAGTAATTAATACCAAAGCTATTGAGAGAGCACAAAGTTGTAGCACTAACTGTTACATCTTGCTTACTTTATTTATTTCATCCTCACTCATGTTATTAATTCTTCTGAATGTCCTCTCTGAGATACCGCAAGCATCATAACTATCATAACAGATGTCAATGGACCCATATTTTTTTTTCAAATTGAAATAACTTTCGACTTTTAGAACTAAACGCCGTTCTTCTGGAGATAACACTCTACGTTTCGACTGTATTTTATTTTCTTCCAAATTACTCATTTTGCAGTACACTACTATAAAAAATAGGTAGTTATATAAAACTACTACACCCTAAAAAGGACGAGGGTTGTACAACAGACGAAACAATCGAACGCAAATTATTTAACAGCCAATGCTAAACATGCATAAACACTACAATGATTCTGATTGCAAAATCCGTTCGCATGTTTTAAATAAGGTTTTTGCTGATTATATATTTTGTTAAATTATTAAATAACACCAATACAACCACGACCAATAAACGATAACTTGTTGAGCAGAGCTTATTGAAACAATAGAGCAGTAAAATGTTATTCATAAAAGTAGTGTAAAATATATCTCCGCTTATCTGGTCCGCTAGTAATAAAATTACCAGCATTTAATTGCAAAGCGGTCTTCTTAGGTGGAAAATATTATATTATATTCCCGAGATATTGCCTAGCGGCGTTCTTGGTTGGTACAACACATACCCTATTATATATTTTATTTAATAGAATTGTCTTATTTTTTTTTTAAACTTACAACTTATTTTGGTTTTTAGATAAATGTGATGAAGCTGCAAGCAAAAGTGACTCAAAAGAAGAAATAAGCCCCGGTTCATCAAGGGACGAAAGCTCTTCTGGCGAATCAGCCAACCTAAACAAAAGTAAAAGTGATAGTGATACTGAAACTCAAAGTACTTCTTGTGATAAAAATAGTTCAGACGAAAAGAAAAAGGAAAAATCCTTTGGACCCGTAGAAAACTTAGAATTATTAAGTAAATCGGTAAACGAGCTTATCGAAATTGTTAAGAAGGATGCTTAGTCCGATCGAAAAAAAAAAAGTAATACTACATCGAAGTAACAATTTTATTAAAGGTACGACTGGTTCAGATCGGAGATATATTTGACTGTTTAGTGTTAATATTTTGTTAAGTGGAGAATATTAACTAATTTGTTAGAAAATGCCAAATCAGGATTTCTACATTGTAGACCTACTTGCCTTGGGTAACGAACTTGGCTATGCTGAATCAGTTTGTTTAATATGAAGACAATAGTGCTAGTCGAATAGAAGAGTATTATTATTTTTTAGTAGTAAGGATTATTTTACTTTAAATACATAATTATTTCTTATTTTGCATTTTAAATTAATTACAAAAATTCGTCATTTATGAGAAAGTTAAGCATTCCTAATAGTGGTAGGTACTAAGAATAGCGATAGGTATATGATAAAATAGAAATTCTTAAATAATTTGCCATTTTTAGCTCAAATTAATTATTGTTCCAAATTTTCTTCTTCATCCTGTCGCTATTTGTGCGTAATCGGGCGCTTTGTGTGTTTATCTCTTTAATACTTTCCATACTTATATCTGCAATTCTTAGTGCTTCGTGTGCTTTCCTTTCACTAGGTTCGCCTATTTTTTCTTTTCTCTTGGTAACCCTCTAATTTTTTTCTATCTTGTTTTCTTTTTTAACTCTGGTGAAATTTAAAGCTTATCTCATAATGTTATTATTTGTTTTTCTATGTTATTTTCTATTCCTTCCTCCTATCAAATTTGTTCTTCTCAGATTTGAGTATATTAGTTTTATGTTTAAGTTTTATGTATCTAGTACTTTGTTATATCCCAGTTTATTAGTTAAACAGTATAAAAGTTCAATTTAAATATACATTAATATACCAAGAGCCATAGCTATGTTGGTTTTTTAAGTCCTGCGTTAAATCAATGATTTTACATAAGTTTAAGGGAGAATTTGGGTAATTGGTATATTACAGGGCTTCCCAAACTTATTCGTACTGTGACGTCCTTGGAACTTTGCTATTTTTTTGCGACGCCTCTTTAACCCTACAAATTTTAGTACTAGCTTAGTAACAGGTTATAGTTATAACAAAAACACTGTTTGAACATTTATTCTTAGTTTATGTTTGACTTGTACTTGTTTTTAATTACTGCAACTGCAGAAAAGCCCGTTTCGCACAAGTACGAAGTCGCAAATGGTAATAAAACCTTTAATGCAGCAGTGCTGATGGTATGATATTCATGAGAAAGTGAGCTCCAAAATTTAAACAGTTTGTTCTTGTTGAATTGAAGCTTTAAGCTGAAATCACAGAAAAATTCAGTCAGTTGTTCTTCCTCTGTTGAAAATATGGATGGCGTGGATGACAAGAAAGGGTTTCTGACCCAGTCATATTGCTCCATATCTTCGGGAAAATATTTCTCAAAGTATTTGCTCAACGATGCCATGTGTTGTGTAAACATATTTTTTAAAGAGGTATCAAGGATTTCTATCGATTTTTCTTGTAGAATCCTTTGTAAAGCAGGGAAGCAGTCAATTTCTTGATCTTCTAATTTTCTTTTCCATAGTAGGAACTTCTTCTGAAACCCAGTAATTTTATCTGCCAATTGCAAGATATGAGTATTGTTTCCCTGCAAAGACTTATTAAGACCAATTAATTTGTTAAATATGTCACAGAACTTAATAAAGCTTTACGCATCATCATGTGATTCTGTATGCAGATACGTGTAAAATTAATTTCTTAATTTGTATAAACGTACGAGTACGTTGCCTTTGGAGAGCCAACGAGAGTTGCAATAATAAGAGATGTACTCGGCCCCCATTTCTTTTCAATGTGTCCATTTTACACTTGGCTGCCTTGGTTTTGATAAGATCTTGTAGTCCTCCATACTGTTTACACATCGCTCGGGCACCATCCGTATACACGCCTACACTGTTATCCCAGTTAATATTATTTTCAGTCATATATGAGTTTAAAATCTCGAATAAATCAGTAGCTTTACATCTTTCACATATTTTTCTGCAAAATAACAAATCCTCGCATATATTTGTTTCTTGTATGTACAGTACATAACATATCAATTGAGTATCATCATTACTATCAGTCGCCTCGTCCAGTTGAATGACAAATAAACATGAAAGTTTCCCCACAAAGGTAAATTTTTTATTTCTTTAGCTGCCGATTCTCCAATATCACTGTTACCATATCAACCGCTGCAGGTAAGATAAGTTCCTCAGCGATCGTATGTGGTTTTTTACATTTGACAACACGGTAAGCTACCATGTAAGAGCCGAGCAATGCTTCGGTAGGAATTGATGCTCTTAAAACCAAAGCCGTGGTCAATTTTCTTATCAAAAAGTCTCTTGGCTTACCTTGTAAATGAGTTGAGTTGATTCCAAATGCCGTTTTTAGTTTACTAGAAAGCATACTTTCAGCTGCCAACACTTTGTGACAAACAACACACTGTCGAAGTTTACGTTCCCTTAAGTAACGCAGGTAAATTCAAAATCCAAATATTAGTCGTCATATTTCCTATATTTCTTCTTTTTACTTAAATTAACATTATTGCTCTCGCCTGATTCTTCACTTCGTTTTCTATTCTTTTGAATATAAGTATCCATTGTTGATTGTAAAAAACTCCGCGTACGTAATAAAGCAAAACAAAAGCTTGACTAAATGACATAATACGCGTGACAGTAGGGAACACCGGGTGGACGAAACCGGCCACCCGGCGAAACAGAATGCGCCCGACACTCAGTCGACTCCAGGGTTGCCAATATTTTTCAGATAATTTTGTGGACCATGGTATAATTTTTGGATTCGACAATTTTTTTTGAATAATTTTGGATAATTCAAAGGTCTATCGACTTGATATTATGTTTTTTATTTGATTTATTTATTAATACATATATTTTATACTCATTTAAAATCAAATAAATATATTTTCTGTATTAAAAGACACGTAACGCCCCTGGGATAACGCAGCGACGCCCCAGGGCGTCACGACGCACTGTTTGGGAAGTTCTGGTATATTAAATTAATAATAAAAATATCCAAAATGATAACAAAATTCTTTAAAATATTTTCGGTGTTTCAGACCATCATTAATAATACCGAAAAGTAAGTAATTCCTCTTTAATTTAAGACAAAGGGCGTAAAATGTTGACGTTTAAAGAACATTTACAAAAATTCACTTAAAAACGATTTAAAAACCTTTGGTATACATATAAAATGCTATTTGACCTTAAAATTTAATGACAATGTCGATGATTACATATTTTACCTAAAAGGAAATATACTGAGCCCTTACTCGACAGTGGCGACCACGTCTGTGTCAAACTAAAGGTACCAGCCAACTGAATTAGGAGATCAAGATCAATCTAATCTTAATCCTTTAAGCGCAGAACTGATTTTTTCTTTTTAAGAAGAAAATTTTTGAAAAATGTAAAATCAAATAGAGTTAATAGGTTACCTGATAAAAAAAATGGAAATTATCCTTTATGGGGTGGTAAATATTTCTACAAGTGGGCTTTTAAGCATATACCATCATCTTCAAATTACTGGTAAAGATTTTTACCACTATATTTTATATTGGACAACTATTGCCCATGTTTGTATCTCTCTCTTCACTGGCTTCATTACTATATGGGGACGGACTGGCTTAAAAAAGGCGCCAACTTTAACTCTATACTAAAGGCACCATATCCCCTCTCCTAAGCTTTTTAAATCATATTTTTTTGAGATCCTAATGCATGTAAAGTAAATCAAATTACTTACAAATTTTTGTTAATTTAAATCCATATACTTTAATATAAGATGGTTAAGTTTTCGCCGTCTATTGTTACTTCTCTGTGGTCCCAGTTGACCATCTTACCATCTTAAAGGCATACTCTATGTAGGGAATACCGAAATTCTAAAATTTAGAAGTAAATACCACCCCAAAGAGAAAAAAAATCGTTTAAAAATAATAAAAAATTGGAATGGGATAAAATTTTTTGAAAGTTGTTGAAGTAATTTTGGGAATTCGGCTCATCCACAAGTATTTCTTTTGATTCTCTTCTACTTATTGTAGACGGTTATATACTGATGGTTTTGTCTTTCCTGGTTCTACTAAAAATAAACTCTTCCATTAATTTCTTTGTGTCAATCTTCCACGTCATCCGCTTTATAATATTATCACATACACGAACATTTTTGTAAATAGCTTCTGGTGTAATATTGATTACTTTATAGATTAATAACTTTCTTATATTCACATGACGTATCCATTTTACTTTTCGATTTTGAAAAACACTTTTTTTATTGTACTTTTTTTAGCAAGGATATTTAATATATCGTTTAGTACGTCTAATGTTTAAATACTTTTTGACACTTTTTTTGAGATTTGAAATATAGGGTTATGATCACAGCGCGATTATAATGTGATTTAAAATTGCTTTGTCTTCAAGGTCAGTTTAATATGGGTTTAAAATGCACAGTCCCAATTCTTTCCCCTTTTCGCTTAGAGCATATCACATTCCCTGTTTAGTGGGATTGTAGTAATGTGGCTATATCTTGTGTGTATACTCTATAGAATGATTATTCAAATATAATTTTATAAATTTATTATTTTGTTTTTAATTTTCGAAGCGTTAAGATAATTTTGAATTTCAACGGTTCAACAAGCACGCTTTTTTGGAGTACATCGCACGCTGATTACCAAAATAGACGAATGAGACATGCCTTTCGAATGTAGTAGTAAGCAGAATGAAACAAATCTAGCTAACGAAACTAAACATCGTTGTAAATGTAGAACGTCTTTATTAAAATTGTATCTTCTTATATGTTCTTGGAACTAAAAGCAGAAGTTATGAACCAATTAGATTTTTAGAAATAAAAAGTTATTTCGATGTATTATAAGACCAAAGCGTATTGTAAATGTTTGTATTTTTTATTTCGGAGTTTATTTATATTAGTCTACGAATTCATTATGTAAATTAGAGAGCTTTAACATTAATAATTTTAAAAAAATGTGTGGTAGAGTCAGGGTTTGTATAATTTAGAATAATTTGTACATTTTTTTATTTGAAACTGCTGGAAATACGAAATTGCTGATTTTCTTTACTGCTTTTGAATAATTTCCCCGAAAGTGTATCATAAAAATAAAAATATTCTTTTTATTTAGTGTTTTTTTATCTAGTCTTTTTTTTTAATATTAATTACTAGTGACCACTTAGCGCGAAAAGAGATCAGTTGTGACTGATTTTGGCAATCAGTTACAATATCCAACAGATTGATAAGCCCGAAAATTACCAGTTTTGTTGAAAAAATCGGATGCAGGAACCAACAATAAGTGAT